TGGTCCTTACTGTACATTTGTGTATTATATATTGCGACAGATCACCACACATTGAAGGGGTGGTGAGGGGCTGCAGATTGCCATATGTTGAAGGGGTGGGGGAGTGGCTGTAGATGGCCACACATTAAAGGGGTGGGGGAAAAGCTGTGGATCACCACTCATTGAAGGGTTGAGGAGGGGCTGTAGATGGTCACACATTGAAGGGGCGAGGGAGGGGCTGTAGATTTCCACACATTGAAGGGACGAGGGAGGGGCTGTAGATTTCCACACATTGAAGTGGTGGGGAGGGGCTGTGGACCATCTCACATTGGAGGGGTGTAGGAGAGGCTGTAGATTACCACACATTGAAGGGGTGATGAGGGAGGGGATGTGGATCACCTCATATTGAAGAGGTGGGGGAGGGGCCATGGATTGCCTGATATTGAAGTGGTGGTGGAGGGACTGTGGATCATCACACAGTGGGGAAGGGAAGGGCTTTGGATCAACATGCATTGAAGGGTGGGAAATAGACTACATGCATGTATAATGGTAGGTCCTGCTGAAAAATCAAATTCATAGGATGTGAAACTTTTTTCTTCTGATTTCAGTCATATGTTGTAAATGTTGTAAAATACCTGTGTTATATTTCAGCTGCAAAAATTTGCATGTCATCCTTGTGAAATTCCTTCCATATATAGTCTACCTAAATTCTACAACTCCTGATGCAGTTATAGCTTACGTAAACATGAAAAAAATTCTAATTTTTTTGTCTCTATTTAATGACTTAATATTTTATTTGAAGATATTTTTGAAGTATTTATACTTTTTTGTACTCTAACCTGAACTCTGAATAAGTCTCATTTGGAGAAGAGTCTTTGTCTCCTAAGTCTGTTACCTGAAGCTAAATTCTTTTTTGTCTTAATTACAAAAACAGTATTTGGTAAACATACATGTCAGATTACTTATCAATTATACTTTTGTGATAATGATTTGTGGGTGTATATTTCCAAGCGTGGTTAGTTTTGTCATGATAACAATGAGATGAATTGGCTGTATATGTAGAGGAAGTGCGTACCTGTCTGACAGGTAAAAACACAGGTAAAAGTCTGCCTGAGGCTACCTGTACATAGTTCAATGGACATGTAACACAGGACAGCCACATAACAAAACTCTACTTATCTTAGACTCAACATTGTCCCGAGGAACTGGTCTCAGTGGATGTATGGAGTTTGATTGGTTTTTATGGGAGACACGGGTCATTTGAGGCTAGGATTTGCTCAACTGTTAAAACATATAGAACCAAATAAAAGATAATGATAGACACTCTCTGTCTGTAAGGGCAATGCCTCATGAAGTTTTTATACCTCAAAGATTACTGGGAGACCTGGTGTAATACACTCTAATGTAATTCAACAGAGACAGGAACTTCCTTAAACATGTTGCTGAATTATTTAGCCATGAGGGTAAGAATTACAATTTGGTCATGCATGAGGTAGCCATGGTTACCAATTGTCTCTTGTGTCTTGAATTTTATTAAGAGCAATATACCAATCTGTGTGTATGTATAAGCTGTGGAAAATTTTCACACACTCTTTCTCCTTGTGAATCTTTGAAGAGTATTTCCTTCTTATAATCAAAGGAGATTTGTCAACTTTTTACAAGTGTTCTCTTTCAAGAGATGAATTTATTTTTGTGATGATATGTTAGAATCTGTCTTTTTCTGTAAAGGAATGCCATGACAAGGAAAGAGAATATTCAAATGAAAATCCTGTTTTATCATAATTCAGAATGATTTATGAGTTCAAGTATTTTTTTAAGTCAATACATTTCATTCACTGTGTAATTTGTTACATATAAAATTGGCATTAATGAGACTTTCAAGGAGAGATTTGAATTTAGAATATGTTAAGTGGAATATTTGATGGATGGTTATGATAAAAAGCAGGAGGCAAGATAGATGAATATTGTGTGAAAAGTAGTAATACATTACTGATTTACCATTAAATTGTACCTGATCTAGGAATACACAAGTCATAACATTGTAACTGTCGTGGAATTGGGCATGTCCAAAATGTTTCTAACAGTAAAAAAAAACATGTGAAGGTATGTTTTTTCAGCGTTAGTGTGTTATGAAATCTTTTGAAACAATGGAGTATATTAAGCATACAAAGTCAACAAAGATTGTCGAAATACTACAAATATTAGATCAGTTTTAGGGAAAAAATTAGATTTATTGTTTATTCAATGGCTTTGTCCCGTTTGAATGTGTAAACTGTACTGAATCTGGCCTTATTTAGTGGAGAATTCTGTCCTGGTAGAGATATAAGTGGGCAATGATCGGCCAATTTAGTACGACATATAAAGAATAACACATGTTGTTCTGCCATTATCTGTGGAGTCCAATGTGTTTCATATTTTCCATTTTCCAAAGCCTGGAGTATAATAGTAGAGCCTGTCTGTGGCCGTCCTTTGTCAAGGCCTGACATTTCAACAGCTGGTGCCAAATTGATGTTACCTACTATTATTGGTTGAATCAGTACAATGGATGCTGCCAACACTGATGGAGACCAGCATCATTTGGAGAATTATTCAATTGGTGACAATTAGTGAGAGGAAGTCACATGTTGCACTGTTTCAATGCTGGTCCTCATAAAACAACTCTCAATAATGTCACAGCATCAGCCCGCAGTTCCAGCACACGGCTCCCTATTGCCCGCAGCATTCTATCGGCTGTGTAGAGTTTGACTCCAATATACAATCATTTGTTGCATATCTACACTTTCAATATCTCGACATGTCATAGAATAAAATTTACATAAAGAATTATTTGTCTATCCCCGTTTTCAAAAGTTTTACTGATTAGAATGACTTCAGACAATTATCACAGACACGTCCGCCTTCTAGAGAAAAAATTCCAACAATACATTGTACATAAATTTAACCTGAAACAGTAGAACTTAGCAAGAGGATACTATGTCTATTGCATGCTGAATCTTAATCAGTATTGGGCTAGGGTGACTTGATACCCAGGTGCCATGTGGTGGAGGGATATACATGGCTACGATGAAGTTCGAGGCACTTTCAGTATGATTATAATGTCCTGAGATCATGGCAGGTTCTATTGGTGTGCTCCAAATTTCTATAATGAAAAGTGGTAGAATTTAGAGATTTAAAATGACTTAGGGGACTGTACATCAATGTCTATAAATATGTTAATACATCTTAAAGAGTTTACTCTGATTTTGAGGTAATTTTATGGGATAACTTCTGTATAAAAAATAATCCACTGATGTTGTCAATTGACATTTAAAAGAATTGGAGGCGCCAGTGGAAAGTGGTTTCATTGTGACAGATAGCCATGGATTTTTATGTTTGTTGAGTGAGGATGAGACTACAACAAACGTGTGTATTTGCCAGGATATGAGTAATGTTACACTCCACTTACGGTTTTCTGTGAACCTGTAGTTAGGGAGTGGATATACCACAGCTCAGAGCCATCTGCCTACAGGCACTATATATATTGTTTATTGTTGATTCTTACGCCTTTACACTTGCTGCCAAAAGTGGAAATACAATATAAAGGACACTGTATATAGTGGACACTGCTTGTAGTGGAAACTTAATGTAGTGAACACTGTATATAGTGGACACTGCTTGTAGTGGAAACTTAATGTAGTGGACACTGTATATAGTGGACACTACCTGTTGTAGAAATTATGTATAGTGGACACTGCTTGTAGTGTAACCTGTATAGAGTGGACACTGCCTGTTGTGTAAACTGTATAGAGTGGACACTGCCTGTTGTAGAAATTATATATAGTGGACACTGCCTGTAGTGGAAACTGTATATAGTGGACACTGCCTGTTGTAGAAATTATATATAGTGGACACTGCCTGTAGTGGAAACTGTATATAGTGGACACTGCCTGTTGTAGAAATTATATGTAATGGACACTGCCTGTAGTGTAAACTGTATAGAGTGGACATTGCCTGTAGTGTAAACTGTATAGAGTGGACACTGCCTGTTGTGTAAACTGTATAGAGTGGACACTGCTTGCAGTGAAAACATTATGTAGTGGACACTGCCTGTAGTGTAAATTGTATATAGTGGACACTGCTTGTAGTGTAACCTGTATGTAGTGGGCACTGCCTTTATTAAAAACTGTATAGAGTGGACACTACCTATAGTAAATACTTTATTTAGTTGAAACTTTATGTAGAGAAAACTGTTTACATTAGACACTGCCTGAAGTGGACAGCATATTTATAGGATACTTATGGACACTGTCTATAAAGAACATTATATGGTGGACATTTATAGAGAGGGTTTTGTATACAGCAAACACTTTGTTCAAAGAACACTGTCTAAAGTGGACACTCTATAAATAAGACATTATTGATAGTGGATACTGTATTCAGTAGACACTGTCTACAAATCACATGGTTTTCAAAAACTCAACCCTGAATAGAATAAAGTTAGCAGCAAAATATAAACTTAATTGAACAAAAAAGGCAAAACAAGTTATTTCAATTTATACTTATTGCTCTTGTTGGGGTCTTGTACAAGCACGCAAGAGGTCTTGTTGTGGGAAGAGATCGGAGAACCCAAGGAAAACCCATGTGATCAGATAGGTGATCCCTGGCCTCTTAAGGCCTGTTAGGGGAATTGAACCAAGGATGACTAAATGAAAGGCAAGCACGTAAATCACTATACCACCCAGCCTCCCATGCAATGCAATAAATAAATCAGTATAAAATTGATTTGTCATGTGTTTTTGCAGTATAAAATGGGATCCATTGTTTTTTAAAGACACTTAGAACTGTTATCTGCTCTCTGTGAATGGGCAACCTTTTGAGGACACCAGTTGTCTCCCTTTGCATTAAACATGTTCCTCTTGCATACTTTCAATAATGTGATAATTGCTTTCAATGTTTATAGCATGTGATTAATGTTTTGTTCAATTTCATATTTTCCAGGCCACCTCCAGCGAGTTCCAAAACAAAGCTGAGGGAAAACAAATATGGCTGATGACCGAAATGATGAAGGAGTGTGCACAACAGACTCGCATGTAAAGACACGAGGACGGACACGCATCTGTAAATCCTGCAAGTTCACTTGCACTGACTCAAAGGAGTTCCTAAATCATCAAGTGTATGCACATTCACAGGACGGAGATCCAGATTTGTTAGCCTCTCTTGGGAGTCGAAGGAAAAGCCAGAATTCTGTGACCATTCAACCTATAAAGAAACCATTGACTCGATCAAGTTCTTCATCTGATGTATCACCCTCGGAGAAAATCATAACTCAGAGAGGTGAAAGGCTTTCATGTTCTTCTGAAGAGGTGACATCAGAGAAATCTTCAAAGCCTGAAATAGACAGTGAACAAGTTATCGAAACAGAAAAATTAGACAATTTGTTAAGTAACGAAATCCAAACATCTGACTCTATGTCAGATCTACAGAAAGTGAGAGAAGACAACAGAATTACAGCCAATGAGAATACAGTAGATGCAGAAAACTTAAGTGACCTTGAGATGGAGATGGATGACAAGGTCAGCGAGCAAACATATATCTTTAATCCCGAGGGGGAGGAACAGGATGAGGAGGGACGTCTGGTCATCGCAGAAGATGAACCAAAACATTCCAATCATGCCATCACGCAACCTACACGTAGTGGTAATATACAGAATCGTACATATGTGTGCAATCTGTGTGAATTTAGCTCCACAAGTGCCAAGGTATTTCTACATCACCAGAAAGACAGCCATAATCTAGACATAACTATCTACGAATGTGACATTTGTGAATATGCCACAAAATATAAACAGAAGCTTCCACGTCACCGAAAGTTACACTTCACAGGGAAAGAAAATGGTGGACTGATGAGCGGTTCAGATCTGGACAGCAGCTTTGGTGAGAAAAGTTTCCATACCGAGGATCGAGACATGGAGGTCAGGGAACACTTAGGAGAGGATGAAGATGAGGAGGAGGTTTACGATGAGGAAGAAGAAGAAGAGGAGACAATTGTTCCTGCTGTCACTGAAAATAACATCAGTGATATCGTACAAGGTGAAAAGAAAAAACGAAAAACCAGACAAGAAGTTGATCCTGCAAAATACTTTGAAGTTTTAGATGAAACAGGAGTGAAATATGCCTGTTCTAAATGTGGCAATGTGTACAAGTGGCGTAAATCTCTCAACAAGCATTGGAAGGAGAAGCACTTCGGTGACCTCCCTGATACCAGTCGACCACCACCCGGTCTAGTCAAGCTTAATACCATCAGTCATGTCAAATACAGGGTTCCCAGCTCCTATGAAAATGGCGCGCGGATATCTGTCTCTCCCGCCATGGGAAGTCATAAAGGTGGACGCTCCAACAGTGCTACCCCTCAGAGTCTACACGGATACCAAGTACACTCGGAGCCACAGGAGGAAATGCCTATGCCTTCAGCCTCTTCTGTGGTGATGCCTAAATTCATTGGTCCATTCATCACCAACACAACATCATACCCGGCCAATAAGGGGCCTGGCCATGCCCTTGTTGAGGCTCTGCAAGGGGAAAAAGTTCGTCAGTCTTCTAACGGTAAAGATGGTAATAGGTCTGGATCACGTCAGGGAGAACAGCCATTAGACTTCTCTGTTAAGAAGGAGCTTGATGTCAACAGAAATATCAGTCACGGAGGGGAAAGCTATACCAACATCAAATCAGAACCTCAGTGGAATGAGTATATGGAAGAAGACAGGGAGGAATCTGACTTGTCCAATAAGATGACTTTGCCTGTCACTATTGATAAACAGGATAGTCAGCCAATACTTCAGTGTTCCAGATGTGGATTTGTTGCCAAAACTCTAGTCGACTATAGCTCTCACATGACATTGCATTTGAACAAACGGGCATTTAAATGTGCTGAATGTCAAGAACATTTTAATGGAGTAGATGATTTGAACAAACATTTTTCTGAACAACATTCTGATAAAATTCATGAACATAAAGAAGCTATACAGAAAATTCCACATGGTTTACAGCAGACATATCACCTCCTGAAGATGCCACTTAATGCAATTGGGTCCATGTCAACTCAGGAAATTGGTAATGGGGAACCAAAATTTCTCAAATGCAGCATGTGCAGCTTTGTTGCAAAATGGCCTGCAGAATTACAGAAGCACGCTGTGTCACACTCCGAAGAGCGACCATTTGTCTGCATGGTATGTGGCTCCACCTACAAGTGGAAATGGGATCTAGTGAAACATTTTGAGAAGAGCCACAGCACACTTCCTAATCCATATAAACGTCGTGAACAAGGTGCTGGGGTACCGCCTGTTACTGGTAATGGCACAAAGCCTGGGAGTGGGACAAGTCCTACACAGAATTCTTCAGATCGGTCATCCGAGACTCCTAATAGCATTTCCAGTTTGTATGAAATCTCCAGTGGCCAGGTACTGTCCAGCACAACGGCAGCTCTACTAGATGCTGGCAGCCACAACATTCGCAAAATTCCATATACTGACATGCGAGACGAGGATGAGCCTCTGAAAAAGAAACGGAGGATGTCAGACACTGATTTACCTCTGCAGAATAGCCAAGACGATGATTCGCAGGATAAATACCTGGTGACTGGAGAAATGGATGATACAGCTAGAGAGCGCCCATCATCAGAACCTCTGGCCAACCTCACCAACAGGGAAGATAGCCAAGATGCTTTTATGAGGAAACATCTACAGCTTACCAGTGTTAAGTCTAGCTCTACCCTTAAAGACATTCAAGATCTTATCCCTACTGATGAAGAAAATTTCCAGGATGAATTAAGTAGTAAATTTGGGTTTAACTCTCCAGTGAGTAATGAAACACAAAAAGCTATGCTTGAAATTATGAAGAAGCGACTTGAAGGTGGAACACAATCTCCTCCTGAGAAGAGTAAACTAACAATGGATAAGACTGGAAAAGTGACACCAAGTGATGTACTGCTTCCATACAGGTGTCCAAGATGTGAATACCGTGCACGATGGCCGTCAGAAATCACCCAACATATGAAGAACCATTCAGATGAGAAACCATACCACTGTCCACGCTGTAGCTACAAGAGTAAATGGAAGTGGGATGTGGTAAAACATCTAAAACGTTGCGGCGGTGGCACCATACGTGATGTCATTGACACCAGCAAGGTGAAGAAGATGCCGCCCCCGAATGTGACTGTGATGCCGCAAGGTAATCTACAGCAGCAGACACCCCAACCTGTCAACTACATGATGAATACTTCAATGGAGGACTCCAATGAAGAAGATAATCTTCCCAATGGTGTAGCGAGGCAGGCCATGGCTTATTACAAAAATGCTGATATGGCCGCCCAGTACCAGGACTATGAGGAGGAATTCAGTCAGGAGGATAATTCTGACTCTAACCAACAGAGGCAACCAGTGTTCCGCAGTCTGATTAATCAGGGCATGTACCACTGTCTAGATTGTCCCTTTGTAGGTCATAGCCCGGCAGAACTCCGACGACATGCTGTCTTACACTCAGAGAACAAACCCTTCACATGTACCATTTGCGGGTACAGCTCACGCTGGAAATGTGATCTCAAAAAACACATTCGAACATATGAACACTATGATGTGAATGCCAGCAACAAGCACAGGGCCCAGCAAGAATACACAACACCAATGTACTTACAGGACAAATTCAAATTATCCAAACCTAGCAACAACCCAGAGCAGGATGATGAAGATGACGAAGACCGTACTCTGTATAAGTGTGACAGTTGTCTGTATGTTACATACAAGAAATCATCTTATGACATCCATGTCAAAATTCATGGCGATACCAAGAGAGAAGACGGAGGCTCTTCAGCTAAATTTAAATGCAAGCAATGCGAGTATCAAGCATCAGATCTGTCTTCCTTCTTACAACACAAGAAATCACACAGTACTGCTCAACCATCTCAGGGCCAGCCGCCCGAACAGGTGTCTAATCGCACGCTTCATCTCAAGCATCGTCGTAAACCAGTCCAACAATTCAAGTGCTCCAAGTGTCCTTACACCTGCTTCAAGAAATCCGGACTGTCTCTGCACGAAGCCATGCATGAGCCAAGAGGAGGGGAAGCTTTTATATGTTTGTATTGTGATTACAATGTGTACAGCAAAAATCTTGTCCTTCAGCATATGAGGCTCCACCCTGAGTTTGATGCCAAAGAATGCCAGGAGTTCCTAAAGGATGATGATGTTGATGATATCATTGAAGGAGTAGAATCTAAAAATAATGATGACAACGAGGATTGTTTGGTGATTGATGATATGGAACAAGAAGATATGGAAAGAGAATATATGGAGAAGTTCTCATCTCCTTCTGTGAAATTTTCAGGAAAAACCAATTCTTCACCCATTCAAAATGAGAAAAATGAGGGGCTAGACCTGTCAGCTGGAGCTTTGGACCTGACTTCAGTGGCTCAAACCTCTACAGCCAGTCCACAACCGTCATCTATATTTGGAAGAGGAAATACCACTAACCGTTTCCCCTGTGAATGGTGCCCAGCAATGTTCCCAAACGTAGTCACAGTCTATCAGCATGCACGCTCAGTGCATCCATATGAGCTGAGGGCCCAGGAAATGGGAGAAAGCATGTCTCTTCCAACCAAAACCACAGGTAGTAATGCTATGTCTACATTCAGTACTAAAGGAGAGAAAACACAGAACCTGTTTGGAGGTCAATCACAGCCACAACAGAATAGCTCCATTCAGGCTCACACTCGTGCCCCAACTCCACAGTCAAACACTCCACGTCAGCTTCATTCTCAGCTTTTCAACCAAACCTTCATCCAACACCCTCGTTACCGCCCAATTGAGCCAAAACCTCATCAGCAACAACAACCACAGCAACAGCAGCAGCAGCAACATCAATCGTTAAATATTCAAAACATTCCAAAACCAACAACACCAGTAACAACAAATCAGACATCACTTCACCAGAGACTACAGGAGATATCCAACAAGGTAGCATCAGCACCCTCTGTTACGCCAGCACAGCCCAGGAGCCTTCCCAGCAGCCTTCAAAGTACGCCATCACCACAGCAACTGGCCCAACAACACATGCTGCAGCAGCTCAAGGCCAAAAAGTCCACTAGTCCACACAAACGTGGCCGATCCTTCCAATGTACAAAGTGTTCCTTTACAGCTCCTAACGCCGTTACCTATCTACGTCACATTGAACGTCATGGCAGTAACTGTCGTCACACCTGTCGTTTCTGTGACTACAGTATAGACCGTCTAAATCTACTGTACCAGCACATGAAGGGCACTCATAGCGATCTCTGGAGGGGCACACCTGAGGAGAAAATCAACCTCACGTCTAATGGTTCACGGCAAGATAACCGGCAGAAGATATATCACCATAACGATCAGTCATTTGACAGTATGAGTAACAGCTTTGAGGGCGGTATGGAGGAGTTTGGAGATGTAAAAGGCAGTGGAGGGGACGATAGTTTGAACTCGTCTATGACCAGCACTGACTTAAACGTGATGGCGTCCAAGGAAGAGAACAAACCAGTTATGGTGTTGAAGGAGGAAACTACATGGAGAGGTATTCCTGTACAAGTGTGCACCATCAATGGACGTAAGAACTACAAGTGTCCGAAATGTTCTTATGTTAGCAGCAATGCAGCCAACACCACTAACCATGTAAGGCAACATGGCTCCAACAGAAAGTACAAGTGTGAACAATGTGACTACAGCGTTGACAACCTCAAACTTATCTACCATCACATGCAGTCGGTGCATCCCTCAGAACCAAACTTTCTCGAGAAGTCGGGAGGTAAGCTTCCATTTACTGTAGAATATGAGTATTTACCCGAGGAGAATAACAACTCGCTGACCTGGGGTGAGGAAGGCTTCCACAACAGGAACAACAGGTCATCCACAGTACAGCTTGCAGAGATTATAGAAGACTTTGAAGAGGATGCAGACTCGGAGGAATACAACATGTACCGCGAGCATCAGAAACGCCAGCAACAAAAGGCTGGTAACATGGATAATGACATGGAAATGGATGTTCCCACTCAAAAGCTGACTCAACAATTCCTTAGAAACATTGTAAATAGAATGAAAAAGAATGGGGAGAGGCTTCGATACAAGTGTGCACGATGTCCATACTTTAGTTTCTGCAAAAACAATATCATCAAGCACAGGCGTCAGCACGTTGTTAAAAGTCAATATGCATGTCAGATGTGTGACTATAGTGCCACAAGGGCATTCCTTCTCACCCAACACATGAAGTTTCACAAAGAGGAAGAGGAGGAGATGATTAAGGCACAGGAAGGCACACCTAAAACAGGGGGAACCTTTCAGGATGTCGTTCTTGACCCATTTGACAAGGAGGGCTGTAACCTTCTTAAAAACATTGAAACTCTGGATAACAAGATTGCTGAAAGGTCCAATCCCTCACAGGAGGAACAGAAAGATTTTGAAGATGAAGCATTAGATGAAATGGAATTTGGATCTCAGGATGGGAATATGGATGACTTTGATGAAGAGGAAATGGCTGCTTTAGAACGAGCAGAATTTGAAGGGATTAATAATTCTAAAGTAGAATCTAGTTTAGTGAAGGAAGATGCTGTAAAGGAAGCACAGGAAGTGGAGACAATGAGTAATGCCTCCGACGACAGTTTGTCAGAAATCGACCCATCAGCACTTCAGGAGCAGATCTCACTTAATATGTCTGCCACTGTCACAAATGGAGAAAAGATCCGGTACAACTGCTCTCTATGTCCATACAAATGTAATGCTCTACGAAGCTTCAAATGCCACATCCACATGCACGGCCTCAACAAAAAATACATCTGTGACTTCTGTAACTGGAGTGCCGACAGACTCAATCTCTTGTACCAGCACCGAAAGGTTCACATCGACGAACAGGGATTCGTTCTCAACCAAGAAGATATAGTATTTCTCAATCGCGACTTTGCTTTGGAATCCAATGATAAAATGCCTTCTAACATTTTGGATATGAATGCTCCCAAGATTGTCAGTAATCACAAAGCTGTATCACAGGATTTGGAGAAAAACGATCCTCGCCGAATGTTTAATCGTAACTTCAGTGGGAAGAAGGTCTACACTTGCAAGCTTTGTCCCTTCACATGTAACAACAAAAACAGCTTTGACTATCACAAAAATCTACATCGCATCAAAGCACGCTTCCAGTGCTCCGAGTGTTCCTACAGTGTCGATCGCTGGAACCTTCTGTCTCAGCATATTCGACTCCATCAAGGTAGTGACTCCTTCGGACAGAGTCAATGCAGATGTCCAAAATGTCCGTATTTCAGCTTGAACCCACAGCTAATGGAAGTACATCTACAGCTCCATGGTTCTGGCAAGGAGTTTACCTGTAAGTTCTGTGACTATAGCGTTGATAAACAGACCAGCCTGATACAACACCAGAAAGTCCATCTGACTGACGAATCTGGTTGTTCTTCACCTTCTATCAGTCAGATGGACATGAAAAATTTTGAAGTAGCCAGTCCAGATATCATTGCACCACAGCTGTACTTTAATTCCCCAGAAAATGAGGTTGATTCTGATGATGACAGTGTGGACGACACGAGTGACCTGAAGTGTGAACGGTGTCCATATGGTACACCATCCAAGGACGAGTTAGCAGACCACGAACACCAACACAATATTCACTATAAGTATGCCTGTCCATACTGTGACTTCAGCTGTCCCGAGGAATACCAGTTGGTGGATCATATCCAGCTACATCTTCCAAGTACCAAAGTTGACCGTGATGTTGTCAAATCCATTCTGGAAAAACAATCCAAAAATGGTGACAAATCACTTGAAAAGCCTGAAGTTCCTGTCGTGGGTTTTAGGAAGGTACATGAGTCTGAAGTTACAGGTGAACCAGACTCGACTACAACTTCTCCTCCTGGTCAACCAGGAGAGAAAAAAGTGAGTGATGACCCCGATAAAATGAAAGCTCCGAAGGAAAAGAGCCGTACTAAAGTATATGTGTGTCAGTACTGTGAGCGAGAATTTGAAGGTAAAAATTTGATGCTTCAACATGAACGTCAGCATCTTATAGGATCCAAATACTAATGACACGTGTCTTGTAGCAGCAGATACTAAAGTGACATGTGTCAAGAATGGTCACATTACTAGTGCCTTTGAGAAGTCAAATACTAACAATTTTATAATACTACATATTAATGACACTGGATTTGTGAATATACTACTGCCGCATGTAAGGAATGCCCATTGCTGCTGCGTTTATGACTTGTGAATGTTACTGAACTTAGAGGTAAAACCTTCAAAGCAGCCGAGAGAACTGTGAGATAAATCCATCAACATATTTGCTATATGGACCAAAATGGTGAAGAGATGATTCTGTAGATTAACATTATGGATGCAAAATATTAGGAATTAGAATACAAACTCTCTGTGAATTGGCCTAAACTATTGACTAAACACTTCATTTGTGATATACCATTAGTAGATAATATTTATATAAAGGTGATAAATGACACTGTCAAAATGAGAGTGGTATACTTCTGAAAACATTCCCAGGAGAGAACTGTGCAATTAAAGGGAGACAATTTTACTTTCTCTGCAAAGTTTTGACAATGGTGCTACCGGGAAAAGGTTTTCTTGCCAGTCCAAGGGAGATAACTCTATGGATTTGCCTTTGTGTTCAGTCTGCCCAACATTGTCCAGTGTTCAAATGACTTTATTTGCATTTCATCATTTTCTGTTCCAGCCTGCAATATTATGGTATTTATAAGGTGTAGGCCAAAGTCTTTCAGTACTGTTTAAGGTATACTAAATCATTCTTTAGGGGTTTTTACTTTTTACCATTGCCAGGAGACTTTCCGTGTTACTTCAGAACAAATTTTGTTTAAAATTGTTACATTACTATGTTTACAAAGTTATTTGAGATAATGGTTTTTAGGAATACATTTGTAAAATGATTTGCCAGAACACTTGTATTGCCTCAATAATGTATTTTTTTGTAAATATATGGCCCTTGTTCTTAATTTCTGCTTTTTAAGTTGCCCATTTGTTTTTAACAAACTCACATTACTATGATTTCTCAACACTAGCTTCCTTTAAGAATATGGTTCCTGCCAGTGTACGTTTAGTATGTTTTTGCTTCTATATTATATATTCTATGATAAATACTACAATTTGTGTATCAATACCCTTTACTTGTAAATTTCTTGTATACAGAGTTATTGATGACCATTTGAACACAAGAAAGACATAAGTGCAATGCTAAATATATTATGATTTTTTATGTTTTTTTGTTAATGTATATATAGCCATTATAAATTCTTTTAAAAATGAATTTTGAAATCCAATTCATTTGTGAAGATTTTGTTGAACTTGTGTATATAAATTTGATTTTTTTTTAACTGTTGTAAATAAACCCAATCTATAGTCATGTACTGATGCAGAGTTAAACCTCTGTGTTCTCGCTATCATACCCTAAGCTGGCATTAACATGTTTTCTATTTCATAACAATATAAGTTGTATGTCACAACGGCACACAATTGTGACAAATATTCTGTTGTACATGACAACAATCTGTTGAATGTAACCGTATCAGACAATGATATTTTGATATTTGTGATGTCAGTCCACGGTATGTGAGAATATACCTATTTCACATTCCATTTTTAACATATTTACTATGCTATGCAGAAGATTAATTAAAAAAAGAATTTACATGCACTCAACGAGCTTGAATTCATAAAATGAATTAAATTTTTTGTGGCTTTAATGAAAATATTTTATCCCTTTAGAAGGTTATGGAATTCCAGTCAAAGAAAAATGATGTATTATTGTGCCTTAAGCAGAATTTTTGCTTTTTTTTTTAAAAAAAGTCTTCCAGTTAAACAGTTGTAGCTAGAAGTGCCTTTTCAAAGATGATGGTAAATATTGAAAATATTTTATAGACTGTTTTTGGTACAAATGAATTTTCTAATGAACAAAACTTTAGCTGAAGAATATACACAATGTGCCTTGTATGTTAACTGTTCTGTCCCAGGATTATGAAAGGTTTCTTGTTGTTATGTAATGCCTGTTAACAAATCATTCACAATCAGGAATTTTATACATTCCATATATTTTGTACTCGTTGCCATTGGATTCCATTGCCAGAAGAACTTTTGGTAGTTTGTAGATTGTTAATCTTTCCTGAGATGTCTGTAAGGGTTGTACTGGAGAAGTTGTCTGGAAGAGTCGTAAGGTAGTAGTTGTCGTAAAAGGTCGTACCCTAGCAGATGCCTGTCAGGGCTGTACTATTAATAGTAATTGTTAGTGAGGGTCGACTTAAGTAGTTATCTGTGAGGTGGTATTATAGCCCTGGTTGGTGACGGTTGACTGTCATAGTCATATGTGAGGGTCATTTGTAAGGGATGTATGGTAGTAGTCGTCTGAAAGTGTTGACTGTAGTAGAAATCTATGAGGGTTGTACCGTAGTAGTCTGTTTTATACCGTAGTAGTGATCTGAGAGACTTGTCCCATAATGATCAGAGAGGGTCATTCTAGAATTGTTGGGAGTCTTACCAGAACTGTCAGTCATACTAAATTGTCTGAGGTCATACCAGAATTGAACAACAGGATCGTACCAGAATTGTAAATCACATAACAAAATTGTCTGAGAGGGTCATAATAGAACTGTCTTACCAGACTTGTTGGAGTGGGTTGTACCATGATAGTCAGAATTGTACCAGAATTGGAGAAAGTCATATGCATGATGTACTCAGTAACTACAACATTATAAATATATATATGTGTAAGGGCCAATCTTGAAATGCTTAAAATTTTACACATGCATTATTTTTCTGTGAATATTTGTGTATACTGCATGTCACATGAATCCTTTAGCAGTACAAGACAATTTTTTATCCCATAATTAATGTTTGATTTATAAATGTGTTTCATGTGTACCTCTTACAATTTTAGAATTAAATTCATAATTGCTTTCGTTACTAAAACAAATTACAAGGAAATTCAAGTGAGAGCATTTTCCTTTATCAAACATTAATTGCCAAATAGATCAATTAAATATTTGACTTGAGGGGACAAATTATTGATGTAGTTTGTATATAGATGTATAGAATATATATTATCTATACCGACCTTTGATGGCGGTATACACTGATCTTTGTGGCGGGTATATAGATGTAAATATTGTATTATCCTTCCCTCCTGTATCCATACCGACCTTTGATGGCGGTATACACTGATCTTTGTGGCGGGTATATAGATGTAAATATTGTATTATCCTTCCCTCCTGTATCCATACCGACCTTTGATGGCGGTATACACTGATCTTTGTGGTGGGTATATAGATGTAAATATTGTATTATCCTTCCCTCCTGTATCCATACCGACCTTTGATGGCGGTATACACTGATCTTTGTGGTGGGTAGATAGAAGTAAATATGTAATTATCCTTCCCTCCTGTATCCATACCGACCTTTGATGGCGGTATACACTGATCTTTGTGGCGGGTATATAGATGTAAATATTGTATTATCCTTCTCTCCTGTATCCATACCGACCTTTGATGGCGGTATACACTGATCTTCGTGGTGCTAACAAAGCTGTAACTATATACTAAAGCATTAACTGCCAAACTGCTTTATCTAGATATTTTATTTTCATCTTCATAATTTGTGCATCACCTTTAGATGAGCTATGTTGATGTAGTCCATGTTTAATTCCTTGTGGGTTGTTTGAGCTCTTGGACCTTGTTAACATAAAGTATGAAAGATTTGGATGAAATATGCATTGAGGACAAAAGGTTTCATTTTGAAAGAAGATAAATATCGTATTTGCTGTGAATACCTGATAATCCCTCACACTTAAATATTCTCTCATGGAATTAAATAATCTTATCATATTTATCCAATGATAAGCCCAGGGGCCAGCTCATTATTTCTGATTCAAAATTGGGAAATTAGCCTATCATATAAATGGGACATTTTGAAATATTATTTGCTTATGATGCAACCAACCAGCAAAAAGGATGTACTAGACGTGGGCTTATCAAACAAATATGGTATATCTGAGTTTGGGAAAGGATTCAATAGGATGTATCCAATTTAATCATAACCAGTGTAATCATTAAATGCCTTTTTGACCCTGGACCTATTAAAGTTTATAGAAAGGTCAAGGGTCACCTGCCTCTGGGAGATTACCCTGTAACTGAACTAGTCTGTGGATTTATTCTTGTATGGATGTGTCGAGTGCTAGGATTATTTTTCTCTGTCTATTGGGAATAAACACTGAGGCAATATTGTTATTATATTACAATGTCAAAATAATAAAATTATACACAAACAGGTGCCATTTTGTGTTTTATTATTGTACTTTAGAATGCTCTTGAGATCACCTCAGATGAAAGAGACCTGTATAATAGAGTGACTACACCTCTGTTAGGAGACCTCCTGTGTTAAGTGTCTAAACCTCATTTAGAGACCTCCTGAATTTAGTTACTTCACCTCCCAGGATGTCTAAACACTTTAGAATCTACATGATATTTATTATATAGTCACATTGATGTGCTCCAGATAAATTGATCATTGACATTGCTCATGCAGGTTAAAAATTAGGTCACAGCTTTAATTCAGCCCTAATCCATTACCAGATATTACCTACAGATTTCTTACTTTAGCGACAGCAAGTGAAATAAACGTGTACTGTACCTGTTCTACAATAAGGACCTAGGCAGACATTACTCAGTTATTATAGGCCCTGGTAAACCCTTTGGACAAAAGTATTAACAGATGGCAAATAAAGTTGAATGTCAAAGTTCATCATTTAATTTGGCAGTGTTAAAACCAGTAACATAACAAAATCCTCTATCTCATTGGGTAGAGATTGGGTCAGGATTCTTCATTTGGCAAATATACAAAGGGTGATTGATAGGTTGTAAGCCTTGTGTTAAAGTTAGGCATAGATGTCCTTTTTCAGCTCTACTATTCTCTAACTATTAAAAGCTGTGTACCCAAAGACTGGCATCATTTAGTCAGTTTATGTCGAAGAGGTAGCACTCTAAAGTGAACAAGGCAAGTGACTTTTGTTAAAATGGACGAAATCGTGTAAAGATCTGTGATTCAATATTTGTATAAGAAAGGTCTAGCACCTAAGGATATCTATACTGATATGGCAACAATACTAGGGAATAATGCCCCTTCATATGCTACAGTGAAAAGGTGGATGGCAGAGCCTTGGGAATGATGCCCGTCCTGGAAGGCCTGTCACTGGTGCAACCCGAAATGGTCAGTAGAGTCCATGATAGTGTTATTGATGACATGTTGAGTTACAGAGAGATATATAGCCAGTACAGTTGGGATTTCACAGGAAAGAGTACATTCCATCCTTACAGAAGATCTTGTATGGAAAGCCCATATGGTACCAAGATTTCTGACAGTTGATCAGAAACATACCTGGTGGACTTTGTCGAGTGCAAGTCTCTTGCTAACTTTCTGCAGATGTTTGTGACTATTGGTGAAATGTGGGTCCATCATTTCAACCCAGATGCCAAACTATAGTCTAAACAATGGAAGCGCCCTCGTTCATCCCTGCCAAAGAAGGCAAAGGCTGTTCCATCAGCTGGAAAGGTTATGGCCTTATGGTGTTTTCTGGAATGCTGATGGTATTCTAATTCATCTGCAAAAGGGTAAAACAATCCATGGCACATATTTTGCATCACTTCTTTGGCAATTAAAAGAAAATAACAAACCCAAGCGCCACGGGTAAAGCTGTGTTGTTCCACCAGGACAATGACCCTGTTCACAAGTCTGTCATTGCCACGACTGCCATTAATGATTGTGGCATTGAATTGATTGAGCATCTGCCTTATTAGCCACTTTTGGTCAGATGATGACAACATACATGCAATGGAAGGCTTTCTGAACGGTCAAGAAAGGGACTTCTTTAAAAGTGGCATTGAGGCCCTTAAACATCATTGGCCAAAGTGTATAGATACTGGAGGGGATTATGTTGAAAAATAATGTGATATGTCTGTTATTTAGTAAAATGACAAATAGTTCATTATTCTGTAATAAGCCTAATCCCTGACTTTGAGTCTAAATTTATATGTTGGCATCCTTGACTTCTTGCAGGATAAATACAGAATGAGACTTACCAAGTGTTTGCCAAATCAATAATCTTTCCCCGAGGGTTGAGTTCCTTCAACTCATCAACTGATATCTAGAGTCCATCCCAACATAGAATCAACACAGACCTAGTTTATAAAAAGCGATATTTATTTGAAATGGTTGGACGACACGTGAGCAAGATTGGCAGCCCAATGACCCATAACTGGATCATGTAAATAATTGTAAAACAACAGAATATGATGATAAACAAGTATTTTTAACAGAACTCTTTATCATATAGATCTGCAAGATTCCATTTAATCTGAAACTGAAAATGTCAAATATAGGAAAATATTCCTGCATAACAGACATAACTTGTATTTAAAAATTTGATAAATTTCAGATTTCAAAATAAAAGAAAATCCCATTGCCTTTTTTTGCACAAAGATTTCAAAGTAAATACTTTTTGCTTAGTCATTTTCTTGATCAGTTTCAAACAAAAACAATATTTAACATCTGAGAATATCTCAGTTTGTGTCAGTTTCAGATTTTTTTCCCAACATTTCTTGTGCTTTTTAAGACTAAACAAAAGGTCACACTGTTCAATGGATTCTGAAAGAGATTAACGTCGACATCCATCCTCAAATTTAACTATCAGCATAAAGGTTATGATGAAAGTTAGCTTTGATATTCAGTTTGACTACATACTAATAATTCAACACTTACAAGCTTTACAATGAAGCAGACTACAATTTTAACTTACTAGGTAATAACTTGAAACATCAATACACAATAAGATTGCACTTAATGGTGAGCATATTTATATAATTACCATGGTAACAAGAAAGTTGACAACAATCCTTTGTGTTGGACAAACACTGGCACTAGAGTTTGTCAAGACTATATACAAAATCTTACACCCATAAACAATAACTAGTATAAGCATCTTACATGTCTGAAAATTCATGACGCCTCATCAAAATTGAAAAAGGGTATATATTAAATCAGAAATTCCAAACAGCTCAATTCCCTCCTTCTCCACAAATTAATTTTTAGACTATATTTACATAATCTCATTCTACTTCTGAAATCAGATTTTTTATCTTTCTGATCACATCCTACAGAGTACAGTCTGTATAAAATCAGAATTAATTATTGACACAGAATTATTATATATTCCCTGAACGTAACATTATTTTTGAAGATAAACCAAACATGAGATCAAAAGTAGGATGAACTATTATGATATCTTAATTATTGCTGCTAGAAAATGACATTTTACCAAGTATGAAAGAAAATGAAACCAAAACAAGTGCAGGATACACATGGTAAAGGCACTGAAAATATATTGTAGCAATACAGTTTATAACCCCCTACACCACATAAATAACTATAAAAGATAATCTTGGAAAACACAAAAACACATTATACCAATCCATAAGGAATGTTTTGTTGCCATTGTTGAAATTATTGTACAATTTCGTTTAGTCTTGTTTTGTCAATTTTTTTTATTTATTTATTTTTTTTTTTTTTGTATTCAATTTAATCATTAATTGTGAAGTTCATCAACATATTATCAAATGATATGCAAACAAAAAATATCCTAAATAAGTTCATTAATACTCATCTCTGAGATGAAATGAAAGTAAGTTGCATCAATCAATCTTGGATTTCAATTGCAAAAATGTATTTTTCCAAAATAATGATATCAGAAATGAAAGTGCTTATACAACTATCAGAAAATATGTAGTGATAAAAAATTTTTTTGAAAAAAACATTTAGATGGAAATTAAAGAAGTAAAAATCCAACAAAAATATATCCAACAAAAATAAATTATTAATGCCTCTTACCACTAAATGAACGTATGCACAATCATTGTATCATAAACATTGCTCACATTTTGGACCATACCAACTGTACTTCAGAACATACCAACTGTACTTAAGAACATACCAACTGTACTTAAGAACATACCAACTGTACTTCAGAACATACCAACTGTACTTAAGAACATACCAACTGTACTTAAGAACATACATGTAAGTTATTGACAAAATTCCATCACCAAAAGACCTTTGGGCGGACAGACATACTTGATTATCTTTCCAAGTTTAGTTGCAAGTATACAATTACATTGTACTGTATATCTTTTGTCAATATAAACAATCTAAAAAGTTGCCAAGATATATTTCAAATGTGTCAACTACAAACTTTAATCTTGTGTTATTGGTGTACCATATACTTAAAATCAAGCTATTTCTTACAATTAAGAGACGAATATTACCCTTGTTTACACGATCCAGTTGCCTATACTTTGTTAAAACCCCATCCTCTGTGAGACCACTTTTGTACTCATACACTTGGGAAGTCTTTCAAGATAGATTTTTATTCTAACTGTATTTCATCTACAGTAATAACCACACCCCTTCCTCTATAAAACACACCCTCCTTTATTCTAGGAAAAGTGCACAAAAAGCAAGTAAAAACTTGCTATACTAATCTACCAATACAGTATTTAGTTTTTTAACTCTACCTCCCTGGAGCAACTAAATCATATTGCTGAAATTTACAATATTTTCTTTGTTTTCAAACTCAACTTAGAGGATTCCTTTTTTTCACCAAATTTCATGTTTCACCACCTTTTACACTTAATTTTTGTTTTCTTTAATGTTTCGCTGAAAATGGCTTTATCATGCACACCCTTTAATGTGTTTTTGAAAGTGCATAGTGCCTCTATTTGGTATATTACATTAGATATAATGTAAGTCTCGAACAACACTGGTGTGTAGTGGTGTCCTAACAAATCAAGTCATATTACCATCAAAAATGTTTCCTTAAGCTCCAATGAGCTAACAAATGTAACAGAAATTTGAGACATGAAAAACAGGGTCTCTTAGTCGAGGTAAGGTGATATATTAAAATATTTCAACTACAGAACTCGCATTTATCACAGATTTTATATAAACGATTTAAACTTCACAGTTAAAATTGTCACAAAAAGAAAAAATCAACACCTTGGAAAGGTCTCAGAGCCATTTGTTTTCCTTTTCTTAAACCACAAGATTAAATTTACACTTAAGACTTTGCTTCAATGTTTATAAACATATGTACCACAAAGATTACTTATAGCATTGACCTCCAACCTCAGCAATTCTGTCTACTACCTGCTCAATAAAACCTGTGTCATTATGATCTCTAGTACTTGACCTCACATCTTAAATCTTGTGCCTTTTAGTCCACCTTGTGCTTTGTCCACATGACCATTGTTCTAGGTGAGCGGTAGAGGAAGAGAAGTTTGGCAAACAGGTCTTCTTCCATTCTGAAGTCCAACGATTCCCTCACCATGTAGATGTCAAGACACAGGTTTAAAATATTATCAACGTTTGGCTGTTCCTCAAACATTATCCGCTCAGACTGACCACTGAACAATGTCCTCACAAAGCGACCAATCAAAAGCACCAGTGATACATACAGTCCAATGATGCTGCAACAGGAAGTCAGCATACACAAAGTTACAACAGGAAGTCAGAATACACAAAGTTACAACAGGAAGTCACCATACACAATGTTATCAACAGGAAGTCACCATACACAAAGTTACAACAGGAAGTCAGAATACACAAAGTTACAACAGGAAGTCACCATACACAAAGTTATCAACAGGAAGTCAGCATACACAAGGTTATCAACAGGAAGTCAGCATACACAAAGTTACAACAGGAAGTTAGCATACACAAGGTTATCAACAGGAAGTCAGCATACACAAGGTTATCAACAGGAAGTCAGCATACACAAAGTTATAGACAGAACTTCAGGCTTCACAATTTTTTTTACAGAATTTCACACAGCATACATACATATGTAGAAAGTAGGCCATCAGCAGAAAGAGGACATTAAAAAAAATCAATCCACATAGAAAATTTCTCAAAATATTGGGCTAAACACAAAGGATAATTTCCTTTTTCACCATATCCTTATTTTATGAAATTTTAAACATAATTTTGATTTTCTGTACAAAAGCATAGTGTGTAAATATCTAAACACAAAATAAATTGAATCAACCAATTCATGAAAATTTTCAAACTGCATCCTTCATTTTAAGCACCTGTGGAATTTAATTTCCAGCTTTAAGCGAAAAACATATGATAGCAATGAAGATATGGTCATATTTTCATTATCTTTACATCTCTCCTGATCTCCTCTTTACTTATTTTCTAATCACATTTACCCTTATATTTCCTAAAATTGTGATTTTTTTAACAATTCTTTTTTTTATTCTACCTCTATTTGAAAGAAAATAATAATAAAAATAATAATAAAAAAAAAAAAAAAACCCAAACTTCAATACATGTGTACATAATTTATGCCAATACATTTCAGGTTTTTTAAAATGAAGTTTATCTTTAACTTTACACAACACCTACATGTATAATCACTGCTAACAGTCTTTTAAGATAAACTGAATATAAGCTACTAAATGTGTGCTAAAAAATAACACTCCATTCAAAGCAGTTAAAAAATGCTCTCTAGCCTTTTGTAGATGTAAGTCAATCAAATTTACATACTCAGTTAACAACATTGTTTCTATTATGGATAAGTACTTTTTCGAGAATTTGTTAAACCCCAATTAAATTTCCTTAAAGCCATTCATTTTTGACCTTTTTAAAGGATAATAATAAGTTTTAAAAGTTATACTTATATCTACCAGGTAGTTAAAATAATTCTGAGTTTAGCAATGCAAGGGAGACTACTCTCTAGATTTTAATCCCAAATTGACTGTTTCCTAACACATGAATTTAATTTCCATAACCAAATGTAAAAAAATTTTTAGTAGAAAAAAAAATGGAGTACACCAGTTTTTGTTCTAAAATTGTAATAAAACGTCCATTGTACCTTTAACATAATTCAAAGTGCAATTGAGTTCTTGTGAGGTCAAGCTACAATTACATCACCTTACTACATGTAACACGGAAACAATGTAAATAAATGACTGTTGATATAAATATAACCTTCAGAAGTCATTATCAAAGACAAAAACAATTTGTACAAAATTTAGGTGATGATGGACATTTAAAGGCTTAACCTTGTATCCAGCCTAATCACTGCTTACATTAACAAATGAAATATTGTACTATCAATAGTGTATTAAAAAAGGATGGCACAGCATTCAAAATTTAATCATTTTTCTTCTCCTGTGTTACAATTAGTCGTCGTGGCAACTGTGTCCAGGTAATTCGTGTTTCTGATGAACGATACACAAAAAGTAGTTTGGCATAAAGGTCTTCCTCAAGGCGGTATTCCCGCATTTCTCGCACCAGATAAAGGTCAAGACACAGTTGAAGGATATTATCGACGTAGGGAAGCTCTCGATAAGTAATCAACTCCACCAATCCAGTTGTGCTCAAACGTAGGATCCGACCGATGACCAAGATGAAGGTGATATACAATCCAATAATGCTGAAAAGTCAAACACAAAGTAGCAATGTATGGACCATATTTATATGGACCACGTATCAGTATGGACCATATTTATATGGACCACGTATCAGTATGGACCATATTTATATGGACCACGTATCAGTATGGACCATATTTATATGGACCACGTATCAGTATGGACCACATTTGTATGGACCACGTATCAGTATGGACCATATTTGTATGGACCACGTATCAGTATGGACCATATTTGTATGGACCACGTATCAGTATGGACCATATTTGTATGGACCACGTATCAGTATGGACTATCAGTAACTATTGGTTATGTATGTATGTAACATGTATAAGTATGGGCTATGTAAGTTACATGTATAAGTATGGGCTATGTATGTAACATGTATAAGTATGGGCTATGTAAGTTACATGTATAAGTATGGGTTATGTATGTATGTTACATGTATAAGTATGGGATAAGTATGTATGTTACATGTATAAGTATGGGCTATGTATGTAACATGTATAAGTATGGGCTATGTACGTATGCTACATGTATAAGTATGGGCTATGTATGTTACATGTATAAGTATGGGCTATGTATGTAACATGTATAAGTATGGGCTATGTAGGTATGTTACATGTATAAGTATGGGCTATGTAGGTATGTTACATGTATAAGTATGGGCTATGTATGTAACATGTATAAGTATGGGCTATGTATGTTACATGTATAAGTATGGGCTATGTATGTTACATGTATAAGTATGGGCTATGTATGTATGTTACATGTATAAGTATGGGCTATGTAGGTATGTTACATGTATAAGTATGGGCTATGTATGTAACATGTATAAGTATGGGCTATGTACGTATGCTACATGTATAAGTATGGGCTATGTATGTTTGTATAAGTATGGGCTATGTATATGTAATGTATAAGTATGGGCTATGTATGTATGTTACATGTATAAGTATGGGCTATGTATGTTACATGTATAAGTATGGGCTATGTATGTTACATGTATAAGTATGGGCATGTAACATGTATAAGTATGGGCTATGTAGGTATGTTACATGTATAAGTATGGGCTATGTATGTATGTTACATGTATAAGTATGGGCTATGTAAGTTACATGTATAAGTATGGGCTATGTATGTATGTTACATGTATAAGTATGGGCTATGTAGGTATGTTACATGTATAAGTATGGGCTATGTATGTATGTTACATGTATAAGTATGGGCTATGTATGTTACATGTATAAGTATGGGCTATGTATGTTACATGTATAAGTATGGGCTATGTATGTATGTTACATGTATAAGTACGGGCTATGTAGGTATGTAACATGTATAAGTATGGGCTATGTATGTAACATGTATAAGTATGGGCTATGTAGGTATGTTACATGTATAAGTATGGGCTATGTAGGTATGTTACATGTATAAGTATGGGCTATGTAGGTATGTTACATGTATAAGTATGGGCTATGTAGGTATGTTACATGTATAAGTATGGGCTATGTAGGTATGTTACATGTATAAGTATGGGCTATGTATGTATGTAACATGTATAAGTATGGGCTATGTATGTAACATGTATAAGTATGGGCTATGTATGTATGTTACATGTATAAGTATGGGCTATGTATGTAACATGTATAAGTATGGGCTATGTATGTAACATGTATAAGTATGGGCTATGTATGTATGTACATGTTACATGTATAAGTATGGGCTATGTATGTATGTATGTATGTAACATGTATAAGTATGGGCTATGTAGGTATGTTACATGTATAAGTATGGGCTATGTATGTTACATGTATAAGTATGGGCTATGTATGTATGTTACATGTATAAGTATGGGCTATGTATGTATGTTAAATGTATAAGTATGGGCTATGTAGGTATGTTACATGTATAAGTATGGGCTATGTATGTATGTTACATGTATAAGTATGGGCTATGTAGGTATGTTACATGTATAAGTATGGGCTATGTAGGTATGTTACATGTATAAGTATGGGCTATGTATGTATGTTACATGTATAAGTATGGGCTATGTATGTATGTTACATGTATAAGTATGGGCTATGTAGGTATGTTACATGTATAAGTATGGGCTATGTATGTTACATGTATAAGTATGGGCTATGTAGGTATGTTACATGTATAAGTATGGGCTATGTAGGTATGTTACATGTATAAGTATGGGCTATGTATGTATGTTACATGTATAAGTATGGGCTATGTATGTATGTTACATGTATAAGTATGGGCTATGTATGTATGTTACATGTATAAGTATGGGCTATGTAGGTATGTTACATGTACAAGCCTTACAGTTCAATCTTAAAAGCTGATCACAAGATTTACAGTTCAATCTTAAAGGAGGACCACAAGCTATACAGTTCAATCTTAAAGGAGGACCACAAGACTTACAGTTCAATCTTAAAGGAGGACCACTTAAGGCTGACCACAAGCCTTACAGTTCAATCTTAAAGGAGGACCACAAGCCTTACAGTTCAATCTTAAAGGAGGACCACTTAAGGCTGACCACAAGCCTTACAGTTCAATCTTAAAGGAGGACCACTTAAGGCTGACCACAAGCCTTACAGTTCAATCTTAAAGGAGGACCACAAGCCTTACAGTTCAATCTTAAAGGAGGACCACTTAAGGCTGACCACAAGCCTTACAGTTCAATCTTAAAGGAGGACCACAAGCTATACAGTTCAATCTTAAAAGCTGACCACAAGATTTACAGTTCAATCTTAAAGGAGGACCACAAGCTATACAGTTCAATCTTAAAGGAGGACCACAAGCCTTACAGTTCAATCTTAAAGGAGGACCACAAGCTATACAGTTCAATCTTAAAAGCTGACCACAAGATTTACAGTTCAATCTTAAAGGAGGACCACAAGCTATACAGTTCAATCTTAAAGGAGGACCACTTAAGGCTGACCACAAGCCTTACAGTTCAATCTTAAAGGAGGACCACAAGCCTTACAGTTCAATCTTAAAGGAGGACCACAAGCTATACAGTTCAATCTTAAAGGAGGACCACAAGACTTACAGTTCAATCTTAAAGGAGGACCACAAGCCTTACGGTTCAATCTTAAAGGAGGACCACAAGCCTTACGGTTCAATCTTAAAGGAGGACCACAAGCCTTACAGTTCAATCTTAAAGGAGGACCACAAGCTATACAGTTCAATCTTAAAGGAGGACCACAAGCTATACAGTTCAATCTTAAAGGAGGACCACTTAAGGCTGACCACAAGCCTTACAGTTCAATCTTAAAGGAGGACCACAAGCCTTACAGTTCAATCTTAAAGGAGGACCACAAGCCTTACAGTTCAATCTTAAAGGAGGACCACAAGCTTACGGTTCAATCTTAAAGGAGGACCACAAGTCTTACGGTTCAATCTTAAAGGAGGACCACAAGCTTTACAATTCAATCTTTAAGGAGGACCACAAGCTTTACAGTTCAATCTTAAAGGAGGACCACAAGCCTTACAGTTCAATCTTAAAGGAGGACCACAAGCCTTACAGTTCAATCTTAAAGGAGGACCACAAGCTATACAGTTCAATCTTAAAGGAGGACCACAAGCTATACAGTTCAATCTTAAAGGAGGACCACAAGCTTTACAGTTCAATCTTAAAGGAGGACCACAAGCCTTACAGTTCAATCTTAAAGGAGGACCACAAGCTTTACAGTTCAATCTTAAAGGAGGACCACAAGCCTTACAGTTCAATCTTAAAGGAGGACCACAAGCCTTACAGTTCAATCTTAAAGGAGGACCACAAGCTATATACAATTCGGTCTTAAAGGAGGACCACAAGCCTTACGGTTCAATCTTAAAGGAGGACCACAAGCCTTACAGTTCAATCTTAAAGGCGGACCACAAGCTTTACAGTTCAATCTTAAAGGAGGACCACAAGCCTTACAGTTCAATCTTAAAGGCGAACCACAAGCCTTATAGTTCAATCTTAAAGGCGGACCACAAGCCTTACAGTTCAATCTTAAAGGAGGACCACAAGCCTTACAGTTCAATCTTAAAGGCGGACCACAAGCTTTACAGTTCAATCTTAAAGGCGGACCACAAGCTATACAGTTCAATCTTAAAAGCTGACCACAAGATTTACAGTTCAATCTTAAAGGAGGACCACAAGCTATACAGTTCAATCTTAAAGGCGGACCACAAGCTTTACAGTTCAATCTTAAAGGAGGACCACAAGCCTTACAGTTCAATCTTAAAGGCGGACCACAAGCTTTACAGTTCAATCTTAAAGGCGGACCACAAGCTTTACAGTTCAATCTTAAAGGAGGACCACAAGCCTTACAGTTCAATCTTAAAGGCGGACCACAAGCTATACAGTTCAATCTTAAAGGAGGACCACAAGCTTTACTATTTGGTCTGAAAGGAGGACCACAACTTACATACAACACAGGATTTAAGGAGGACCACAAGCTTTACAATTCAATCTTAAAGGCGGACCACAAGCTTTACTATTTGGTCTGAAAGGAGGACCACAACTTACATACAACACAGGATTTAAGGAGGACCACAAGCTTTACAATTCAATCTTAAAGGCGGACCACAAGCTTTACTATTTGGTCTGAAAGAAGGACCACAACTTATATACAACACAGGATTTAAGGAGGACCACAAGCTTTACAATTCAATCTTAAAGGCAGACCACAAGCTTTACTATTTGGTCTGAAAGGAGGACCACAACTTATATACAACACAGGATTTAAGGAGGACCACAAGCTTTACAATTCAATCTTAAAGGCGGACCACAAGCTTTACTATTTGGTCTGAAAGGAGGACCACAACTTATATACAACACAGGATTTAAGGAGGACCACAAGCTTTACAATTCAATCTTAAAGGAGGACCACAAGCTTTACAGTTCAATCTTAAAGGCGGACCACAAGCTTTACTATTTGGTCTGAAAGGAGGACCACAACTTATATACAACACAGGATTTAAGGAGGACCACAACTTATATACAACACAGGATTTAAGGAGGACCACAAGCTTTACATTTTAGAGTCTTTATGTTTTTTTATGAATATTTTATTATATTTTAGTTTTTTTTATTTAATCCACTACTGATAATGTATTTTTAAAGTGACTGATATTGAACAAATTGAGTGAGCAATATTGTTTACTTTTTGTATGAACTGATATATCTTTTGATGGTAACCTATATTACTGTGTATAACATGCATGTTGTAGTGACTGATATTTTGCACTTTTTGTAGCGATCCAACAATGCAATTTTCTTAATGCATCCAATCATGTTTATTGTTTGTAGTGTCAAATAATATAGATTTTTAGTGACCAATTTGTACATTTTTAAAGCATAATTTGAAGATATAACACATTTTTGTAGTAACCAATATTTTTCCTAGTGGCCAGTATTGTATATTTCTTGCAGCGACTCATCTGTATATTTTTTGTAGTGGTTGATATTGTGTATTTTTTGAAGCTACTTACCTATAGTATATAGTATCTGTAGTGGCTAATATTGTGTATTTTTTGTAGCTACTTACCTATAGTATATAGTATCTGTAGTGGCCGATATTATATAGTTTTTGTAGCTACTTACCTATAGTATATAGTATCTGTAGTGGCTGATATTGTGTATTTTTTGTAGCTACTTACCTATAGTATATAGTATCTGTAGTGGCTGATATTGTGTGTTTTAGTAGCTACTGATTTTTTTTTTTGTAGTGGTCAATATTGTATATTTCTTGTAGTGGCTATGTTAATATAGAAAGGATAAGCATGGTGGTACCAGGATTCTTTAGCCATATATAAGATAATGATATACAACACACATACATACAAAAGCAAGCCATATGCACATTCACCATGTAAAAATAATATGATAATCAATAATAAAAAAAAATGTAACTAAAAAAAAAGGCTGTGACATGCAAATAACAAGTTTATCAATTAAGTTTCTCAGGAATGCTCCTGATTTTCATTACCTGACATTTCTCTAAAATTTGATTAAATTCATAATATGGAGAATATCTTATACTATAACATGTTGTGTACATATTGCAAGTTTGCCTATAATGGGCATTATATCTAATTATTACATATTACAAAGACATAAATTTTATCTAACTTATGTAAGGACTGAAGTTTCAATAAGCTTAATACTAGTGTGAAGACCAAACATGGAGTCAGCAGCTAAACCCTCCCCTACTGTCACATGGGTCAAGGTATCTACAGGTAAAATTGTGGAAAATCCAAAAATTCAAATTCAAAATCAAAATAGGTCATACTTTAAACCTGATGACACTTAAATCAAGAAAAACATCTTTGAACATTATTCCTTTAATTAATATTTTCCAATCATTTCAAAGAAAAAATTATTTATGTTCTAAGATCTTCAGAATCCTTTTGGCATATTATCAGATAGCGGATGGATTGATTGATTGATTGATTGATTGATTGATTGATTGTTTGATTGATTGATTGATTGATTGATTGATTGATTGATTGATTGATTGTTTGATTGATTGATTGATTGATTGATTGATTGATTGTTTGACTGATTGATCAATTGACAGACTAGGACCTGATGTACTCATCTCTGTGTCAGCAAAGTAATGATTAACTAATATATATAAATATAAATTGTATATAAATTAACTATATAAGTAGCCGATTTCAGTAAAAAAAACCATGCCAAAATGTGAAGATTACAAAACACCAAGGTCAAGGTAACAAAACACCAAGGTCAAGGTGACAAAACACCAAGGTCAACGTGATGAAACACAAAAGTGACAGGTAAAGATAATGTTGATATAACAAAATAACAGCATGTAGGTCATACATGACAAAGGTGAAGGTCGTACATGACAAAGGTGAAGGTCATACATGACAAAGGTGAAAGTCATACACAGCCATGATAATGTGGTCATACAAGACAGACCCTTTATTAATCTCCATATATGTTTATTTTGTCATGATTCAAAAATCAACAAAAAGCAAACAAGTATTTTGCTAAAGTTCTCATAGATTCTCTATATGAATTTAGATTGTATTAAAATCTAATGATATGAACTGCTGCAGAGTCATGGCTTGTGTATTACACCATATATCATGTGTTCCATTAAGCATGTTATTAATTTGTTTTAAGTATAAAAAAAATATACAATTATATAAAAGTAATGACATACAAGGCTTAATCATAATGAAATAAATGTATACATTTTGTGTGTGAGATAAATATTTATAAACTGTATACAAAGCTAGCTGCTGTACATTTGATTATAGATATATTCAGTAAAGTTATAATGTTAACATATACCACAAGTTTTTGAGATTTTCTTAAACAGAACAAAAAGTTGCATCTTTATTCTATAAACATAACATTCCAGCAATTCAACTTTTTTTTAAAAATTTCAAATCATTTTAGATTAAAATAACAACAGAAATGAGGCCTGGATCTATGTAGTTTGAGTACATCTTAAATTTGCTATATAGGAGAGGTTGAAAGATTTTTTTAGACTTTTCAAAGGGTCTCAATGACCATATTTGGACAAATAAAGCAAAGACTTCTTTAAATTAACAATTTTACACTAATATTTTTAAAAGTATGTTTTGTTTTAAAAATTTGCATATTTGATTTGCAAAGTTTTAACAGACTAAGAACAACTCGGCCTAAAAATCACACTATGAAGGGAGGCAACTCACTAATTTACACAACTCAACACAGAATAAAGAAAGTGAAATTTCAAATAAAATGGTGTAAGAAACATGCAATAGTGTTATTATCAGGTAGAAAATGATCCAATATAGAAACAAACAATAAATATTGAAATCCCAACAAAATGACTGAAAATCAATTATAGATCTTAAAACGTTATGACAAAGTCATGATACTTTGAGAATATTGAGGAAGCTGTCTTTATTTCATAGTTCTAAATAACTGAGAAATTTCAATATTCTTTCTCTAAGCAAAAGCAATGAAAGCAATAAAGCCAGTCAGATTTGGGACTAATACTCAATTTTATTATGCTATGGGTAAAAATTTGTTAATGGAATTTGATCTTAATTTTTTATCATAATCAATCGTTTGTCAAAAGTATAACATTAACACATCAGAGAGCACAACAAAATCCTAATGTAACATGCAATGTAAAGTAAAACTATTTTGTAAACAATCCATATAAGAAGTGTAGTTTGTGATTATTATCAAACAGCTGACAGAATAAGTGGAGAGGACGAGCACTTGTTACCATTGCATACAGTTAAATGGTGAAATTGTTTGTTCTGTTTTACTGGATGGGAATGTAGTTGTTAAAATAGAAGGTTTGAAAGGGTCAGACAAAAAGGTAGAAGTGTGCCAATGATTGTGGATAGATATATATTGCTGTTAGTTATCAAAATCTTACATATTTCATGGCATTCTTACATGTCAGTTTTCTTATAGGTCAAATGTTAACTATAAATTGATATCATAATGAAGAAATAATGAAGATCAACCTATCGAGACTCTCACTATATGTCCAGTGAAAATTACCCACATAAAACTGATATCCATCCTGCCCTGATGATACTAATATCCACCTCCCTTTACTGCCCTGATAACATTAATATCCTACTTAAACTGACCTAATTATATTGATGTCCTCCATCTACTACCCTGATAATATTGATATCCTCCCTCTACTGCCCTGATAATATTGATATCCTCTCTCTACTGCCCTGGTAATATTGATATCCTCCCTCTACTGACCTGATGATATTGAAACCCTCCCTCTACTGCCCTGATAATATTGATATCCTCCCTCTACTGACCTGATAATATTGATATCCTCCCTCTACTGTCCTGATAATATTGATATCCTCCCTCTACTGACCTGATGATATTGATATCCTCCCTCTACTGACCTGATAATATTGATATCCTCCCTCTACTGTCCTGATAATATTGAAATCCTCTCTCTACTGCCCTGATAATATTGATATCCTCTCTCTACTGCCCTGGTAATATTGATATCCTCCCTCTACTGTCCTGATAATATTGAAATCCTCTCTCTACTGCCCTGATAATATTGATATCCTCTCTCTACTGCCCTGGTAATATTGATATCCTCCCTCTACTGTCCTGATAATATTGAAATCCTCTCTCTACTGCCCTGATAATATTGATATCCTCTCTCTACTGCCCTGGTAATATTGATATCCTCCCTCTACTGCCCTGGTAATATTGATATCCTCTCTCTACTGCCCTGGTAATATTGATATCCTCCCTCTACTGACCTGATAATATTGATATCCTCTCTCTACTGCCCTGGTAATATTGATATCCTCCCTCTACTGCCCTGATGACATTGATATCCTTTCTCTACTGCCCTGATAATATTGATATCCTCTCTCTACTGCCCTGATGACACTGATATCCTTTCTCTACTGCCCTGATAATATTGATATCCTCCCTGTACTGCCCTAATGATAATGATATCCTCCCTCTACTGACCTGATGATATTGATATCCTCCCTATACTGCCCTGATAATTTATACCTAAACTTCTTCTGCCCAGATTCCTTACCCGTATCCTGTGATGAAAGAGAATCCCTCCGGGGCGACACGGTCGTTGAAGCTGATGAGGGTAAGGTTATCCACCAATCTCTTTTTTGTTTCATCACTACTTGGACTAAATATATTGTCACCGAGGATAACCTCCTGGGCTTGCCACCACTCGGAAATTGTGTCATTACGTAAACTCAAAGAAACATTACTGTATTGGATCGAAGAACCTGTGTATCAAAAATATATACGTACTTAATGTATATATATGTACTACTATTATTAAATGATGACATTTTTTTGGTCTCATGCAAATTTTTTTTATAAGATTTGCAGTATATTTCCATTTTTGTCATGATGTCCTGCTGATGTTTAACATTATATTTATTAATATTAGAAAAACAAGAGTTCCTCGGAACTGTATGTGTCGCCTTCATAAAGTGTCACGGTCACCCAGAAATTGAACTGGATGTGCAATGATCAACCATAAAGTCGTAATACCAAATTTCATTTCTATAACTTGAAGCATAAAGGGAAAACTGTGCAAAGCAATATTCCTGAGAAATTTTCCAAGTTGAAAGGGGCCTAACTCTAACTCTGCCAAAAAGGGTTACAGACACCTGAGAATGGAATTAAATCTGTACCCTTGCAACAAAAGCCATATGCCAAATTTCATTTTGATAACTCAAAGCATTACCGAAAAAAGTCCGGAAAGCTTTCGTACGGACGACGACGTTGACGACGCGTGATGACGGACAAAGTGATCCCTAAGTGTCCGCCAGCTCTGCAGGCGACACAAAAATTGTATTCTTTTGTGTTTTCACTATAACCCTACATCATTGCAGAAACTGATTTTATATATTACCATGTGATTCTTATTATTGTTTCAATGAGATGGCTTGATTTTCAATTTGACACAACCATGATTACCAAACATCTTACCAAACAAGAGTTCTCGAACTTCGACAGCTCGACCCTTACTCGGCAGATGTATAAATCGTGGAAACACCTGTGTCACGTCTCTGAAACAATCAAATATTTTATTGACTCATTTTTTTTTTTTTTTTGATAACTTGCCAGGTAGACATCTTAACTATAACATTAAATTCTAACACAGCTTAACCATTAAAGAACATATGGTCACAGTTGTTGATTGGAAATTATACAATATGAAGCCAAAACCAAACAATTAACTAATCGTTACGAATTACTCAGCTTATAGTACATCATTTGTTATTTAAAATACAAACTTTTAGCCATTATTCTGAAGTTTAAATGACAAACTGAATGAAGAATTACAAAAGCATTGTCTTCTATGCAACAATCATTTAAACCTGATCAAAAATATTCACGAAAAAAGCATTGCTCAAAAACATATCTGTCTACAAAGAAATAGAAGGATAGACATCTCTTAGAAGATACCATGCTCTTTGGTCCTCAGTTACCAAGGCGACAAATAACTATAACTGGAGACACTCTTCTACTACAAAATCAAGGGGAAGGCTGTATTAGACTGATTAGAACCTGTACGACTACTTCTCCCTATCCCATCAATCGTTGTGTAAACATCACCTCACCAATCACAACTCTGTAACTTACACTTTCTCTCCATGCATATTCTCCACAATGCTGGCTAGACGATTCTGTGTACTGGGATCCAGTTTTGTGGTGAATTCGTTACTCAGAGACTCCCCTGCTGCAGATGAACTTGGTGTCCTAGAATTCATGATAATCAGTAATATTGTAAGAGTTTAACATCTCCTCTAAGTCTCCTGCTATCTAAATGTACATAAAACATTTCATGTGTGCATCAGCATATAGCATTCAGATATTGAATTCCATAAGTAGTTACAGCACAACAATAACCTGGTAAAACAGTCCTAAGACTCAATGTTATTACTGTACTAACCTGGTTAAACTGACGTAAGACTCAATTTTATTACAGTGCTAACCTGGTTAAATGGACATAAGACTTAATTTTACTACAGTACTAAACTGTTCTTACTGATGTAAGACTCAATGTTACTACAGTACTGTCCTGGTTAAACTGACATAAGACTCGATGTTACTACCGTATTTTCCGGGTTATAAGCCGAGAGCCAAGTTTTCCAATTTGATCTACATATAAACTGCACTGGAATATAAGGCACATCCTTTCTTGTGAAATGGTTATCGTTACATTTAAAACATTTAATAATAATACACAGATAGTCCTTTATTTTATTGATTTATTTCAAAAATTGTAAAATAGCAATTATCAAACTCATTTGGCTTGGGTGCCTTCACAGATTGTCTACACACAGATATAGGGCGTGGCATTACGTACAGTTTAACAAACCATCCCTCCATTGTTGTCTGTACTGTTAAATATTAACGAAGGCCTTTGTATGCTAACCAAGTTCTTATAGTCCTACATCATTTCTTCTTGTCAGTTACACAAAGCCATTCATAACATAAGCAAAATGGTGGTCCCCCTAGAATTTGACCTACAACCCAATGACCTATCAATCCCAGGATGCAAAAGTCTATTGTAAACTTCTGCTATGGCTTCGAAATAACCGTGAAAGTCCAGAAGATATTATTTGTGATTCGTATTAAAAGGTACGATTCATTAAATCCACAAGGATGTTATTTTTATTTCAATCTTTAAGTCATCCTGTATATGATTGCAACTGACCTTTCTAGATGATCTATTTCAGTCACAAACATGCAACCTGTAGGTACTCATTAAAAGCTCAGTACCTTCTTGCACTGGTGTACTGGTATTTATTTATTTATTTTGTTTGTTTTTTCTTTCTTAATTCTGCCAATATTTTTTTTTGTCCACAAATGAGTCACATCGCTATATAAACCACATGCTCGACTCATGAGGAAAAAAGGTGGGGCTTATAATCCGGAAGATACATGAATGTACTGTTATCATTATTATGACATTATTAACAGCCTGTCAACACATAAAAGTCATTAGGACCATCAACCGGTAAAAACACACAATGATCCAAAGGAAACAACATGAAACAAACTTAATGGTAAAAGACAAATGCTAAAAATCTTAAATGGGTATGTTAACAAAAAAGATTAAAATTCTACCTCATAGTCTATTACACAGACCAACATCTTTCAGGTAACCTAGAATTTTACAAATCTCAATAGTTTCAAAAAGGTGTTTTGGACTTGTAATGTACTGTACTGACCTGGCTATAATGACATAACACTCAATGTAACAACAGTACTCACCTGGTAAAACTGACGTAAAACTCAATATTACTACTAGTGTTCTGTTTAAGGGTTGTGATGAGCTCCTGTTGACTAGGCGGACTGATGCCCCACACAGATGTTGATTTTCCATTAAGTGAAATCTTTGTAATGTCAACAGCCTCGTAGTTACTAAGGAATCCAAGTGCTTCCTGTATATATAATTAGTAATTTGTACATATTTGATCAAACACTTGGTAAACTATTTTCAGAATAACTGAATTAAAACATAACTGGATTTCAACATAACATTTTAGGATGATATCAAAGGTGTGTATATTTTTGAGCCAGTACACTGGGAATACACAGACTGTAACTTATATTCTATTACTTAGTAACTTTAAATATCTTTTTATTCCAATCCCACTGGCACATCTTGTTGTTAAGTTGTGGATTATGTTAGATGAGTTGGCTGATCCAATGATTATTAAGATTGTGATATACCCGATTGTTGGAATAGTAATCTCGCAGGTAGTTGTATTCCCCTGAAGTTAAAGTACTGACGGCCTGTGACTGGGCTGTCATCTTAAACAAAGGCTGCAACATAAAACAAATCCCGCTGTAAGTTAATATTCCAGAACAATAAACAAACATACAATACAATATCTATCAGTGTTTTATCTTAATTCACCATCTTAAGACGACAAATTTGGACAGCAACTTCTCAGCAGGTTTTTGGACATTACAGATGTTTTTTGTTTATTAGCTTTATATTGGTTTTACCTGGAATCCTCCGATTGCGATGGTCACCGTACAGTCAATGGGTGGATTAGGTACAAACACAGTGTTGGCCAGAGAGAAGATGACCAGTGGGAACCAGATGATGAAGATGACAAGTACCAAAAGTGACCCACCCATACCATATTTTACTAGTGACCGCTTCTTCTGGCCCCGTGGCGTCGGATATTTCTGAAACAACAAATTTTACAATGTAATATTCCAATCAGCTAGCAGATATTTCTGAATCCTTAAACCTTAAACATTGCAACATTTACCTCAGCTACCAGATGCTTCAGCAATAACAAACTTTATGTAACATGACCAAACCTTACTCCCAGTTCCATATACCACAAAGCTATGACTTAAAAAAGACCTCGACTTCATCACCATCTGAGTTTTTCTTGGATACTGAAACCCTTTTCCTCCCTCTGTATCACCTACTCTCTTAGTCTCTCTCCATCATTTGCCGCAGTTAATATTAAGGGGACATAACTCTACATCATCTACCCTATAAGTATCTATCCGTTCTATCCGTTATTTGGTGCAATTAAGACTGAGGGGACATAACTCTGTATTGACCTACCCTCTCAGACTCAGGGGACATGGCTTTGTATTGACCCATCCTCTCAGACTGAGGGGACATAACTCTGTATTGACCTACCCTCTCAGACTCAGGGGACATGACTTTGTATTGACCCATCCTCTCAGACTTAGGGGGCATAACTCTGTATTGACCCACTCTCTCAGACTCAGGGGGCATAAATCGGTATTGACCCACCCTCTCAGGCTCAGGGGACATGACTTTGAATTGACCTACCCTCTCAGACTCAGGGGACACAACTCTGTATTGACCTACCCTCTCAGCTTCTCTCCAGCATTTCAAAACGTAAATGTTAGCGTAAATGTCCTCCATCTGCAGCCAGCTACCAATGGCCATTGTTGTGTCGGTCCAAATCCAATCCATCAACACACGCAGTTCCAGTAAGAATGGAATTGCAAGGAACCTATTGTTATCCAAACAAATATACCATTTAAAACAGTTTTAATCAAATGACCAATTAAAAAAAGAATGAGCTAGAATAATTTCTGAAAATACTAGGATTTCCAACAATACCAACCTTTCTCAACAGAGATATATTAGACATAAGATATGATAAAAATACATATCCTCCAACAAGACATTATCAGAGTTTCACACTTGTCAGATGCTTCTGACAACAGAAATTCGTGGTTTCCATGGATACTCACCCTTTGAAGAGGAAGAGGTTGAGGTAGTTGTACTTCTTGGTAAGGAAGTTACCAAGAATACGAGTCGGGTAACTAGACCTGATCTGATAGGCTGACAGTCCAAAGTATATACACTTCATAAAGTACCATAACTGGGCAGGTATATTCTCTGAAAACTTCCTGAAAAGACAAACATTCTGTGAACTTCTAAAAAAAAAATATACACACTAACAATGCAGGTGATTGAATGCTAGAATATTATGTGAAAGAAATTTTGTAAAACTATGATTTAACATTTCATTTTTTTATTCAATTATCACGGGAGTATCAGTGAAACTGATATATGCTTCCTGAAAACAACTTTATTTAACACAAAATTTTTTACACCGGGCAATAATTCTGTAACTGAAGATTTTGGGCCATGAATTGGGTACAATGTACATCCTCTTAGTATGATCAGTGCATCTATACTCTTTTTCCTTGTTTAAATTAAAGCAAGGATTTTGCTTTGGCCACAGAAGTTTTAACAAAGGGCAATAACTCTAATTAAAGGGTTGTTGGTCCTTAATTTGGTACACTATACATCATATTAGTAATAGCAATGGATTCACCAAATTCTATTCTCCTAGTTTAAATGAAAGCAAACTTTTACTTGGGACATAAATTTTCAACAAAGGGGAATTTCTTAAGGGGTTTCAAGTCTAGAATTTGGAGCACTGCACATTCTCTTGGTACATAAAGTTTCTTATCCCTAGTTTAAATGAAAGCAAGGCTATGCTCCAGACATATCCAAATTTTAACAAAAAAAAACAATAACTAAGGGGTAACAAGGCCTGTATTCAGTGGGCTTAACATCCTCTTTGAATAGACAATGTATACAGCAAGTTTCTTCATCCTAGATAAAATGATGGAGTTATGCTAAGGACACAAACATTTTAACAAAGGGCAATAACTCTGTAATTAAGGGGTTGTGGGCCCTGACTTAGGAATACTGCATTTTGTGTCAATTAATGACAAATGTATATACCAAGTTTCATGATCTTTGCTTACCTGTAGTCAAAGATATGCTCAGTACATGAAAGGATGAGCATAATGACTAATGGACAGAAAAGTTTTGGGAAGCATAAAATTATTAGTTCTGGAATCTTGAATTTCGTCTACAAACAAATTAGTCTCCATAGTACAAAACCGCACCTTTCTGTAACAGATGGCAGGATGAAGAACAGCCATATGTGTATCATGGCTACCAGGAAGATCTGGAAGATGAATTTTCCCATCACATTTTTCCTGAGGTAGAGAGCACGGTCAACTATGATAAGGATGAACTGTGTGACCAGCATAAATAGAAACGTCACTGGGACCTGTTAACAAACACAGTATTTATCATTAAACACAGAACTTATCATTAGTCACAGGGACCTGTTAACATAATTATATAATATTTATCATTAGTCACAGGAACATGTTAACATGCACAGTATTAATCATTATTCTTAGGGACTTGTTGATATAATTATATAATATTTATCATTAGTCACAGGGAATTGTTAACAGACACGGTATCTATCATTAACCACAGGGACCTGTAAACATACAGAATATTTAATATCAATCATAGGGACTTGGGAATCAGCTGACCAATGTCTCTCCTTGGTCAATTTTCTATCTTGTAAACATGTATCTGCCAAGTGGCTTTATAAAACAAGGTCAAATCACCTGATTTTGTCAGGTCATAATGGACCAATCAAAATCTGTTCAAACCATGCAAAATGGCTGAATCATCAAAAATTTTATTTCTTAAGACTATAAAGTAAAATCTGAAAAAAAAATCACACAATTCTTTTAAAATTTGATAAAACAGTTGAAGTCTAAAATTCACCTCAGTAATCATACACAAAGAAAAAAGTAAGAATTTGGTCATTTTACTTTCTGGTCCTTTAACACACTTTTCACTCTTGATCCTTTTGAGGTAGAAGGGCTGACCACACATTTGCATTAAGATAAGAGACTCAAACAAAATGGACCATTTTTCAACTCTGAATAGATTTTCACAAAATGTTTCGGTTTTAAAATCTTTTTAATATTTTCTTTCCACAAGATTAGGACATATTCTTGGCCATTTTCATATCTTAAGATTTTGTTACGAATACTAATTTGATTACCCTTACCCTATCATTACGGAGATACGATGTCACATCACCTCCTCCAGCTGATTGCTGAAATAAAAGATTATTAAGCCAATTTATTACAATGTAATTATAAACAAAAGCAGCCTACATCTCATCATATCTTAGTACTTTTTATTCACACCAAGAATTTCAAATCTCATCATATCTTAGTACTTTTTATTCACACCAAGAATTTCAAATCTCATCATATCTTAGTACTTTTTATTCACACCAAGAATTTCAAATCTCATCATATCTTAGTACTTTTTATTCACACCAAGAATTTCAAATCAAACTTCTTTCGCCCTTCCTTTAACTGAATTACCAGTATTATTTTACAGAAATGCGTGTTCCTATCAATTTCCTTTTTCAGCTGAAATGTTTCAATGAATGTTAATTTTCTGCTGAATTACTTAAGGGACAGATATTATATCATACATCCAAGACTGTTCCAATAAATTTTTTTTTTTTTTGTTCATTGTTTGCATGAATCTTTTTTTTAAATTACTGCTATAAAAAATGTTTATTAATAAGCTTACAGCAACATATTTCGGAAGGGCTAGTTGAGTTCTGCAAAGGGAGGTAACCATGATAATACCATTTGTATTTTACAAATACCATTAAATTATCAAAAAAGGCTGAAAGCACAATTTCAAACTATAAGTTGTGTGAACATGTGTGTTCAAAATAGAATAAAAACATTACTTTCACAAGGAAATTGTTCAAATTTACAAGAAATTACAAAACCAAAATGAATATCTTATACAATTTCATTGATATTTCTAAAACTGAATCTTTATGCTGTACACTCACTGCTGGTCCAAATGCTTGATACCCAAACAAGACAATCAAGAAGTTGATGAAGTCACAAAAAAACATGGAAGCATACACATCAATAGTGGCATTATAGTCTTCATTGGTCAACTGTTCGTAGAAATCTGTAAATGGCTGGAAATATTTCTTCTTTCTGAGAAAATAAAGACAAAATAAACAATTCATTGGAATTCTGTAGTTTTATCTTTTGTTGATTAAGTTATAAACATGTCATTATATACAAAACAAAATTCCTTATTTCTAATTCTATCTATTTGGTCTGCTATCCCTTAAATCTTCATTAATGATCGTTTGTATTTTCATCAGTCTATCAAACTTAAGAAATAAACACCAACACTTATTCTGGACCCTTTAGCAAGTCATGTAATGGAAATATGATATATTATCAATTTAACTTTTTTAACTGTCACTTGGACCTTAGTGCTTGTAATTTACACAGGTCTCTGTGTAATTCTTTAATAATAATGATCATGTTTGGCTTATTGTTGTGTTGAAATTCTCTTGGTATTTGCACCTGTGATTGGCATCCTGTCCCTGATACATATGAGATTTATATCATGTTATTCAAAAGTGATACATTAAACAATGTTCTGTTTTCAAAAAAAAAGTTACAGATAGTGTCATCAACAAAAATCTGAGAGAGAATGTCCAGAATGTAATGGTCAGTTGCCCTAATTACTAACCTCTTGGACTTTTTCTTTTTTCCTTGGTCAAGGTCATCCTGTCCTGAGTCTTCTATAGAGGTCACCTGCAGGCTGGTGGAAGCTGTGGATTCTGTCCAGTTGGTAACATCAGCATCGTCCTGGCAAAACAAAAGACAAGGTCATACATCATATTTTATCATAAAAGTTTCACATTATGGAAAAAAAAGATAACAATACAATCATACAATAAAATACTGATTTCATCAAAAGCAGTGTAAAACTAAACACAGATATTTCCAAATCAATACTAACCTCAGGCAGTGGAGAGCTCGGTCGACTGATAACTTTTTCTACCTCCTTGAAATCTGCATCAATGTCTTCAGCATCCTTCCACAGACCATATCGCTACAAAACAAGAAACCATAGAATATTCACTGACTGCAGCATTTCAAAGTTTGTCCAAACGTATGACCTTGACAAATTTTCAAGGTAATAAGGGTAAATGCTGCTTACATACTTGAAAATTCCTTCTCAATACCATACAGATCCAGAGTTATTATGTTATTTAGCCAGTAGAATGCTGGAGCAAAAGGTTCTTATTAGAATTTCTTCTAATGAATGACTTTGATCCTTTCCTTTTTCAAAACCCTTGAGGTCAAATTGGGGGGAGGGGGGCACGAGAATAGACCATCTGGCTTAGATTCATGGGGTGGGCTTATTACAGGACAATGCAATATCATTTAATGTGAATTTTACTGGAACAGAACATCTGAAAGTTATGGGTTGTCTCATTATCAGGCATGGACTTTACTGCCAAATATATCCTGCTAACTTACTTTTGAATTTTGACAGAGAAACAAGAGGCCCATAGGGCCTGTATCACTCATCTTAGGGCCAGATGCGTTAAAAACTTTGAACAAATATAATCTGATGTAGCAACACAAGTGTACCTTCAGTATAGTTCGGTGAATGAACAACGCCAGCAGTAACACTAGATCAGCATAAGCATATCCATCCTTCTTTTCGATTCCGATTATCCGAGGTGGCCAGAATGGAGAAGATGGTGGTAGACCATCATTCCAAGTAAAAAAACCAAACTGGAACAGGTACTTGACCACTATGATAGCCTACAGATAAAAAAATACACAGTTGGAATGTTTGAGGAAAAAACTACACTCTAATAAGTGTCAGATTTTGAAGGTCACTTTCCTTGGAGATCTTTGTTTTTGCTTTGTTCAAGACCAAAACAGAAAAAAGACTGAAAGAAAAAAGCATCCATAGTTTGATAGAATTCTTAGTTATAGAAAAAGCAAAGTCTGTGCCATGACGTCTGTGGATTATTCGTCCTTGTTGTCTAAAGTCTGTGCCATGACGTCTGTGGATTATTCGTCCTTGTTGTCTAAAGTCTGTGCCATGACGTCTGTGGATTATTCGTCCCTGTTGTCTAAAGCTTTAATTAAACATTGAAAATCTTAACAGTCAAAAAACGACCTTTTTCAATGGCAAGAGTACTGTTTTTTCCAAGGACTTACCTCTGTGTATGTAATAATTGTGATCCAGAATGTCTTTGAGGGGCGTGGCACAGATAACATCCCCCACAGAAATACCATCAGAGGGAGGGGCAGGGACAGGAGACTGGCGTTGAGAATCTGGTTTAGTATCATTAGGAAGTAACACACCATCTCAGAACGGGAAATGATGAGGTAGTAACAGGCCTCAAACAACAGGAAAATCTTAGGCTTGCTTCTTTCAAACTTACTCTTCCCACTGGTCGAGCTGTCACTTTCTTCCTCACTATAATCAAAATGTGGATGTACCATTCATTTATTATTTTTCCTTTCTTATTGTAACAAAATACCAAAATCAACTGCAGACTTGCATTTAAAATCTTCTGCAAGTTATTTACCTATTGAGAAATTTCTTCAATCGTCATTCTGAACTAAGATTTTGCTGTGAAACAAGACATAGGAAAGTAGACACTACACTTGTTTTTATTAACTAGAAGACTGGAAGTTTACATTTACATACTTGAGTTGAAAACATTTAACTCTCCTGTCTGACCACATAGATTTTCCTCATGGACTTCCCCCAAAGTAGGATGCTCTGTGTGTTTCCACATGAGCCAACATGAGTGATAAACATTAATTGCTAAAACTTATTTTGTATTGCAAATTGTTGTAAAAAAAAGTCTGAGACAAAGTAGCTCTTTTTAGACAACCAAATTAAATCATTTAAAATTTAACAAAACAGTACTGATGAGTGTCAGTCATGCAAGGAATGAAAATGAGTTCTTGATGAACAAGTTTGTGGTCTAACAAATAACAAAGATTTAAAATTTTCATGATGTTCACTATAAAACTGAATATCACAGAGGCTTCAGTTTCTCATTATACAGGTCTTGTGATCACTACAAAAGTTTCCCTGGATATCTTTGATAGATTTTTGATAGTTCACACCTGTAAGACTCTGTATAATAGCTAACAGATGTAAAATCACCTTGATTCTGAGTGAATAGTTATCCAGCTCACTCCTAAATTATAACAGTTTACGTACCTTTAGTTAACTAGTGTCAGCTGATGTCTGATGAACTTTATTGTGTCACAGTCAAACCTGTCTATAAAGGTCACCCCAAGAAACCGAGAAAAGTGGTCTTTAAACAAAGGAATTTTTCTTATATTGGAACCCAAAACCAATGCCATGTTACATACATGTGACCTTTATAGACAGGTATTTGTTTCATACAGGTGACCTTTATAGACAGGTATTTGCTATAAAGATGCAGACTGTATAGATAGACATTCCATATGTTGTTCAGTAAGCTAGCGGCCAACTTCTACAAGGAGTCTGTCACAAAATGACCCTGGCTGTTCTCAGGGTGATAAAACAAGCAAACTTACTTAAAAGGGTATATAGGTGTATGACAGTGCAATATTTCAGTACATTGATGAACTCCAACTGATTACTGGATATGTAAATATTGCAACTTAAAGACTGATTATATATACAAATCAACCCCATCAACATTTTTCTGTGTTGAATACCAAAATAGGTATGAATCATGGAGCTTAACTTCAACAGAATATGATGTACATGATATGCCTACCCTGCAGATGGCATCTTTAGTTCTGTCTCTGTTTTTATTTCCACTAACTCTGTCATATCTGAGCTGGAAGACAGAACAAGGAATTTACAGGAACAGCAGCCAGGATTGGAGGGTTATCAGCCAACCACAACACAAAAATGACTAAACAGTCTCTCAAGTTCCTGATTAAGACATCAACTAATACGTTTCTATGACAATCTCACAGTAAAATTGGCATTAAAGAAAATTCTTATTGTGAACATTTAAGTCAATAAAATCAAAGCTTATTTTACTTAATCAAAAGTTTCAAAAATCTATAAATTCTTTAATATAATTTCAAAATATGTATTAATTTAAAGATATTGTCTGTTTTGGTTCTTTTTTTTCTCTCTCCCTCTCTTTTAATGCATGAAATGCATTCCACAAAGATATGTTCAGATGTGTTTTTTCACAAGAAATTTTGATTTTTTCTCCAAGTTTCATTAAAAATAAAACATATGCCAAAATTGGATTCTATTTGTTTTAATAATGATTCTTTCAAAGAAGTGCCATCAAATTTCTGTATGTGTGGTGATTGGATGACTGCAGAAATCATTGTTAGTAACTGGGCTATATTTATACACTGCTACCCCAAACTCCCTTCATACCAGACAAATGAAAACTTTCAAAATTCAAAGTAGAATTTTCTATTTGTTACATGTTGTTTATAGCTCCCAAAACATGATTATCAGAAAGTGTTGAAGACAGCAATTCTCCAATATTATGCATCTTTTTTGAAGTTCCCATAAATTTCACTGTTTGAAGTAAAAAAGTTTTGGAGTGATAAATCTGGCAACTGAAATTTTACAATAGCATGATAGATAAATGATTTTTGACAAGTTTTTAAAATAGATTTGTTGACCCTCTCCATTACCGAAAGGAGACAATGTACTAATTTCAATTCCAATTTTCCCGAGAATTTATCCTAGATAAGGAAATCAAGTGTGATATGTTAAGGTTGTTGATAGGAGAGCAGTGTATATATACAATAACAGTAAACTGGACAACACAGTAATAAGTAGGAACACTGTTAAAAGGCCATGCTTATTTAAAAAAATTCATGCATGATCAAATTTTTATAAGACTATGGTTCAAACTTTTGGGATTTGTTATTATCTTGGCTACTCTACGAGTTAGTCATGAAAATACTCTCACAGTAGATACATCATGCGTTTAATTCCTGTGACATCACACTTTGTCAAAGGACACTAAGGACATTGGATGCTGTAGGTCAGGGGTGTGGTGTGTAACTTACGTGGGTTGACCATCAGTGGCATCAGCACCATCCTCGTCACCAGAGAAGTCCAGATCAAGACGATGCTCATCCATGGTGGTTATCTGACTTCTCTCAGCCTGTAAGGGATATACAATCATTTAGACTTTCATAAACCAAGACACTCCTGGTTTATAGCTCACCATATTGGAGAAATTAAAACATACATTCTTCTGTTAATCACTTTGCAAGAGAAATAAATATATTGCTGTGTGATTTATATGACAAACATAAACATTTTCTCCATGTTTATTTTGAAGAGAAAAACATGTTACAATTTCTGTCCATTAAGTTAATCCTGATTAAATTATCAGTTTGAAATCTACACTCTGAGAGACATTATTTTCGTAGCATTATAACACCGTCTATATTACTTTATCTTTGTAATCAATAATGTATCAAAAATTAAATAAATCTCTTTGCATGTTAACAGGAATTTTGTTCAATTCAAAATAACACTATCTACCAAGATAATACTATTCACAAAATAATACTATTTACCAAGATAATACTATCTACCAAGATAATACTATCTTCACCATTATAATACTATCTATAAAATAATACTATCTTCCAAGATAATACTATTTTCCAAGATAATACTATTTACCATATTACTATTTACCTTTGTAATACTATTTACCAAAAATTAATACTATTTACCAAAATAATACTATCTACCAAGATAATACTATCTACCAAGATAATACTATTCACAAAATAATACTATTTACCAAGATAATACTATTTACCAAAATAATACTATCTACCAAAATAATACTATCTTCCAAGATAATACTATTTACCAAGATAATACTATTTACCAAGATAATACTATTTACCAAGATAATACTATCTACCAAGATAATACTATTTACCAAAATAATACTATCTTCCAAGATAATACTATTCACAAAATAATACTATTTACCAAGATAATACTATTTACCAAGATAATACTATTTACCAAGATAATACTATTTACCAAAATAATACTATCTACCAGATAATACTATTTACCAAGATAATACTATCTACCAAGATGATACTATTTACAAAATAATACTATCTACCAAGATAATACTATTCACAAAATAATACTATCTACCAAGATAATACTATTCACAAAATAATACTATTTACCAAAATGATATTATTTAACAAAATAATACCATCGTCCAAAATAATACTATTTACATTATATAGATTAAATCATCAATATTAAATTATAAAAACTTCTTATTTCTCCTTCATTTTACCCATTACAACCTACATTTATTTTCTTCTTTTCTTCTTTCATTTCTTCCTCAAGCGTGGAAGCCACCATGCGATAATTCTTAGATATATCGTTACACATTTCTATTAGCCAATCAGCAAAACTTTCCAGCAGTCGAGCCATAAATCTTAACAAGTTCCATGACTTCTGAACATAAGTTTCTGGAATCAAATTATAAACATACTGTAGAATCATATCTTTTTGTAGAATTCAATTTTTATGGCTTTTCAAAAAATCACTGTCTTGGGGACACTTTATTTTTATGGTGGATTATAATGCAATGAATCTCCTTTTATTAATTATAACAGTTTGTAGACATACGAACTTGTGAATAAAGTCTACCCATAAAATCAACAAAAATGTGTCACCAAGGTCTCAAGACATCAAGGAAAGGAGGCATGTTTATCACAATGTCTCACGACATCAAGGACAGAAACACATTTTTGTGACATCTTAACTTGTCATGAGCACGGAAAGATCTAGAGTTCAAAACAATTCTAAGGCAAAAGAATCAGTTGGCCAGAATCAAGTTGGGAAAAGATAACACCATCAGAAAAATCTGTCATCAACACTGACAGAATAAAAGGGAGATAATTGCAAAACTCAAAAGATGAAGAGAAAGTCACTAATCATAATAAGCCCAGAGGTCCTACACCCAAAGTTAAAATCAGGGAGGTGGGCTTACTATGCTTTCATTAGGGTTTCTTATCAAATTGCTATAGACATGGGTGGGCTTATTAATGAACATCGGCTTATTAATGGATAATTACAATAACTACAATGACGATGTCACACCCCACTCATGAAGATGTTAACGTCCTTTGAACTTATGATAAAACACTACATTATGATTCCAAGAAAATCAAGTGTCTATAACCTTACACAGTATTGAGAGTCATACTGAGACAAAAAATATCAAACCTTTATCTGACTGGTCGTCTGACAACTGATCATCCTTGTCCATCTGTGCCTTCTGTCCTGATTCCTGTTGCAATTTAAACAATTTAAACTTCAGTCAATCACAAATAAATTGATTTTTTTCAAACTTTACATACAAAACACCATCAGTGTAAAATGGAAACATTTAATGTCATACACTTTTGAATTCTGCAATAATGCTTAACCTTGTTTGAAGAGAAATATATGGTCCACCTAGATAATCAAACATCAAATTCCAAGACATTTTTCAGGATTTTCTGACATGAAATTAAAATTTTTTTCTGGGGGGTCAGTGACCACAGTTATGATAAGTGATTATTTTTTTTGTTTTGTTATTGTTTTGGCTTAACATTAAATTTTCCATTTCAGATCTAGCTTTTACGCATGCTAATCACACTGAATCAGCTAAGATCTCAGGGAAATATAAGAAGTTTCATATATCATACATCTCCACATCAAAGACACAAATTCAAGGACTTTTCAAGGCACCATTGTCAAATTCTAAAGACTATTAAAACATGAGATTGAATTCTATCTTCTTTAGGCAAGAGCTGAAAATCAAGGACTTTCTAAACCAGGGTCAACAATAAGAAATAACAATATTATTTTGTGAACTAAATCCGGTGAGTCTCATTTTCAAGATTTACAGTTTCCTGTCTAAAGGGAGGCAACTACTTCCTACATAGAACTTCAACAAAGTGACCTCCCATAAAATTAGCCTAGCTGATAAAATTCTAACCAAGTATCAATGCAGATCATGCATGTCATAATTAGTTTGAGTAACAAGTCAATTAATAAAGTACCTTTTCATCTGCCTCGTCTGCCATATCTACAGCTGCACCTGCTCCGGATGTGATTGCTGCACTGATGAGAGCAGTGGGGCTCAGCCTGCCGTCCTCTTCCTCTGGTTTCCCTTCACCAAATGTCACACTATCCACCTTCCTTTTATCCTCTTTCTCTACTTCTTCATCAAACAGGTAATAGTCACCAGAGCGTATTGCTAACAAAAAAAAAAGTCATGTTGAATATATTGTTACCAGCAAGTCTGTTTACTCCACACTATCACGGAAATATAACTATTATGATTCATGACTCTTTATACTTTATTTAATGAGAACAAGAGATACCAAAGGGATCTTGGTGCCTATCCTTGTTTGGTCTTTCTATGTTCTTTTTTCTCTATTTGCTTGTTATTTGAAAATTCCTCATAGGAAATATCAATAATAATTTTTAACTGTCAAATTACAGGTCACCTGTCAGCCATGTTGTTTTTCTGGTTAGTCCCAAAGAGGTACTACAAGGGACCTATGGGAACCTAGATATATATTTTTGAGAGAGATTCATCAAGTACTTCTTAAGAAATATTAATAATGAGTTTTCACTGTCACAATCACCTGTCAGCCAGTTTTTTTCTGTTCAGTACCAAAATCAAACAAGCAAAACTAAGGACCTACCAATAAAATTTGAGTAACATCCATCCAGTATTCATCAAGAAATTGTTTACGGAGGGATATGACAGACCATAGATATCAAACAACCTGAAGAGTTCTCCAGCTGAAATATTTCTCCATCTCCATATGACCTTCCCTGACCTTCACCTATACATTGACCTTAAAACATTCCTGTCTCCACATAGTCTTTCTTGACCTTGGCCAAATACACTGACCTGGAAGTATTCATTTCTCAATACAATCTCTCTTAACCTTGACCTGATACACTGACCTTGGAAATATTCCTGTCTCCACAAATGTCTTTCCTGACCTTGACCTGATACACTGACCTCGGAAATATTCCTGTCTCCACAAATGTCTCTCCTGACCTTGATCTAATACACATTGCCCTTGGAAATATTTCTGTTTCCAATTAGTCTTTCCTAATCTTGACCTTAAACTGACCTTGGAAATGTTCTTCGGTCTCCACATAGTCTTTCCGGACCTTGGCCTTTTGTTTTTCTTTCAAACTCTCCATTTTCATCTTGATGCCTTGTAGCACACTCTGTTCATCTTCCTTCTGCTGTTTTACATACTGAACCAGGATGATGTTGATTAGCTCAGCACCTCTGTAACATCAACAACAACATCAGTAACAGGTTTGACCATATATAGGCTTCTATTTATTGTAACATATAGCCTCTGCATCCAAAGTAACACAGCAGATGAAATCTTTCATTGTACAGAGCTTCACAATATTTCCGTAAAGCGTCCTGTGAGGGCTTTAAATGACATTCAGACAATCAAAAAAAGTTATTACTTCATGTTAATGGTACTTCGATGCATGCTTGTCAATTCCAGAATTCCGATACGATTTGTCTGAGGCAGTACTCACCTGACACAATTTGTCTGAGGCAGTACTCACCTGGACACAATTTGTCTGAGGCAGTACTCACCTGGACACAATTTGTCTGAGGCAGTACTCACCTGGACACAATTTGTCTGAGGCAGTACTCACCTGGACACAATTTGTCTGAGGCAGTACTCACCTTGACACAATTTGTCTGAGCAGTACTCACCTGGACACAATTTGTCTGAGCAGTACTCACCTTGACACAATTTGTCTGAGCAGTACTCACCTGACACAAGTCTATTTCGGCCTCATAACTGGACAATATTTGTCTGAGGCAGTACTCACCTAAACACTATTTGTCTGAAGCAGTACCTTCCTGAACACAAATCTGTTAAGATTGTTTGGGCTTTGGAGCTGGACAATATTTGTCCGAGGCTGTGCTTACCTAGATGAAATACTGTTCTGGGTCTTGTAGATGGACACTATTTTTCCAAGGATTTGCTTACCTGGATGCAAGTCTGTTCTGGGCCTCAGAGCTGGACACCACATGTCTGAAGTAGTGACTGTTGTAGATTCGTAGCTGGAGCAGCAGGAAGGTGAAACAGATGACATCCCACATCAGGCCAGTGTCATCCTCCTCCACAGTACAACCTACAACAGCCAGGTACATTTACTATACTCAACTTTAGAAACATTCTTGCAATCTTTATGAAAAAACTCTCACATAATCCTAATTTACTGACTTAAATGCTAAAAATCTTGTATGCTATTGGGGAGATTTTAAACTTCAAGACTCAATTCAATTAAATAATCTCAAAAATGATCTTTTCTGTAATATTAAATAATGGTTCAATTTATTGGGATTTTTTATCTCCCTTGATGGAACTCTCTTGACTTGCCTTCAGTATTCATGGTAAATTTTAGTGTACAGCCAGTAAAGAACAAGTTCCAGCTGTTGGAAGACTGCCCTGTTTTACATAAACGCTTTACCTGTGCTCCATTTATTGGAAGAGGTTGTATCTGTAGATGTGAGACATGTTAGTCCAAGTAGCTGTACAAGCCAGCACCATGGTCCATCATACAACTTATTGATGTAGACACAGCCCAGCAGCTGCAACAGTCAAATTACATTCTCATTTATATGGAAAAAAAAACGAGATCACGAATTATCCCTGTTTGTACTTCCTGTTGTATGGGTTTAGGATGAATGGGTAACAGCTACCTTTAAAATCCAAGGGTTTCAAATTACCATAGAATAAGAAAGGAATTGATAACATCTCTTATACTTTAACAACCATTATCATTTGACAACACAGTAAAAATGATGTATGAATGATGCTTCTCTCACCTGTAACGCAGCTTTCAGGAACAGCACCGCAAAGTTGTAACCTATCAGCAAATTCCAACTGGAACAGGAAAAAAAATTTTTTTTTTCAATTAAATCAAAATGAAAACAGATATTCTTATTCATTATTATTATACAATTCCAAAATACTCTATGACCAAATATTTTCATTTGGGTTTTTTTCTTATACTATTTCAAGGACAATTGATTTTGTGAATAAATGTAGCTCAATAAATCTACTGATGTTAATTTTAACAACTCAAGGACATATTTTTTTGTTGATTAAGACTATGCAGGAAATGAGTTAAAGATAATGATGTCACAGTATATACAAACTGTGAAAGTTATTCCATTCATTACATCTGATTCCATTGATTCCAAGTGAAAACAGAGAAGTAGAAATGATTAATTAAAATGATTACAAATTTCAATTATTACAAATTATGTAACTCAGTTTTTAATTTGAAGTTTTTAAGTTTTAAAGTTTAAAAATAAAAAATCTAAATTGATCAGATACTTGTTAGTTGACTAATCTAATTTTCAACTTGACAGGTTTTTCCAATCTCAACAATAACAACCATTAGATGATCACAGAGCCTGGATTTTATACACTGACCTTTTCCTGATGTTGCGGAGAGGTTTGAGAAGGAACTCCTGCCCATACCACATGAAGCAGAAGACTGCTATCATATAACCCATGCTAAAAATGTTGATACGAGTTACTCCTGCCAGGAACACGATGAACATGGTAGCCCAGTACATGTATACAAAGAAACCACTCTTTGCAATGTCCAAATATGACCTGCAAGGAAAACCATAGCTGTATTATTGGTTTGTTTGTGTCATCTGTCTCTTTGCATCACCTGTCTGTTTGTTTGTGTCACTTTGTGTCATCTGTCTCTTTGTTTGTGTCACCTATCTATTTGTTTGTGTCACCTGTCTGTTTGTTTGTGTCACTTGTCTCTTTGATTGTGTCACTTGTCTCTTTGTTTGTGTCACCAGTCTCTTTGTTTGTGTCACCTATCTCTTTGTTTGTGTCACCTGCCTGTTTGTTTGTGTCACCTATCTCTTTGTTTGTGTCACCTGTCTGTTTGATTTCTTTTGTGTTACTTATCTCTTTGTTTGTGTCACCTGTCTCTTTGATTGTGTCAGCTATCTCCTTGTTTTTGTCACCTGTGTTTGATTGTGTCACCCACCTGTCTCTTTGTTTGTATCACCTGTCTCATTGTTTGTGTCACCTGTCTCTTTGTTTGTATCACCTGTCTCTTTGTTTGTGTCACCTGTCTCTTTGTTTGTATCACCTGTCTCTTTGTTTGTGTCACTTGTCTGATTGTGCTATCTGATAATTTGTGTAAATTGTTTGTTTGTATGCTGAATTTAAACACCTGCCTCCTCCCCTTTTAAACCCCATCAACATGCTGGGGTTGTGGAGCAACATCTCCTTGTAGAAGATGATGACTAATTCAGTGAAGAACATGCAGGAGGCCCACCACATGCAATCCAAAGAAGCTAGGGATATGTATCTTCTCAAACGACAACATTGCAGTATCATCTGTGATTACAATCTCGTGAAAAAAACAACCCTACCAGGGGTAAGGAATGAACCTTACCTCAAATCTTCACCATTAAGGTTGAAATGAAAGGTGCTTTTCTGGCAGAGTTAACATGTTCCCTCCTGGTCTTATATGATGAGTATGGGGAATAAGGGTAACACTTATATGATGAGTATGGGGAATAAGGGTAACACTAATATGATGAGTAAGGGGAATAAGGGTAACACTAATATGATGAGTATGGGGAATAAAGGTAACACTAATATGATGAGTATGGGGAATAAGGGTAACACTAATATGATGAGTATGGGGAATAAGGATAACACTAATATGATGAGTATGGAGGAATAAGGATAACACTAATATGATGAGTATGGGGAATAAGGATAACACTAATATGATGAGTATGGGGAATAAGGGTAACACTAATATGATGAGTATGGAGGAATAAGGATAACACTAATATGATGAGTATGGGGAATAAGGATAACACTAATATGATGAACACTACTTTGTTTTGATGAAAAAGGTGTGTATATTCTCAATCTACCATTATAAATATGTCTGTGATAATGTATGATGTTTGTGTCTGTGATGACAAATGACATACTTTACTACACTTGTGAAATCCTCCACAGGATTAGGAACGTTGGCCTCCACATCTAGAAGTATGTCATAGTTGTCTCCCCCTCCATAGGTAGCCATGTTAGGCCCTGATTCCTTGCGGAACACCTGCCATTGTAGCGCCATGAACAACAACAGGAAAAAGTCGGCTGAAATATAAAATTTGAGTGACTTCTAGCTAGAAAATGGGATAATAAAACTACTGTGTGTTCCTTGCAGAATAACAGACAAATAGTTCATAAGATAATTTAGGAAAAATTATTCAGAGGATTGACAGGTAAATCTGACAGTTAATAAACACTATTTAATGCCAGATTGAAAATTAAGAAATACTGAAGACTTTCAACAAATGCTCTTTGAACAGAAAGTGACGGAAGGGATGGCTATAAGACAAGATGAGAAGTGACGGGAAGGGATGGCTATGGGACAGGACAGGAAGTGACGGGAAGGGATGGCTATGGGACAGGACAGAGAGTGATGGGAAGGGATGGCTGTGGGACAGGACAGGAAGTGACGGGAAGGGATGGCTATAAGACAAGATGAGAAGTGACGGGAAGGGATGGCTATGGGACAGGACAGGAAGTGATAGGAAGGGATGGCTATGGGACAGGACAGAGAGTGATGGGAAGGGATGGCTATGCGACACGACAGGAAGTGACGGGAAGGGATGGTTATGGGACAGGACAGAGAGTGACGGGAAGGGATGGCTATGGGACAGGACAAGAAGTGACGGGAAGGGATGGTTATGGGACAGGACAGAGAGTGACAGGAAGGGATGGCTATGGGACAGGACAGGGAGTGATGGGAAGGGATGGCTATGGGACAGGACAGAGAGTGACGGAAGGGATGGCTATGGGACAGGACAGGAAGTAGCGGAAAGGGATGGTTATAAGACAAGACGAGACGGGATGGCTATAGGACAGCACAGGAAGTGATGGGAAGGGATGGGCGTGGGACAGGACAGGAAGTGACAGGAAGGGATGGCTATAAGACAAGATGAGAAGTGAAAGGAAGGGATGGCTATGGGACAGGACAGGAAGTGACGGGAAGGGATGGCTATAAGACAAGACGAGACGGGATGGCTATAGGACAGCACAGGAAGTGATGGGAAGGGATGGGCGTGGGACAGGAAGTGACAGGAAGGGATGGCTATAAGACAAGATGAGAAGTGAAAGGAAGGGATGACTATGGGACAGGACAGGAAGTGACGGGAAGGGATGGCTATAAGACAAGACAGGAAGTGATGGGAAGGGATGGCTATGGGACACAACAGGAAGTGACGGGAAGGGATGGTTATGGGACAGGACAGAAAGTGACAGGAAGGAATGGCAATGGGAAAGAATGGCTGCGGGAAGGGACAGGACGGGATGGAAAAGAAAGGGGTGGCTATGGGATGTCTATGGGATGGGAAGAGATAAAATGGGAAGGTTTAGCTAAGGCATGGGATGAGATGGGATGGGGTGGTACAGGACAGGATGGAATGGAAAGGGATAGCTATGGGAGGGAAGAGATAGGACACTAAGGCTGGGATGGGCTGGGATGGGATGGGATGGGATGGGATGGGGTAGGACAGGACAGGAGGTGATGGGAAGGGATGGCTATGAGACAAGTCAGGAAGTGATGGGAAGGGATGGCTATGGGGCAGAACAGAGAGTGACGGGAAGGGATGGCTATGGGAGAGAATGGCTGTGGGAAGAGACAGGACAGGACGGGATTGACTGGAAAGGGATGACTATGGGATGGCTATGGGATGAGAAGAGATAGGACGGAAAGGTATAGCTAAGGGATGGGATGGGATTGGGTGGGACAGGACAGGATGGAAAGGGATGACTATGGGATGGCTATGGGATGAGAAGAGATAGGACGGAAAGGTATAGCTAAGGGATGGGATGGGATTGGGTGGGACAGGACAGGATGGAAAGGGATGGCTATGGGATGGCTATGGGATGAGAAGAGATAGGAAGGGAAGGTATAGCTAAAGGATGGCTATGGGATGAGATGGTGCAGAATGAAACTAGAAAACAGGACACAATAGAATTGAATGGGACGGGCATGATATAATGGGACATAAATGGATGGGGAACAATGAGATAGGACAGCCATAAGTATAACTGTAACACTATATGCCACCACATGAAACTGTAGGACAAAATTTTACTTCCAAAAATAATCATTTGATGGATTAGCTTTTGTGTATGAATCTATACTTACCAACCAGCTTACGGGCCTCTGGCCACTGTGGTATAAAATAGTTAGGTAGAACAAGCCAACGATCGAGGTTTTCTGCGTCTAAATCAGAGCTCCATGGCCAGGGGTATTCTGTCATAAATATATTACATTCACATCAGATATGATCAACAAAATACAAAAAAATAAAGTATAAAAAAAACATTAGAAAATACCAAAAACTGTAACAAAAACTCTTACTTCACTTTGCAGAATAAATAAGAATATTTTCCAATGAGATCAAAGTGGTGACCAGAAAAATGAACTCCGTGTAAGTTTTATATATATATATAGAAGTATGAATTATCCCTCCTTGAGATACAAGTGATTTCCCTTTGATACTGTAAAAACCCACGTAATAAGCAGATTTTTTTTTTAGCCATTAAATGTCCAAAGTGGAGGGTGCCAACATTATGTGGAAAAATTGAAGATTCTGTGAGACCACCACCACTGATTGTCAGAATTATCTGGTACGCAAAGCTGACACAAAAAAAAATTGATAATTTCTGTATGACCAACAATTATGAATTAAATAAGACAATTATTGTGCATATCAATGCAAACTATCTGAGTCAGTATCATCCAAAATCAGGACAAAGTGTCTAAAACGTGATAGCAACTAGCAAGACAGAAAACTAACAATGGCAAAGACAGTACCCTGTTTCTGACATTGAAAAATATGCTGATTATCTTTTGAAACACTTACATGTCCAACTTTTAAGAAATAGATAGGTTTCATTTCATTTGCCTTCACATCAGATATAATGACAAACTCATAGCATGAGCACATGTCCCTTTTCAAGTGTAATGGCAGAAATTAGCATTGAGCATGAAAAGTGCTGATTAAGACACTGGTTTGGTTTTATTGATGTTTACGAAGCAAATCTAACAAGCAAATTCATGGAATTTATATTCCCTGCTTTCCAAACATATTGTACGTAAATATTTTAGAGGTTAGGAGTAAACATGTCATAATGCTATGTAGAATGATATATTCTCTTGAGATGATGCGGATTGCTTAACTTAGTCTTATGTGCCCTAATATGCATCTAAATCGGAAATGAACCAACCAATGAAATCAAAGGAAACCTCATTAGTATGCATAATTATTAACATTATTAATTATTAATGACCCCAAGATGCATCTGCTGACCAAGTTTCACCCAAATTGGATGATATTTGGGGAAGTTAGAACACGGAAATGAAAGTGTGACAGACAGACAGATGGACGGATGGACAAACCCAAATTAATATCCCCCGTTTCGGTGAAAGCAGGATATAATAATAAAGAGAAAATAATCTTGCCCGGATTGTGTTAATTAAATGCCATTCTTCTTTTGACAATACACATATATAAGTTGACTCGCGGAGATCGTAATTACCTGGTTTGGTCATTAATAGGTAAAATATGACTTTTATCTGTGTTTTTAGCACTGAACACTGTTGATAAGGCCTAGTGTGATGAAAGGTGGTTGTGTATGTAAGATAAATAAATATGGGTTTATTGAATAGGTAAGTAAATGATAAAGGACATTTTTTTTTCTGTTGTATTTGTACCTATACTTAAACAAAAGGCAATTAAAAGTCAGTAAGAGATGAAAATTTTGAAGAGAATACTTTCAAGTTTTGAACTTTATTCTGTTGGTCTGACATGTTAGCTGAACACTCTAAGACTAGAGATAGACTAGATATGTAGGAAACAGAGTAAGGACAAATTTCTTCTTTGATGTTTATCAAATGTTAACATATTGGTCAGAGTGACCTACTTTAGATACATAACACACCGCCTCAACATGGTGAACCCATACCCTAAGTATGAAGACCAAGTGACAATAAGTGTAGGAGACAGAGCCCAGACAAACTTTTTTTCTTTGATGTAGGTAAAAATATGGACAGCCAAGACCCATCATCTCTTGAAAATTAAACTGATTTATGGGTGATCTCCCCTTCATAATAAAATCTGGCATGAGTTATCTCCACTACGCATAATGACTCACCAATACAAAGTCCTGTAGGGAGTCCGAGGCGTTGGACATACTGTAGAGGCAGCAATATAGCTATAAACACTGTGAACAGTGGCCACATGGTGGCGTTCCTTCGTCGGGAGAGGAACAGCAGCGTACCAAGTATTGCAGCATATAAAACACTGTAGGCATCAACTCGCACACTGATCGTTATAGCGAACATCACATAACAGATCTGAAATGTCATACAACAAGAAGTGGAAACAGTTGGGTGGATCGTGATCGTTTCCAATACTGTAATCAATAACAACTACACATATCCCACATTTTCTGAGTACAAAACAAAGCTTTTAACTGAATGAAAAGTGAAGAAAGAATTCTGTGGATTACTTTAGACAATGAATTTTTATAAATAAATTTTGAAGTCATTTTGAAATATCACTGGAGAAATACTACTATTCCCAAATATTTAAAATCTTAATTTTAATATAATCTAATTTGGTTACTGTTTCATTTTCCTCAAATCTGAACTTTTAATCATTTTCCTCTTTATATAAAAAGAACTGAAACAAATGATGGGCTCTTAAGATTAATCCTAAAGGTACTGGTAAGTTTCCTTCTTATGTTGAAGTTCAAAATCAGGAAACAATGAGAGTTTTCCATGTGAGGGCCTATATACAGTTAAATAATAATCATTAACAACCCGCAAACTTGTAATTATCAATAAGTACTCACCTCAAGTCCAAACTTGTAATTATCAATAAGTACTCACCTCAAGTCCAAACTTGTAATTATCAATAAGTACTCACCTCAAGTCCAAACTTGTAATTATCAATAAGTACTCACCTCAAGTCCAAACTTGTAATTATCAATAAGTACTCACCTCAAGTCCAAACTTGTAATTATCAATAAGTACTCACCTCAAGTCCAAACTTGTAATTATCAATAAGTACTCACCTCAAGTCCAAACTTGTAATTATCAATAAGTACTCACCTCAAGTCCAAACTTGTAATTATCAATAAGTACTCACCTCAAGTCCAAACTTGTAATTATCAATAAGTACTCACCTCAAGTCCAAACTTGTAATTATCAATAAGTACTCACCTCAAGTCCAAACTTGTAATTATCAATACGTACTCACCTCAAGTCCAAACTTGTAAAAAAAGTAGTTGGCAAGGAACTTGGCACATGAGACAAGGTTTTTGTCAGCATCTGGACGGCGTATCTCGGGGAAGATGATACCACGGGGTGGTTTCACAAAGTTGGCTCTGTTGTAGTGTTGTTGTTGATGGTAAAAAACTATTCTCTCAAAGGCTATCAACAGCAGGATGGCTATGTGGTTCTGGACAGAAAAACAGGAGAATACTCTAAATTCTGTTTCAATACTTCAACTTTAAAATATCATGACTGCCACTTTGTTTTTCTAAGTAAGTAAAAAAAGCACAACTTGAGTCCATGGGACACCTATGTATGAAATTTGCAAAAGATCAATTCAGTACATCTCAAGAAATAGCTATAACAAGAATTGTTTAAGGACATATGGACAATGGACAGATGGACAATTGACAGATGGCCATTGGACAAAGTGCAATTTGAAATGCCCACAATCTGATGATGGTGGGCTAGAAAAAAAACATATTTTTTGGACAAACTGTCATTGAAATTGAGGGAATTTAAAACACTCACCTTGAGATAAGCAGAAAGTTTATCCGTCTTATCAAAACCAACCCATTCCGCATTGTCAATTGTCCCATTGATGAAAGGGTTGATGACATTCGTCGTATTATTACCAGAAACATTTCCACCGACCATCTACAAGTAAAAGATAAATGGAATTATGACAGGAAGGCAACATTGTATTTTAGTAATCAATACGTATCATGGGTGTTGATAGCTACCTATGAATCCTATTGCACTCTGCAAATCGGTACTACTAGGATAAGGTTACATCACAATTTCACTGCCAGGCTCCAACAAACTAAAAGATATTCTCTGACTTTGAATATTTACAGAACATAAATGCTGACAACCAGAAATCAGAAGGTCTCTGACATGGAAAACATACAACTGTTTCTCTGACCTCAACTTTTTGTAGGCCCTATATCTACAAGCAGAAACAAGAGTGTCTCTGACTTAAAGTACTGACAGATCCTATATTAATTACCAGAAACAATACTTCTCTGATCCAGAATACTTACAGAACCTACATTGACAACCAGAAACAAGAGTTTCTTTGACCTGGAATACTTACAGAACCTACATTGACAACCAGAAAGAAGAGTTTCTTTGACCTGGAATACTTACAGAACCTACATTGACAACCAGAAAGAAGAGTTTCTTTGACCTGGAATACTTACAGAACCTACACTGACAACCAGAAAGAAGAGTTTCTTTGACCTGGAATACTTACAGAACCTACATTGACAACCAGAAAGAAGAGTTTCTTTGACCTGGAATACTTACAGAACCTACATTGACAACCAGAAACAAGAGTTTCTTTGACCTGGAATACTTACAGAACCTACATTGACAACCAGAAACAAGAGTTTCTTTGACCTGGAATACTTACAGAATCTACATTGACAACCGGAAACAAGAGTTTCTTTGACCAGGATTACTTACAGAACCTACATTGACAACCGGAAACAAGAGTTTCTTTGACCTGGATTACTTACAGAACCTACATTGACAACCTGAAACAAGAGTTTCTTTGACCTGGAATACTTACTGAACCAACATTGACAACCAGAAACAAGAGTTTCTTTGACCTGGAATACTTACAATACCTACATTGACAACCAGAAACAAGAGTTTCTTTGACCTGGATTACTTATAGAGCCTACATTGACAACCGGAAACAAGAATTTCTTTGACCTAGATTACTTACAGAACCTACACTGACAACTGGAAACAAGAGTTTCTTTGACCTGGAATACTTACAGAACCTATATTGACAACCAGAAACAAGAGTTTCTTTGACCTGGAATACATACAGAACCTGTACAGACAAGCAGAAAAAAAGAGTTTCTGTGACCTGTTATACTTACAGAGCAGTTGGAAATCCAGTAGTCCTTTTCCACAATGTTCAGCTGGTATATGGTCTTGGAAAGGAGGACAGTGGATGTCCATAACTGACAAAGAAGGGACATCAACTTCCAGCCAGCAGTCAAAGGCAGGAATATTCCTAGTAGTATCACATACACTGCACTAATAGCAGAAATCTGTAGTAAAAGATCAGAAGTCAGATATATGTACAATGCAAAATTTGATATTGGAATGCTGTGACTGTAGTTGAAGCTTACCTCCTGAATGACTACCATAAAGATGGTGAAGGCGATGACCTTGAAGATATGGATCTGAGCGATCCTCCACAGCAGGCGAGACAAGTCACTCCACCATGCACTACAGCGTGACCAGGCTATAAGAAAGTAATACTTCATCCTCCGCCTCATTTCTGATGGGAAAAAGAATTACAGGTTAAAAAGTTCAACCTTCTTATGGTCAATCTTCACAAGGTTAACCTTCCTATGATTGAAGTTCAAATGGTCAACCTAATAATATCAACCTTCTTAAGGTCAAGTTCACAAATTTAACCTTCACAAGATGAACATTCTTAATTAAGGTTAAAGTTCATAAGGTCAACTTTCATCAGGTCACCTTTAAAGTGTCAAGGTTATTTTTCTTAAGATAATTTGATAGCTTTTGGTCCCAACATGATACAAACATGATATCTAGTCCTTAGGTTTCATAATCAGCGAGTAGGAGACACTGACATATGTTCACAGCTGAAATTACTAACTAAAGGAGAGTTAGATCAAAATGCTTCTTGGTAAAATTTTAGCTATGTTGACAATCATCTTAATGTTACAAATAAGGGGCAGATAAATAGCAGGGATGTTCCTTCTGAGGACTGTGCTAAAGTCCTACAAATGTTAAGTCAGATCAGCTTACTCTTGGTGCGTTTGAGTATGACGCCTTCACTGTCTGATGTTCCTTCTGTGTCAGTTGTCATACTACCTACTTGCTGAGGTAGGTCTTCCTTTCTGTAAAACAAGTGATCACACTGTATGTTATATTTGGAGCAAACATCCTTATGACAAAAATTATTGTAAAAAAAAACATCATTGTGAAAATAATTTTTCTCTACAAGGAACATCCTAATGACATAGACTTTTTGTACAATAAACATCCTCACAATACTGATTACCCTGTGAAGAAAACATCTTCCTAGTACGCATTATTTTAACGACAAACATCTACTGAACATACATCTTCATATCACTGATTTTTTATGGATGAAACATCCTAAAAATATTGAAAATTCACAACACTTACTTACTGTAATCAAACATTTTTAAACAGTAATCTTCTTTTAGCGATGTTTGTGCTGACAGCAGCAGTAAAATAGGATTGCTCTAATTACAGGCCCAGAATGTTATTTAAAGGGCAATCAATATGAATGTATGATCTCATCGTTGAGTTAATTTCACCCCAAAAAGATAATACTCTAAGATTTGATGGCACCAAATGATAAGTATCTTTACTGTATTTCAAAATTTGAAAACAACGAAAACACTAATTTTGTTAGGAATACCTTAAGATCCATTTTGTGAAATATGGAATGATTTTGGGGCATGATGTAAGCACCTTATATGATAACTTAGCTCCAATTTCCACCACATTAGATAACACCACTCACCTGTGTCTTTCTAAGTCACTGAGGAGTAGAAACGGTTTATGGAAGTAGTGGACTTGTAGAATGATTAGGATAAGGAAACTTGTCGGTGTCAGCAGCTTCTCAAATAGACCAGCCGTGTCAAAGATCTCTAGACCAATATCTGACAGGCTGTAATATGTCAATAAAAAATGTTTAAAAATCTGTAACATTTAAGATCATTGAAATTTATCATATTCTTGTTTCTTCACAAAAAATTGTAAAATTTCTACTCTGAAATAGCCTATTGTCAATCATCTGAAAGCTTATATGAAATGGCCTTTAGTCAATTTTCTGATAACTTATATGAAATGGCCTTTAGTCAATTGTCTGATAACTTATTTGAAATGGCCTATAGTCAATTGTCTGATAACTTATATGAAATGGTGTTTAGTCAATCATCTGATAACTTATATGAAATGGTTTTTAGTCAATTGTCTGATAACTTATATGAAATTGTGTTTAGTCAATTGTCTGATAACATATTTGAAATGGCCTATAGTCAATTGTCTGATAACTTACATGAAATTGTGTTTAGTCGATTGTACTCACACTATGAGAGTTCAATGTTATTTTTCATGTAATCAGGAAATTATTCATACAAGTACTTACACTTTGTCGGAGAGTCCAGTGCCGGTTTTTCATATATCAGGAAATTATTGAAACATGTACTTACACTTCGTCGGAGAGTCCAGTGCCGGTTTTTCTTATATCAGGAAATTATTGAAACATGTACTTACACTTCGTCGGAGAGTCCAGTGCCAGTTTTTCTTATATCAGGAAATTATTGAAACATGTACTTTCACTTCGTCGGAGAGTCCACTGCCGGTTTTTCTTATATCAGGAAATTATTGAAACATGTACTTACACTTCGTCGGAGAGTCCAGTGCCGGTTTTTCTTATATCAGGAAATTATTGAAACATGTACTTACACTTCGTCGGAGAGTCCAGTGCTGGTTTTTCTTATATCAGGAAATTATTGAAACATGTACTTACACTTCGTCAGAGTCCAGTGCCGGTTTTTCTTATATCAGGAAATTATTGAAACATGTACATACACTTCGTCGGAGAGTCCAGTGCCAGTTTTTCTTATATCAGGAAATTATTGAAACATGTACTTACACTTCGTCGGAGAGTCCAGTGCCGGTTTTTCTTATATCAGGAAATTATTGAAACATGTACTTACACTTCATCGGAGAGTCCAGTGCCATTTCTCCAGTAATCAGGGAAGTCACTAAACTGATATGTGTAGAGCATGATGAGAACACACATAGAGTAAATAATGACTGCCCACCAGAATCCAAACATCGTGAGGCGCCACAGCTTGTAGCTCACCTGTACAATAAACACAAAATTAAAGTCTGGATGTACCTAAATATTACAGTAGGATGTTTCTTCCACACCTAGAGATACCTAAATATTACAGTAGGATGTTTCTTCCACACCTAGAGATACCTAACTATAACAATAGGATGTTTCTTCCACACCTAGAGATACCTATCCATTACAGTGGTATATATCACCCACATCTAGAGGTACCTATCTATTACAGTGGTATATATCACCCACACCTAGAGATACCTATCCATTACAGTGAGATATATACCCACACCTAGAGGTACCTATCTATTACAGTGGTATATATCACCCACATCTAGAGGTACCTATCTATTACAGTGGTATATATCACACCCACCTAGAGGTACCTATCTATTACAGTGGTATATATCACCCACATCTAGAGGTACCTATCTATTACAGTGGTATATATCACCCACATCTAGAGGTACCTATCTATTACAGTGGTATATATCACCCCCATCTAGAGGTACCTATCTATTACAGTGAGATATATCACCCCCATCTAGAGGTACCTATCTATTACAGTGGAATATATCACCCACATCTAGAGGTACCTATCTATTACAGTGAGATATATTACCCACATCTAGAGGTACCTATCTATTACAGTGAGATATATCACCCCCATCTAGAGGTACCTATCTATTACAGTGGAATATATCACCCCCATCTAGAGGTACCTATCTATTACAGTGGAATATATCACCCACATCTAGAGGTACTTATCTATTACAGTGGTATATATCACCCACATCTAGAGGTACCTATCTATTACAGTGAGATATATCACCCACATCTAGAGGTACCTATCTATTACAGTGGAATATATCACCCACATCTAGAGGTACCTATCTGTCACATACTGATATATTACACTTGTCTCTTCATTTGTTGGACTTCAGAAGAACACATAGATGGACATATGGATATATATCCACATATGGTCCCATTATATGTTACATTTTAGTAACTCTATTAGGTATATACAAATTCAGACAATCAATTTATACTAAACAAGATCCTGACCTTTAAACTTTTATCACTGACTACCATTGTATCCAAGCTTAAACCTTTCCTTTTGACCTTTGCACTCCCTGATTGTCAGACCACTGTCACTAATTAAAATTTTCTGTGACCTTGAACCTTAACTGTGTAATAGTCATGTCCCAAATTTTTCAACCTTCTGTCACCTTGAACTTGAACTGTGTAATGGTCACTTTGTCCCTAATTTAAACCTTCTGTCACCTTCAACTTTGAGTGTATAATGATTATGTTGTCCCTAATTTTAACCTTCTGTCACCTTGAACTTTGAGTGTATAATGATCATGTTGTCCCTAATTTTAACCTTCTGTCACCTTGAACTTGAACTGTGTAATGGTCACTTTGTCCCTAATTTTAACCTTCTGTCACCTTGAACTTTGAGGAAGTATAATGATCATGTTGTCCCTGATTTTAACCTTCTGTCACCTGAAACTTTTACTGTGTAATGGTCCCTAATTTAAAACTTGTGTCACTTTTAACTTTCACTGTGTACTGGTTAGGTTGCAAGTATCCCTAATTATTATCCCTAAGCATGTTGTCCTTTTTCCTTTATTTCTAATTCCATACATATGTATGTTACAAGTTTGTGTGTTGTTTGCATAAACCCCAACCTTTTAGCAAAGGTTTTTCAAAATTTAGATACCAATGACTTTGGCCAAACTTTGAAGGACAAATCAGGAATCATTACACAAAAGCATGACATTATGTAATTGTTTGTAATCTTACCTGGAAGGCCATAATGAAGTAAAGGAAGAAGACAAGGTAGATGATTCTGTAGATGACTACGTCCTGAATGGAAATGAGCAGCAGCATTCCAGCACATACAAATATCCAGTACTTAGACAGCAGGGACCAGATATAGCTACCTAGATACAGAAATATCCAGTCCTTAAGTCAGCTCAGACCAGATATAACTATCTATATACAGAAATATCCAGTACTCAGTCAGCAGGGACCAGATATAGCTACATTGATACAGAAATATCCAGTACTTAGTCAGCAGGGACCAACTTTAACAATCTACATAGACAAATATCCAGTACTTAGTCAGCAGGGACCAGATATAGCTACATTGACACAGAAATATCCAGTACTTAGTCAGCAGGGACCAACTTTAACAATCTACATAGACAAATATCCAGTACTTAAACAGCAGGGACCAGATATAGCTACATTGATACAGAAATATCCAGTACTTAGTCAGCAGGGACCAGATATAGCTACATTGATACAGAAATATCCAGTTATTAGACAGCAGGGACCAGATATAGCTACACTGATACAGAAATATCCAGTACTTAGTCAGCAGGGACCAACTTTAACAATCTACATAGACAAATATCCAGAACTTAGTCAGCAGGGATCAGATATAGCTACCTAGATACAGAAATATCCAGTTATTAGACAGCAGGGACCAGATATAACTATCTATATACAGAAATATCCAGTACTTAGTCAGTAAGGACAAAATCTAACAATCTACATAGACAAATTTCCGGTACTTAAACAGCAGGGACCAGATATAGCTACCTAGATACAGAAATATCCAGTACTTAGACAGCAGGGACCAGATATAACTACCTCGATACAGAAATATCCAGTACTTAGTCAGCAGGGACCAGATACAGCTACCTAGATACAGAAATATCCAGTACTTAGTCAGTAAAGACAAAATCTAACAATCTACATAGACAAATATCCAGTACTTAAACAGCAGGGACCAGATATAGCTACCTAGATACAGAAATATCCAGTATTTAGTCAGCAGGGACCAGATATAGCTACAATGATACAGAAATATCTAGTATTTAGTCAACAGGGACCAAATATAACTATCTACATAGACAAATATCCAGTACAGAGCTGGGACCAGATACAGCTACCTAGATACAGAAATATCCAGTTATTAGTCAACAAGGACCAAATATAGCTATACCTAGGTACAGAAATAATGGTATTGAAGTAGCAGGGACCAGATATAGCTATACCTAGGTACAGAAATATCCAGCTATTAGTCAGCAGGGACCAGATATATCAAAATGAAGTAAAAGTGTCTGATGTAAGATTCATCATATAACTCTGGTCCATTGTAACTTTATTTCCTAATTGATCATACTTTTCTCATTTTCTCCTTTTGTGTTCTCATTCATTGATCACTTATCAAACGAAACTGCTATATGTGATTCCTTCAGACAGCCAAAGGGAGATAAATCTGTTGTGAACAAAAACCAGTTCACCATAAATACATGTGAATGAGCGGTAACTCAGATTCCAACAGCTCTTCTTACGCTTCAGTGCTCTCTACAGATAATCTTAGAGAAGATATTTTGTAAAGGGCTACATATACAGCAGAAACCATCTGTAGGTCCCACGTCTGAACAGTTTCCATGCAAGAAAATATTCCACATTTAATATGTCACATAATGTCAGTAAATAAGAACAATTCAGCATACACAAGCACATAGCTCAGCATAGACAAGTTCAAGGTTAAGCATGGATGAGCACAAGGTCAAGCATGGACGAGCACAAGGTCAAGCATGGACCAGCACAAGGTCAAGCATGGACCAGCACAAGGTCAAGCAAAGAAAAGCACAAAGGTCATCATGAATAAGAACAAAATAGAACAGTTTAGCACAAGACATGATAGCCAGTTCAGCACAGATAAGCACAATACACATAGAGGAAACAAAGGCAACATACCAGATAACAAATAAAAAGAGAATATTCAAAATAATTTTTAGAATAAAATGTGTAATTTATTAAAAAGACAAAAACTAAACAAAAAAGAAACCAGAAGCAAGCAATAGGTTTTTTTCCCTAAAACAAATTTTAAACAACCAAATCGTATACCAAAATTCTTTTCCAAAGAGTTGACCTTGAACCATAACTGAATATATTTGATATAAATTGTGTTCGATACCTGGTTCAAGCAGATTTGAAATAGTTCCAACCTACCCATTAGCATGAAAAAATCAGTTAAATTTTTTTTTGTCCTTAATTGTTTTAGTATATCATATACTTCAGAATTGTCTACACTTGACATATCAACACATACCTAATTCACTTCACCAATAACAGACCCGCAGTTTGATTGGAACGTTCACTAGCTACACACAGATAGTACAAAGTTTTAATGCATTCATTGCCAAGCCAAACAATGATGTGATTCAAATTCAACTTCTCTAGATCTAGTCTAACAAAATCCAAACCCACATTTCTTTTGAACAAGAAGTAGATATATATGGTGTGTTATCGTACCTAAATCCTTGATAGTGTTACTGTCATAACCATCGACAGAATCCAACCGCAGGGGAAAACCTAAATCATCATGCAAAACAAAAAAAGCACATGATAAACAAGGCAATCTGTGCATTCCAGGGTAGAAGCTGCAAACGGTGAAAAGGCGATAACATAAAATGTAAATAAATATTTATAGATCATTTATTTTACAAATGTAATAATAATGATCTTCTGATAAAAGGACACTTGCCATTATTTAACTAATTCATAAAAATTATATCTATATATACATTATCTTTATTTAACTAATTCAGAAAAATTATATCTTTATATACATTATATTTATTTAACTAATTCAGAAAAATTATATCTTTATATACGTTATATTTATTTAACTAACTCAGAAAAATGATCACATGTCTACATCTTTTTAAACGTAAATGATTTCTGTGAAATTTGATTATAGTTTCCTGAAATTGATCTTTCTCTAAATGTCAGCATTATTATTAGTGAACACAGAAAAGGAAATTCAATTAAACGATAAAAAGCACAGAACACATACTTGAAGCTGTTAGTGTGAAATAAATAACATTAAATAATTCAAGAGAACACTCCATAACAGTGAATTCCAATTGGCCTCTTATGATTTGAACAAATGAATCAAATAACTTGTTGGTAATAAGCCAATATCGAATAATAACCCCAAACATGTATAATTCTTTTCAGTAAATTATCAGACAAATGCAATCACATTTTCCAGTAATAAGCACATTCCCTGAATTTTTTGGTCTGGAGTAATATCCTGGCTGCCCTGGCTCATTGCTGTACCACACGAGCTGTGATATACAGTCATCTCATAGGCCTATACACCAGTTAATTCAGACTGAGAATATTTTCGATCTTAAAGATAAACATGTCAGAAATCCTATTTGCTGTAATGATTTTGAAATACATGTAGCCAATATTTGTTTTGTAATAGTACAAACAAAATTTCTAATTTTTTTACACTGGTTCCTTCTGATGTTTTGATTAAAAATTTGACCTCAGCAAATTTGCTCCAATTTTGATGATTTGTAATTTCTAATGTATTGAAGAAAAATCATATTATTCAAAATTTTTTTAAAAAACTCTCAACTCAAGAGTAAAGAAAAGGATTGCTAAGTGAACTGCAGGACACTTTTCAGGTCCAATACGGTAAAGAAATATTATACATCATAGATATTGTTAATGCAAATATAGACAATAATGAAGTTATACAGTAAATATCACAGGGGACATTTGTCATCAGTCAGGACTAATTTGATAATCAGTAATTTGATTACTGATACTTATTATAAGTGGGTAACTGGTGTTCATTCAGATGCTAATAAAGTTACGATCCTAGACAAACAAGGTTCCTAATATACATGCAAATCCAGCATAATTATACATTCACATAAAACTTAAGTCTAATTACTTACAGTCATTAACAATCATTACTATATATAAAGTTGCTAGTAAAATTGTATTTACTATGTATGTATATATTATATATAGGACATTAATATCTAGGAGGAGATAACTCCATATCATGTATATCTACAAAGGGAGATAACTACTGGTGCTAGTACATTTGGATGCATAATAGTAAATTAAGATTAATTAACCTCTTACTTTTAATCATGACCGATGCTAAATGAAACACAATGTTAACACTAATCAGTCATTCTATTTCATTAACATTACATGTTTATAAGACCAATCACACTATCATAGCTGTATGGCATTGTATTTTTGTTTCCTTTTCCATCTGGAAGCAGTTAAGTCTAGAAATAGATATGAAATATATCTGAATAATTCTATTAACAAGTTCTGTACTTATATTGTAATAAGCCTAGGCAAACAACATGTTATTTTGTACTGGAAGTAAGGGAGTGGGCTTATTACAGGACAATGATGGTGTTGATATTTCATTCTGTTGAACAGTCATATCTATAGATGTGGGGTTTATTATCAGGCATGGCTTTAGAGCTGGACAAATACAGTATAAAATACATAATATATGAGTGTTTAAGTCAGTAAGGTATTCCATATAGTATATACATATGGAAGTAACTTTTTAGCTATAAAAATCAAAACAAAATATTTGAAAACAAATAACATCACAGTACATAATTCTCACAATTATCAATTTGTCCCTGCATCAAATCAAAGCCACGATATCTTCTACAACTAAGCTAATCTATAATAAAAGTAATATTATTTCACCAAGAAATCCTTATTCCGTTGCATCACCATAACTTCTAAAAAATCTAGGGTGTATCAGTTATTAATCTCCAGATTTTAACAATCAATGACAAAAACTGTCTTCCAAAATGTTTGACAATGAAAATCACTTTTCTACTAACATCTTTTGAGGAACCATGATGATTTTTAACCTGAATTTTTCCTTTCAGAAAGTTCTAGATTGCACAGGTCAGTCAGTGAATTAACATGGCCAATGTATATGAATTGGAATATGAGATATAATTAGTGCATATGTTACAGGGACATAACCACACAAATCCTGGGCCATTTATCAAGTACACTATCGATGTAATCATGAATTATATATGTATATATATCCCTGGCTAAAAAGAATGCCAATAAACAGCCATCACCATCCAACCCCTTCTAGCAACCATCACTTCTGGTCACTACAGCACCCACCATCCACCACCTCCCATCTCACTACAGCATCATCATCTCCTGTCTCACAACAACATCATCACCTCCGGTCTCACAACAACATCATCACCTCCCATCTCACAACAACATCATCACCTCCCATCTCACTACAGCACCCACCACCTCCCGTCTCACAACAACATCATCACCTCCCATCTCACAACAACATCATCACCTCCCATCTCAATACAGCACCCACCACCTCCTGCCTCACAACAGCATCATCACCTCCCGTCTCACAACAACATCATCACCTCCCATCTAACTACAGCACCCAGTACCTCCCATCTCACAACAGCATCATCACCTCCCGTCTCACAACAGCATCATCACCTCCCGTCTCACAACAACATCATCACCTCCCATCTAACTACAGCACCCAGTACCTCCCATCTCACAACAGCATCATCACCTCCCATCTCACTACAGAACCCATCACCTCCCATCTCACTACAGCACCCATCATCTCCCATCTCACTTCAGCACCCACCACCTCCCATCTCACTGCAGCACCCACCACCTCCCATCTCACAATGGCATCATCACCTCCTGTCTCACAACAGCATCATCATCTCCCATCTCACTACAGAACCCATCACCTCCCATCTCACTACAGCACCCATCATCTCCCATCTCACTTCAGCACCCACCACCTCCCGTCTCACTACAGAATCCATCACCTCCCATCTAACAATAGCACCCATCATCTCCCATCTCACTACAGCACCCATCATCTCCCATCTCACTACAGCACCCACCACCTCCCGTCTCACAACAGCATCATCATCTCCCATCTCACTACAGCGCCCATCACCTCCCATCTCACTACAGAATCCATCACCTCCCATCTCACTACAGAATCCATCACCTCCCATCTCACTACAGCACCCATCATCTCCCATCTCACTACAGAACCCATCACCTCCAATCTCACTACAGCACCCACCACCTCCCGTCTCACAACAGCATCATCATCTCCCATCTCACTACAGCGCCCATCACCTCCCATCTCACTACAGAATCCATCACCTCCCATCTCACTACAGCACCCATCATCTCCCATCTCACTACAAAACCCATCACCTCCAATCTCACTACAGCACCCACCACCTCCCGTCTCACAACAGCATCATCATCTCCCATCTCACTACAGCGCCCATCACCTCCCATCTCACTACAGAATCCATCACCTCCAATCTCACTACAGCGCCCATCACCTCCCATCTCACTACAGCGCCCATCACCTCCCATCTCACTACCGAACCCATCACCTCCTATCTCACAATAGCACCCATCACCTCCTGTCTCTCAATAGCACCCATCACCTCCTGTCTCTCAATAGCACCCATCACATTGCTCATAAACAGTGACTCAAATGAGATAAGAATATTGTTTATTAAATGTTTATCTAAATTGATTTATCTTTTTATCTACTGTTAGTTCCGAAACTTCAAATCTGTAATGACAATTTTTTACAAAGATATCTGATCCCAAATACACAAAAAAATCCATGTTTGATACACAACATTGTGTATTTGTATAAATTATAACATTTCTCAAGGGCATTTTTTCACAATTCTTTTACATCTATTGCCAACCTCTTCCCAAGCCAAAACAACATTGGCATGATGGCAGTATAATATTTTTATTTGTGTCCAAAATGGGGCAGTATAACAAGGTTTTACTGAACAAATGGTAGCAGTATAACAAGGTTTGACCAGACAAATTGTGGCAGTGTAACAATTTTTTGTGTCCACAATGTGGCAGTGTAACAAGTCTTTATTGGACAAGTGGTAGCAGTATAACAAGGTTTTACAGATAGTTGAAAAAAAATCTTTTTTTTTTTACAAATTCATTCACTCTCAAAGCAAACCACATTTATGATCTATTTTGTGTATTTGGGAACGGTCAGTTAACGGTCTGTTAGTGGCCAATCACTGTTTACATGTTTATGTAAGAGAGAATGTTACCGTTGGTTCCTATGCCGCCTGTCAGGACACTCAACTGTATCCATCCAGCTATTGGGTGAAATGACAAAATCACCTCGTATTAAATATATTGTAAACCTTGTACATATGAAACTGGTCAAATTATAAACAGTTTCATTATAAAATCACCATGTTTTCATTCACAGCTCCCATGTAATAACCCACACTAGACACGCCCAGCCAATATATAACGTTCATCCAACTCTAAAACCTGAGTGGTATTTTTACTTTCACAATCAAATGGATACCAGCAGGATGAACTGTTTTAAAATCCTTACATAAGTCTGTAAATCCATTCCTATCATTATGTAGCTAAAAATAAAGATGGGAATACGATCAATTTGCTAAAATAAAAGGAAAAGAGAAAACAATTGGTAAATACTGAGAACAATAGATTATTTATCATTGCTGTTTCATACTAGTATATATATATACATAAGAACACCATCCATCTGATCTTCTCAGAAAATATTCAGCAATCTGAGAAACATGCACCATGTTTAGTAAATTCACATCCATGACAAAACTTCACATGACCAAGACAACAAAAGTCAGTTCCACTTTACTTCTGATGGTACATCATAACAATGAAATCACTATTTAAATTCACGTCCACTATAACAAAAAAAATATGGGGAAAGTTACAACATGTTGGACGGTAAACAACATTCAGAAAAACATCATTCCAATGTATTAGTGTAAATTTTCATGCACGAAAACTTAGCCTATAATGTTTTAAAGCCGTTGAGGTTGTCACCACTTGTACAAGTAGTTTAATTCCATACCATTTTTCTTACTTCAATATATATCTAAAGTCATACTACTGAAAAAGTGGTTATTTTGATGAGTCAGGTTAGATTAAACATTGGTAGTAAAAAGGATTCATTTGGAAGTAGAAAGTGATTGTCTACCTGTAATTCACTTTCAAAGCATCTATTTGTCATGACTTCATTTGATTCTCAAAAAAAAACCCTTTAAAATGTGATCTATAAACAGACTTTTCAAACTGGCTATTCTATAAACAGACTTACCACTCCAACTGATCTAAATTAACTTAAAAAACACTAACTAATCTATAAATAGACTTATCTCACTAACTAATCTATAAATAGACTTCATACTTACTTATCTATAAACAGTCACTCCCACTGATCTATGGTTCTAGAAATACACCTGCCAAACACTAACTGATCTATAAATAGACTTACTAACTAATCTATAAATAGACATAATACCACTCCACTTGATCTATAAATAGACATGTTACACTAAGTAACACTGAGTACTGACTGATAAGAAACTGATGGTCGTGGCAACTTACTGAAGAGGGACTTGATAGAGGTAGGATTTGCACCATGTTGCTGCAGCTGATTGAGAGCGTAGTCTGTCGGGTGATCTTGTTTCAGGAAGGCTCGCTCTCGCATGAATTGTCGCATTGTCATCCAGAATGTGAATGTAAACAGAAGCTGTAACAATATAATATAGACACCAGAATAAACAAGACACAGAGACACCTGATTATACTAAGACATCTGAAAATACAATAAACAAAACAATATGATGAAATTACTCAGTGAAATCTATATAGGTTTGTTCACTTTATATCAAAATTTACTGCTTTTAAGAAATTATTATTTCTATTCAATTTCTAAGAATATTCATGAAATCAGTAAATAATTTTTTTAAAAATGGGACAAAGCCACAATTGGCTGGGTTGCGGGATGAGTGCAATGTTATATGGTATTTATAAGACAATTAAGGGTGTTTTATTTGTTGAGTATCAAGGAAAAACGTCCGGAATGAATCCATAATAGTAGATGCATATCTTCAACTTATATATAAACATCCTACAAAGTTTCAAGCTTCTACATCAAAAACTCTAGGAGGTATTGATTCTACAAAACTAGTACCCCTTTTCCCTACCAAACTGCAGAAAATGACTAAGTTCCAAAGCCCGGAGAATCCAGAAAAATTGTCCGGAATGAAACCATAATAAATAGGTGCACATCTTCAAAATATATATATAATATATATATATATATATATAAACATCCTACAAAGTTTCAAGCTTCTACGTCAAAAACTCTAGGAGGAATTGATTCTACAAAACTGGTACCCCTTTTCCCGCCCGCCCAGCGTCCTGCACACCTGCCCACCCAACATTCACCATACTATAACCCAGATTTGCACTATGTAAAACCCGGCCAAAAATATCATGCATGTTTGATTTTGCATTTACAATCAAGAGCTTATCATTGTGTTTGTAAGCACATGTAAACAGAATTTTTAGAACATGACGATACTTTGTACCCATAGATATGTACTAAAGTAGCCATGAAGTCCTAAGTCATCAATACCAACTAGTATCTTATACAATGATGAACATATCTAAATGTAACAAGAGGCCTAGTGGCTTTGATAGTCCCCGCAGATAAGCAATATTGAATATAAAAGTTATAAGACTACATCTTTATGTAGACAGCTTTCAAATACCATGAAAAAGAAATGTGACATTCATGATAGGAAGATGTAGTGATATGAATTAAGTCCTTGGAGTCAGCCAGGGTCAATGTATGCATACAATCATACTGTCATCCTATACTAATAATTCTAACCAAGCTTACAGTGTTTTTAATGGAAATTTAAACAATTTATGCTCAAAAATTTCATTTTCTTAAAATATATACTATTATAAGCTTTACCCCTCCACAGCATGAAATATGAGACCCTTCAGGAGTCATGGATTCACAATTTTCGTAAAGCACCTTAAAACCTTTCCATCCATAAGTTGGTTCTACCATATCTCTTGGTCTAGAGAGAAGATTTTTGAAATTAGAGTCAATCTGACCCTATTTTACCCAACCCCTCAGGCCTGTGGACTGGGGACCAAATAATTCACAACTTTAGTTAACGTTTGGGCAGGAGGTTTCTGCAAAACTTATTTGAAATTGATCCGAGGGTTTTTGAGAAGTATAAAATGCTTACAGATGCACGACACCTGTCAAAAGGTGATCGTAATATGTCACCTGGAGATTTTGTCAGTTGACTTAAAACTCCAATAAATTTTACAATAACAGGAGATTCACTTTTTTCTATCCATTTAAGTAGGTAAAACTTTATTTTCCCAATTCACACTTAAAAAACAACTGAACAATGTTTAATCTCCAATACAATGTATATATTTGCATTTCAATAACTGTTTGAAAAACTCTCTTCTTCCCTGCAGCAATGTAATAGCAGACATATTTGTAATCAATGCTATGATCTGGATACAATCACGAACACTGTGTATCTATTACACACCACCTGTAACAATCAAGGCAGGTTCTCCTAGTCATTGTAGTAAAGTACTTAAGGTTTTTTTGTAGACTAGTTTCCTTATCTAGTGGATGCAGTGTGAGAAATGCTTGACAGGCTGGTGGATTTTTAAATATTGTATAAACTCAAGTGATTTGCACAGGTCCAGAGTGGAGGATGCATGCCTTATGTAGCTATACAAAATTCCCAGAGTGACGACAACATGGTCATTTATAGTGAGGACACTACTAATAGTATCCGCAGTCTTTCCCGGACATATTTCACCGATCTTCACTGACAGAGGGATGTTGTGTCTCCACCCTCCAGCTTTATGTAGCTAGAGCTTATTTATGAACAACAATGATAAAGAAATACTGTATATATCAATGTAAAATATCCGAGTCAATATCATCCAAAATCAGAATTAATTCCTTAAAAACGTGATACCATCTAGAAAGACAGAAATCAAGCCATCAGTAAGGTCAGTAATCTGTTTGGGACATTGAAAAATATGTCGATTATGATATTATTTTCTGAAACACATGTTCTAATGTCAACAAAGTTTCATTTTATGCTATTTCATGTTGGATATCGCAGCAAAGAAGCAAGAGGCACATTTCTGTTTTCATGTGTACTGACCAAAGTTAGCATTGACATATGAATATGCCGGGTGCAATACAAGACCTACCATCGAACTACAGATTTCATGTGTCATTTATCAGAATCGGTTTAATAAGTGTTCAGAAGCATATCTGAGTCTAACAATAAATAGGGATTAGTTTTGGTGTGATTATCTTACCATAAAGTGTAATGCATGGGAACAATACATTCCATGCTCCATATACCTATTGCTAGCATATACAGAGTTGGGGCCGAAAATGTCAGTTGGTGCGATTAAGATTTTAACAGCGAGACATGAAAGAGACTCACGGAAATCATAATTACCTGATTTTGTGATCAAAAGGTAGATATTTATTTGTATATGTGATTTGAACACTGTTGAATAGGCCTAGTGTGAAGACAAGTGTTAGTGCACTTAAGATAAATAAATCTAGGTTAGTTTGATAGGTAAGCGTGCAGCATAACGTTGTTTTTTTCATCTGTATTATACCTATACCTCAAGAAGGTAATTAAAAGTCAATAAAAGAGATGAAACTGAGTTCTGAAGAGATGACTTAAAGTTTTCAACTTTATCACTGGTCTGACGTTTCAGCTGAACATTCTGAGATCAAATTCTTGGCTCCCACAGATAATTTTTGTCTGAATCTTTTGGGTGTGCAAAATGTAAAAGCAGAAGCATTTTTCAGTATTTTCAAACCTCAAAAAGTACCGGGGCACATTATGTAGGTCCACACATTATTCAGGTTTTTACATTAAGTGATAAGAAAACAATGACAGAACATAATAATTTGTTGTCAAAATTTACTTATAAACCAAAGCAAATAAACTGATACATAGATACAAAGAAAATGAAGACAAATGGATCCACATTTTCTTTTGTTTCAAATCAAGTGGTATTTCAATACATCAGAGTTCCAATTAAGCATGGTCATCTGTGCCACCATCTTAATTAATTACATATCATACTTTTGTAACAAAGTCACTCATTTTAGTGTATTTGTCAGGGTAATAAACAAAACTCTTTATTTATGAAAGTGTAAAAAGATATTTACCCATTCTGGGCCAACTAAATGGGGCTCCTTTTGGGTTCTAATCAAATCTAACAAGAGATCCGAGCGGGATCTTGGCGACCACCATTGTTTGATCTTCTTTGTTTCTTGAACTTTAGAGCTTTCCATTCTTTTCTCTTCTCTGTTTTTGCTCTTAATGATAAGATATTTGAACATTCCTTTGCAGAATTAGCGATTATAATTTTTAACTGCCAAATCCAAGATGGTCAGCTGTAAGCCATTTTGTTATTTTCTGATCAGTCAAAATATCAAACAGGCACTAGGGACCAAGCGGAACCAACATATGAAATTTGAGAGAGATCTATCCTGTACTTCTCAAGAAATAGCAATAACAAAAGAAATTGTTGATGAACGAACAGACCACAAACAGACGTAGGGCAGTTTGAGTAGTCCACCTTGTGATGATGGTAAAACACTTTGAAAACATTCAATCTATAAAATAATATCTCCATGAAAGTTTTGATTTTGTAGTTTATATTCCTTTACCGGGTTTCACTACCAATATCTTACCTGTAAGGCCAGCTGCAAGCATGGATAAGGAAACTTTTGTAGACCAACTTCCGACAACTTGACCTTTCCGATTTGTTCCGGGAGTTCATCAGGAAGATCAAATCCATATACATACTGTATGATGAGTAGACCCTCACCGTAGAACACAATAACAGGTGACAACATTAGACACACACGCCTTGACGAAGGGAACATCCAGATAAAACAGGCACTCAATAGCATGACGAATGTCAGCCAGCTGTGGAAGGTTATGCTCCAAGCCTGAGGTAAACACAACAAGGAGTGAATACGTAGTGGTGTAATTATGTATACACAGCAGTGTGTGAGGACGTCATCCTCTTCCACTCCTGTGAAGGATGATTTTGACCAAGATTTATACATGGCGAGTACCACTGATGAAGCAGAAGACACTTACTCTTCTTGAACACCTGGTCTTATTCTCGTTGTACTTTTCAGGAGTCTCCGTGTAAATCTTTCTTTTGCTCATGTTTTCCACCAGTTTTACTGAATTATGAGTTTGGATTATGATTATGTTGACATGTTGGTATTTTTTTTCACTTCCACATCTGTCCAGGGTGAATGTGTTTGTGGCCTACACACCTGTCCAGTGTGAGAACATTTCTGGTCCCCACATCTGTCCAGTGTGAGAACATTTCTGGTCTCCACACCTGTCCAGTGTGAGGACATTTCTGGCCTCCACATCTGTCCAGTGTGAGGACATTTCTGTTCTCCACACCTGTTTGGTGTGAGGACATTTCTGGTCTCCACATCTGTCCAGTGTGAGAACATTTCTGGTCTCCACACCTGTCCAGTGTGAGAACATTTCTGGTCTCCACACCTGTCCAGTGTAAGAACATTTCTGGTCTCCACACCTGTCCAGTGTGAGAACATTTCTGGTCCCCACATCTGTCCAGTGTGAGAACATTTCTGGTCCCCACATCTGTCCAGTGTGAGTCTCCACATCTGTCCAGTGTGAGAACATTTCTGATCAACACATCTGTCCAGTGTGAGAACATTTCTGGTCCCCACATCTGTCCAGTGTGAGGACATATCTAGCCAACACATCTGTCCAGTGTGAGAACATTTCTGGTCTCCACACCTGTCCAGTGTGAGGATATTTCTGGTCTCCACATCTGTCCAGTGTGAGGACATATCTAGCCAACACATCTGTCCAGTGTGAGAACATTTCTGGTCTCCACATCTGTCCAGTGTGAGGATATTTCTGGTCTCCACATCTGTCCAGTGTGAGGATATTTCTGGTCTCCACATCTGTCCAGTGTGAGGACATATCTAGCCAACACATCTGTCCAGTGTGAGAACATTTCTGATCCCCACATCTGTCCAGTGTGAGAACATTTCTGGTCCCCACATCTGTCCAGTGTGAGGACATATCTAGCCAACACATCTGTCCAGTGTGAGGATATTTCTGGTCTCCACATCTGTCTAGTGTGAGGACATATCTAGCCAACACATCTGTCCAGTGTGAGAACATTTCTGGTCTCCACACCTGTCCAGTGTGAGGATATTTCTGGTCTCCACATCTGTCCAGTGTGAGGACATATCTAGCCAACACATCTGTCCAGTGTGAGAACATTTCTGGTCTCCACATCTGTCCAGTGTGAGGACATTTCTGGTCTCCACATCTGTCCAGTGTGAGAACATTTCTGGTCCCCACATCTGTCCAGTGTGAGAACATTTCTGGTCCCCACATCTGTCCAGTGTGAGAACATTTCTGGTCTCCACACCTGTCCAGTGTGAGAACATTTCTGGTCCCCACATCTGTCCAGTGTGAGAACATTTCTGGTCCCCACATCTGTCCAGTGTGAGAACATTTCTGGTCTCCACACCTGTCCAGTGTGAGGACATATCTAGCCACCACATCTGTCCAGTGTGAGAACATTTCTGGTCTCCACATCTGTCCAGTGTGAGAACATTTCTGGTCCCCACATCTGTCCAATGTGAGATCATTTCTGGTCTCCACATCTGTCCAGTGTGAGAACATTTCTGGTCTCCACACCTGTCCAGTGTGAGTCTCCGCATCTGTCCAGTGTGAGAACATTTCTGGTCTCCACACCTGTCCAGTGTGAGAACATTTCTGGTCCCCACACCTGTCCAGTGTGAGGACATTTCTGGTCCCCACATCTGTCCAGTGTAAGAACATTTCTGGTCCCCACATCTGTCCAGTGTGAGAACATTTCTGGTCTCCACATCTGTCCAGTGTGAGAACATTTCTGGTCCCCACATCTGTCCAGTGTGAGAACATTTCTGGTCCCCACATCTGTCCAGTGTGAGTGTCCACATCTGTCCAGTGTGAGAACATTTCTGGTCTCCACACCTGTCCAGTGTGAGAACATTTCTGGTCCCCACATCTGTCCAGTGTGAGAACATTTCTGGTCTCCACACCTGTCCAGTGTGAGAACATTTCTGGTCCCCACATCTGTCCAGTGTGAGAACATTTCTGGTCCCCACATCTGTCCAGTGTAAGAACATTTCTGGTCCCCACATCTGTCCAGTGTGAGAACACTTCTGGTCCCCACATCTGTCCAGTGTGAGAACATTTCTGGTCTCCACATCTGTCCAGTGTGAGAACATTTCTGGTCTCCACATCTGTTTAGTGTGAGAACACTTCTGGTCCCCACATCTGTCCAGTGTGAGAACATTTCTGGTCTCCACACCTGTCCAGTGTGAGAACATTTCTGGTCTCCACATCTGTCCAGTGTGAGAACATTTCTGGTCTCCACACCTGTCCAGTGTGAGAACATTTCTGGTCCCCACATCTGTCCAGTGTGAGAACATTTCTGGTCCCCACATCTGTCCAGTGTGAGAACATTTCTGGTCTCCACACCTGTCCAGTGTGAGGACATATCTAGCCACCACATCTGTCCAGTGTGAGAACATTTCTGGTCTCCACATCTGTCCAGTGTGAGAACATTTCTGGTCCCCACATCTGTCCAATGTGAGATCATTTCTGGTCTCCACATCTGTCCAGTGTGAGAACATTTCTGGTCTCCACACCTGTCCAGTGTGAGTCTCCGCATCTGTCCAGTGTGAGAACATTTCTGGTCTCCACACCTGTCCAGTGTGAGAACATTTCTGGTCCCCACACCTGTCCAGTGTGAGGACATTTCTGGTCCCCACATCTGTCCAGTGTAAGAACATTTCTGGTCCCCACATCTGTCCAGTGTGAGAACATTTCTGGTCTCCACATCTGTCCAGTGTGAGAACATTTCTGGTCCCCACATCTGTCCAGTGTGAGAACATTTCTGGTCCCCACATCTGTCCAGTGTGAGTGTCCACATCTGTCCAGTGTGAGAACATTTCTGGTCCCCACATCTGTCCAGTGTAAGTGTCCACATCTGTCCAGTGTGAGAACATTTCTGGTCTCCACACCTGTCCAGTGTGAGAACATTTCTGGTCTCCACATCTGTTTAGTGTGAGAACACTTCTGGTCCCCACATCTGTCCAGTGTGAGAACACTTCTGGTCCCCACATCTGTCCAGTGTAAGTGTCCACATCTGTCCAGTGTGAGAACATTTCTGGTCTCCACACCTGTCCAGTGTGAGAACATTTCTGGTCCCCACACCTGTCCAGTGTGAGAACATTTGTGGTCCCCACATCTGTCCAGTGTAAGAACATTTCTGGTCCCCACATCTGTCCAGTGTGAGAACACTTCTGGTCCCCACATCTGTCCAGTGTGAGAACATTTCTGGTCTCCACATCTGTCCAGTGTGAGAACATTTCTGGTCTCCACATCTGTTTAGTGTGAGAACACTTCTGGTCCCCACATCTGTCCAGTGTGAGAACACTTCTGGTCCCCACATCTGTCCAGTGTGAGAACATTTCTGGTCCCCACATCTGTCCAGTGTGAGAACATTTCTGGTCCCCACATCTGTCCAGTGTGAGAACATTTCTGGTCCCCACATCTGTTCAGTGTGAGAACATTTCTGGTCCCCACATCTGTCCAGTGTGAGAACATTTCTGGTCTCCACATCTGTCCAGTGTGAGAACATTTCTGGTCTCCACATCTGTCCAGTGTGAGAACATTTCTGGTCTCTACATCTGTCCAGTGTGAGAACATTTCTGGTCCCCACATCTGTCCAGTGTGAGAACATTTCTGGTCTCTACATCTGTTCAGTGTGAGAACATTTCTGGTCTCTACATCTGTCCAGTGTGAGAACATTTCTGGTCTCCACATCTGTCCAGTGTGAGAACATTTCTGGTCTCTACATCTGTTCAGTGTGAGAACATTTCTGGTTTCTACATCTGTCCAGTGTGAGAATATTTCTGTCCCCACACCTGTCCAGTGTGAGTCTCCACACCTGTCCAGTGTGAGTCTCCACACCTGTCCAGTGTGAGTCTCCACATCTGTCCAGTGTGTCCACACCTGTCCAGTGTGAGAATATTTCTGGTTTCTACATCTGTCCAGTGTGAGAACATTTCTGGTCCCCACATCTGTCCACTTTGAGGTTTACTTACCATCATGGCGATCAGTGTAAGGACATAGCTCTGCTTCATCACATACACCAGAAATGACACCATGGCAGGACGTTTCCAGTTCTTACGACGTGATGGTTTGCTACTTCCTCCTCCATCAGCCTCATCCTCACTTTCAAATGCCACAGACATTGTGGGGCTACCACTGTCGGGATGACTGGAGGCTCCACCTTCTCCTGTTCCTACAGGGTCAAAGCTGCTATAGGAGGGCCCCTCGCCAGCTGTCACCAGGTGCTGTAGCAAAATTAAGAAAAACCAATAGTATCTTTTACCAATAAGCTTTTTAAGCCAAAGTGATCTCAAAATCAAGTGAATTGAAGTTTTTTCTCCATTCTTGATTTAGAAATAAGCCCAACATGCTTTGAGACAAGTTCTTGTGCTGGTGACCTAAATTATTCAGGTATAGTAAAGCATTAAAAAAAATCTCATGAAAATGTTACAATAAATAACAATTCATGAAAATCACTTAATTTTAATGGCTAATGGCAAGAAAACTTTGAAAATTTCCACCTTCTTCAAATAATAATTCTAGATGTACAAGGTTTTATTATCAACGCAGAAAAAGGTACCCTCAATAAGAACAAAACGACAGTGCAGTCAACAAACAAATTACAAACAAGTCCTTAGTCAAAAAACAAATTACAAACAAGTCCTTAGTCAAAAAACAAATTACAAACAAGTCCTTAAGTCAAAAAACAAATTACAAACAAGTCCTTAGTCAAAAAACAAATTACAAACAAGTCCTTAGTCAAAAAACAAATTACAAAAAAGTCCTTAGTCAAAAAACAAATTACAAACAAGTCCTTAAGTCAAAAAACAAATTACAAACAAGTCCTTAAGTCAAAAAACAAATTACAAAAAAGTCCAACAACTTTCTGTAATATATCAAATATCCAGCATCAAATCAGATGAACAGTCAACACTGTCAAAAACAAACACCTGTCTATAATGGTTATCTCTATCAAACAAATACCTGTCTATAATGGTCATCTCTATCAAACAAATACCTGTCTATAATGGTCATCTCTATCAAACAAATACCTGTCTATAATGGCCATCTCTATCAAACAAATACCTGTCTATAATGGCCATCTCTATCAAACAAATACCTGTCTATAATGGTCATCTCTATCAAACAAATACCTGTCTATAATGGTCATCTCTATCAAACAAATACCTGTCTATAAAGGCCATCACTTTAAAACAATACCTATCTATAAAGGACATTTCTATATCACAAATAACTGTCTATATAAGTCATCCATATATAATAAATACCTGTCTATATAGGTTATCCATATACAACAAATACCTGTCCATATAGGTCATCCATATACAACAAATACCTGTCTATATAGGTCATCCATGTATAACAAATACCTGTCTATATAGGTCATCCATGTATAACAAATACCTGTCTATATAGGTCATCCATGTATAACAAATACCTGTCTATATAGGTCATCCATGTATAACAAATACCTGTCTATATAGGTCATCCATGTATAACAAATACCTGTCTATATAGGTCATCCATGTATAACAAATACCTGTCTATATAGGTCATCCATGTATAACAAATACCTGTCTATATAGTATGGTTGTATGGTTTCCTTATATTATACAGGCCATAATGAAATACTAATACACCTCACCCTGTTATCATTACATGAGTATTAGTTTGATTAATCTCCGATTAGTTATGTTCAAGGTTAGACTCGCCATTATTTTCACACTAGGTTCTGATATTCACAGCTAGAACTTAATTTCATCAATAAATCCTAAGAAAAGAAATTACAAAATGTCTGTAAATTTCGAGATTTTCAATAAATTATTTGTTAGTAAATCCTATTTAAAGCATTAAGAAAGCATTTGATTGTTATTACAAGATTCCTAGAGTGAGCTGTACAGCACTGTGTTAGTCATCACAATTCAGTGCAGCAACAGTACTAATTTAGCTTTAACACCACCTCACCATGTCATTTATTCCTCAAAGCAATTAATAAACACAGTTTTCATCAATGATACACATTACAATATCTATATAGAAAGTACATAAAGTACAATGTTTTATGTACAGAAATATTACAAACGTTGTATAAAATGTTTACAAACAAAATGCAATATTCAATCGTATTTATCTGACAATAAGCCCATGTCTCATAATAAGCTCACAAATATATATATAGCTGTTTAATAAGTTACACACCAATGTTATTACATTTTCCTGTAATAAACCCGTCCCTGACTTGAGTTCTGTAGAATCTGTTCATTAGCTCCTACACCTGATAATAAACCCATTCATAAATAATGCTGTATATAAAATTACAAGTTACTTTATTGTCCTGTAATAAGCCCACCCCCGATTTTGAGACAGACTTTTTAATGGAGCTCTGGGCTTATTGTGGGATAATTACAGTAATCAAGAAGACGAGAATATCTATTACAATACAAACAACAATAATTTCAAAAGATTTTGAAAATTTTTAAAAGGTAGTTAAGAAGTAAAACAAACAAGCAGATCAGGTGGAATTATGGGATAGTTTTTGCATGATTTGATGTCAACTTGAACATTCAAACAACAGTAATGAAACATGCAGCAGAAGCAGCTTATCTCAAACTAACATGCATAAAGCTCACATCCATTAACAGCACTTCAAATGTAATCACCCAGATAATTGATTTACTATCAATGGCAATTATATCAAAGATTTTATCTCTCCAGGTATAAAGAAAACCCAGCAAGACAAAATATACAGTCCCGTTACACAAAGTTTACCCATCCAGATAAACAGATCAAGTATTTACTAATTCAGGTAGACTTTTCAAATGTTTTACCAGTCCAGGTAAAATAAAAACTGGTGAGTTACACAAAGTTTACCCATCCAGATAAACAGATCAAGTATTTACTAATTCAGGTAGACTTTTCAAATGTTTTACCAGTCCAGGTAAAATAAAAACTGGTGAGTTACACAAAGTTTACCCATCCAGATAAACAGATCAAGTATTTACTAATTCAGGTAGACTTTTCAAATGTTTTACCAGTCCAGGTAAAATAAAAACTGGTGAGTTACACAAAGTTTACCCATCCAGATAAACAGATCAAGTATTTACTAATTCAGGTAGACTTTTCAAATGTTTTACCAGTCCAGGTGAAATAAAAACTGGTGAGTTACACAAAGTTTACCCATCCAGATAAACAGATCAAGTATTTACTAATTCAGGTAGACTTTTCAAATGTTTTACCAGTCCAGGTGAAATAAAAACTGGTGAGTTACACAAAGTTTACCCATCCAGATAAACAGATCAAGTATTTACTAATTCAGGTAGACTTTTCAAATGTTTTACCAGTCCAGGTAAAATAAAAACTGGTGAGTTACACAAAGTTTAACCATCCAGATAAATAGATCAAGTATTTACTAATTCAGGTAGACTTTTCAAATGTTTTACCAGTCCAGGTAAAATACACTTGTAAAAACATGCAATGCTTGAACATACTTTGGTAAATGTACAAAACCTTTACCCACCAGTAAAATACATAAAACATTCATGTTTCAGGTTAATATCACACCACCATACTACTATATAAAATATCAAGCTACCAATCATCCATGCATTGTTCCTTATCCTCTGATTTCCACATTCCTCCCTAACACTGATAAGTTTTATGCTTACTATGGGATGTTGCTGACCCAAATGTGTTACCTATCAATATTTAAGTTACAAGATTTTCTGTATTTATCACGTAATATATAAACAGTATTAGGTGTCAAATATATAATTTCTATATATTTCTTACTGTGAGCCAAATTCCACTTGGGTAATGTTAGCCATTGTTGTTGGCCTAGGTAGAAGCCTATAAGGAGTCTTACTGTGGGGAGAAATCGGAGTACTCGGGACAATGTCGAAAATTCCAATCACATAATCACATGTGTGGGAAGTTCAGATCAGAGGTTTAAAACCGAGTAAACAAGGACAGAACCAACGGACCTCTAAACCAAAAAAGTTTGTTTTCTCTATTTAAACATCTGATATTGTCTTCTGATATTGGCTAATTTCAAAAAATATCATTTTTAAAATGATGAGGTTTTACTGACTTCACTATCATAATCTTCCAGTGATAAAAGCAGAAGATTAAAGTTATTTACTTTGGCCTATGAGTAAATGGAATACAAATGTTTATATAAGAAGAGTTTCCATGGAGATAATGCACAAAAATAAAACCCATATCACAGCAAATACATCAAACCAGGGGAGGAAAACAAATTCTCCAAGGACCAAAATACAAATATGATACTGAACTATATAGAGTGATGTATAAATTTTTTAACAGTACCAACCTTCATCAAGATAAAAGATACAAGCCAAACAGAAATTCCCAATACAGTTTACATTGACACATCTCAATGGTTACCAATGGCAGATCCTGGATTTTGAAAAAAAAAAAAGAGAGAGAGAGATTCCTTACCCCTTCCCGTGGGATCTGCCACTGGCAGTTTCAACAAGATTCATAAACTACAGACTCATGAAATGATATGACACTTTGTCTTAAAATCCTTTCAAGATTTTTAAATCATAAAAATTTTTCCACTGAAGATTTTCTGAATTTCTAAATTGTCAACACGTTTAAACAGGAACTGTTTCTGTGTATTTTGAATTTTTTATTTTTTTAAATTTTGTCATCAATTTTGAAATCTGATAAACTCTCCTCACTTGCCTAATATGGTCTGTAACTTAATATAACTAGTCTGTAGTTCATGAGGTTACAAGTGCTGTTCATGGACGTATGAATTCACAATACTCTCACAATGCAGAGAGTGACACTTGATGCTTTGTAACATGAATTCCACCAAACCTCTGTTTGTCCTTCTTGAGCATGGTGAGCTACCTGCCGCTCAGTCGGTTTAGTTCGGCGACGTTTTCCTTGCTTTTCCTCAATGTCTAAACCGTCAGTTTCATCAAGGCTACACCTCTGTTTTCATGTAATGAAAAGTCACATGTAATATTATATAATTTTTCCCCAAACATTTCTGAAAATCACGCATCAATTTTCTTTTTCAGCTTTTCATGCAATGGTAAATCTATGAACACCTTCCATTTGAGAAAACACCCTTTATGTCATTGATTAGAAACAAAAACTTTCTTTGGCCTGGCAGTTGAAAGCATTATTCTTTTTGTTTTATAGTTTGTAACAAGGTTTTTGGTTAGACAAACATTTTTTCTTTCATAATAGTTAACAATTGAACTGGACCTGAGAATGATAGAAATAAACTTCAGTGTTTCGATATTCATGCGACAAGCAAAAACGCTTCAATACAATGAGACTGCCAATCTTTCCTGATGAGTTGTACCGCTGTTTTCGTGTTTATGATTATAGTTGATGACAAAATATTTCTATTTTAATAAACACAACAAATACTACAACACAAGTTTACATGAAAAGAGACATTTTTTTAAATCTTAAAAGAAAACGTTTTCATTCATGATAAAACCACATAACTTTAACCTTAAATAGAAATTAACAAGAAATCAACAAAGTGTGGACATGTTTAGATTTGTACCTTCATGTCACGATGTTTATGTATTTTGCAGATCAATTTAAAATTAACCAAAGTGCCACATTCAAATGATCCACACAAGTTACAGTAATTATTATATGACTGATATATAAATGTTACAGGCACTAACAGATTAAAAGGAAAGAAATTAATTTTCTGTCCAGAAACAACATCATACATCTCAGATCGAAACAAGAGATCCCAGAGGGATCTTGCCACCCACCACTGTTAGATCTTTACTTGCTCTTTGAAAATTGGATCTTTTCCCTTCTTTTCTATTTTTTTTGCTCTTAATGATAAGATGTTTGAACATTCCTTGCAGAAATTGCGATGAAAATCTTTACCTGACAAATCCAAAATATCTGCCTGGAAGCCATTTTGTTTCTTCTGGTCAATCCCAAAAGGAAACAGGGAAAGGAGAGACCAAAGGGAGCATACTTAAAATTTGAGAGTGATCCATTCAGTACTTCTTAAAAAATAGGGATAACAATCTTTACAAAGCAAAATCAAAGATGGCTGCCTGTTGGCCATTTTGCTTTTGTGATCAGTCCAAAACTCAAACAGGCAGAACTAGGTACCTTAAGGAGCCTATACACGAATTCTATAGAGATTTATAGAGTACTTTTTAAGAAATAGTGATAGCAAACTTTCCAGATCAAATTCCAAGATGGCAGCTTGTGGGTTGTTTTGTATTTACTGATCAGTACCAAATTCAAACAGGCACAACTAGAGATCAAGGAAAACATACAAAATTTCAAGATGGCCGTCTGTCTGCCATCTTGATTTTCTGATCACACCAAAAATCAAACGGGCACACCTAGGGACCAGAAGGAACCTACATATGAAGTTTAAGAAAGATACATCAAGTACTTCTCAAGAAATAGCAATAACAATCTTTTTAAGTCAAAATTCATGATGGCTACATTCCAGCCCTTTTGTTTTTCTGATCAGTTCTAAAATTACGTGGGCACTACTTGAGACCAAGGGAATTCTACATATAAAATTTAAGTGAGATCCATCCGATTCCTTTTCAAGAAATAGTGATTATAAACTTCATTGATAAAATACAAGATTGCTGCCTGTTGGCCATTTTGTTTTTCTGATCAGTCCAAAATTCAAACAGGCACAACTAGGAACAATGAGGAACCTACATATGCAATTTGAGAAAGATCCATCCAGTACTTCTCAAGAAATAGAGATAACAAAAATTGTTAACAGACGGACAGACAGATGGACAGATCACAAATGCAGGGCGATTTGAATCACCCAACATCTGACTTGACCTAACTTCATGCTATTACTGCAATGGCAACAATGAACATCGAACGACACCTCATTATCTATGATTAAATATCATGGCTTGTAAGGAAGCAATTAAACTTTCATCAATGTTCATTCATTAATTAACCATGTAACACAGGGTTAATAATAGGAGCTATCGTAATCCCATTGTCAGGTAGCATCCTTTGTTGAAATGAGTGAAATTTTGTGGCTTAATGAAAATACCTGTACAATACATGGAAATGTTTTGTTCAAATCATAAGGTGTAAATGACTGTGTTATCATAGCTGACAGTCAGTGAAAAACTTTTATACATCAAAAAATTTGATTTCTAAAACTTCGAGTCATTAAGGGGTAAGTTAGTCATAATGTATAGGAATAAAATTCAGGACTTGACATAAAATTTGATACATCGAGAAATTTGAATCATCAAATTTTGATTCACAGACATTGGACTGTAAATGATAGTGTAACAAATGTTTTCGCTTGGCCCAAGATACATAGATCTTTTTTGTTGTTTTGTAGTAAAAAACAATTTTGCTTGACTTCAGCCTGACAGACCTTCCTGTTGATCCACTGTCTAGTGCCAGCGGCCGCTGTAACATAAAGTGCCAGGATGATGGCGGGATTGACAAAGTGAGGCCAGTTGTATGGGTCATTGTATTCTATGGTCCAGGGCTGGGAACAGTTGGTTTGGATCACACCCGTCAGACCCAAGATTCTGAGAAAATAAAACAAACATGAAAAGTTACAGTGAAGAAATAATTAATCTATCAATCTAACCTGACACCCTGTTATTTGAACCTTGAATGATCTGAAAACCTTTATAGATCAATGCATCTTCGTGTTACAAAAAGTGTCAAATTTAACAGAATTTTCAGGAACAATTACACAAAAAATAAATATAACTGATTTTGTGCTATAGGAATTAAGATCTGGAAGAACTATTTTCAAAGTTACATATGTTCCAACCTATAGATTTTTTGTGTAACAACTACTGTACCTGGATATTGGACGTTTGGGAAGTAACTTACCTGTATACTAGGAGTTCATAATGTATCTCACCTGGATGTAAGAAGATTGGGATTTAGCGTACCTGCATATCATATGTTTGGGCTAAAACTTACCTGGATATCAGAAGTTTGGGATCTTACACACCTGTTTGTCAGATGTTTGGGATGTTACACATCTGTATGTCAGATATTTGGGATGTTACATACCTGTATATCAGAAGATTGGGATGTAATGTACCTGTATATCAGATGTTTGGGATGTAACATACCCAGATATAAGTAGTTTGGGAAGTAACATACCTTGATATAAGAAGTTCGGGCGAAACTGCTTCCTGGAAGAACTGGAACTGGTACAGATGTAGTAGGAGCAAGTGTAATCCACTCCATATCACTATCACTATCTTAAAGTAACTGAACTTAGAACCGAGGCTTTTATAAAATGCCCACCAGGTGGCAATATATAAAAATGATAGAAAATAAAATGCACCAATGGCTGATGGGACTATGATACCACTTGCTGCTAATAAAATTGCTACGGCGAATTCTCCAAGGAATGATACAATTGTGTCAACTGGTCGCTTCCTCTTGGTGCGTGTGGCTGTCGATGATATTTCTTCTTGTCCATTTACTGTTGGCTGTGGAGCCAAAAGCTTGTAACACACAACAAACACCAAAACAGATACAATTAGAACGAACACATCGGGGAAGACAAGGCGAAGTATATCTAAGAATGGCACACCATCAAGTCTGAAATAGAAAATACAGAATTATCTTACCAACAACATGTATATTCATATATATTATCACAGACTTAGATAAATGTAATACTGTAAAGTCTGATACTGCATTCAAACTTCAAAGAGGATGGTATATATAACATGTAACATCCTGACAGCTTAAGGATGTGAAAGGTAAATCTGGTTGATTTATGATCAACTTATCAAGAGGAATAGACTTTTGAAATGTAATTGTCTTAATTACCCACTGTCACTTCCTGTAAGAGAAGCTAGGCAGTACCACAACAACCAATACATAGGTAACAATCAATTATCACAAAAAATCCGTTAATGCCTTGTAAATGTTGAGTAGTATTGTTCCAGATCTTACTTTTTAGCAGATTACTACAACAATGAATTTGTACCTTCCCAATCATTGTTATATGAACATTAGACAAACTGTAATAAGTGAAATCATGTTTAAGTGTGATGATATGTGTATGTGCTAAAATAAGATAACTGCTAACATATGTACCTTTAACGATAAATGGATTCAAAATTTCTATTTTTATAAGCTTTAAAACAATTTAAAAGACAAAAACACCCAGAGGGATCTGGGGGCCTCTTACTGTTCGATCTTTATTTGTTCTTTAAAAGTTAAATCTTTTCCCTTCTTTTCTCTTCCTTCTTCTTACTTGCTCAGGTTGATTTAAAATATTAGAAATTGCAATACTGATTTTAAACTATTCAGTAAAAATGGCTATGTGTCAATATTTTGTTTTTCTGACAATCCAAAAATCAAAAGGGCCCTACAAAGGACCATGGAAAACCTGTCATTAATATTTGAGAAAGATCCATCCAATACTTCTCCAGACAGCAACAGGGAGGATTGTTTATAGACAGATGGACAACAGACCATGGACACAGGACAATTTGTATAGCCCACTATCTGATGATTGTGGGCTGAAAATCATTAGACAAATACATCTCACTAACACCAAGGTGTGCTATACAGCTCAATGACATTAAAGAATTCAAAACAGACAAATACATCTCACTAACACCAAGGTGTGCTTTACAGCTCAATGGCATTAAAGAATTCAAAACAGACAAATACATCTCACTAACACCAAGGTGTGCTATACAGCTCAATGACATTAAAGAATTCAAAACAGACAAATACATCTCACTAACACCAAGGTGTGCTTTACAGCTCAATGGCATTAAAGAATTCAAAACAGACAAATACATCTCACTAACACCAAGGTGTGCTATACAGCTCAATGACATTAAAGAATTCAAAACAGACAAATACATCTCACTAACACCAAGGTGTGCTTTACAGCTCAATGGCATTAAAGAATTCAAAACAGACAAATACATCTCACTAACACCAAGGTGTGCTATACAGCTCAATGACATTAAAGAATTCAAAACAGACAAATACATCTCACTAACACCAAGGTGTGCTTTACAGCTCAATGGCATTAAAGAATTCAAAACAGACAAATACATCTCACTAACACCAAGGTGTGCTATACAGCTCAATGACATTAAAGAATTCAAAACAGACAAATACATCTCACTAACACCAAGGTGTGCTTTACAGCTCAATGGCATTAAAGAATTCAAAACAGACAAATACATCTCACTAACACCAAGGTGTGCTATACAGCTCAATGACATTAAAGAATTCAAAACAGACAAATACATCTCACTAACACCAAGGTGTGCTTTACAGCTCAATGGCATTAAAGAATTCAAAACAGACAGGTAACACTACATTAATATTACACAATCAAACCATAGACAGTCCTATCACAATCACACTTCACCACCAATATTCTGGACACTCTCTGATAACTGCCACCTATAAACAGTTTTATTCCTGGTATGGTTCACATGTGATTAGATTGCACACATGATTTGATGATGTGGCACGCATGATTTGATGATGTGGCACATGTGATGTGATGAGGACACATGATATGATGAGGTTACATGTCACATGATGTGACAAGGTGGCACACATGATGCGAAGAAGTGACATACTTAAAGTATCGAGGCGGCACACATGATGCGATGAGGTTGCAAAAATGATGTGATGAAGTGGCAGACACAATGTGACAAAGTGGCACACGATGTGATGAGGTGGCACAAAAGATATGAGGACGTGACATACATGATGTGATTGGATGGCAAACACGATGTGTTTAAGTGGATCACGATGTGGTGAGATGGCATACATAATGTGAGGAGTTGAAACACATAATGTAGGGGAGTTGGCACGCATGATGTTAGGAGGAAGAACACATGATGTGATGAGGTAGAACACATGATGTGAGGAGGTAGAACACATGATGTGAGGAGGTGGAACACATGATGTGATGAGGTGGCACACATCTACTGTTAATTATTAACATACCTTTCCACAGCTATTTGTCTGGCTACTTTTTCAGCAGTAGAACCTGAAACATAGGCAAGTGAAATCTGTGTAGTGCAACCACCACTTTTAACTCACTTAAATCGCACCTATCAAAGATATAGCTGTAGATAACATTTACCTAGCAACAGGCACTTATCTTTTAATAAGCCCATCCATCTGTTATCCTTTGCAATTTAGTAGAATTACTACAAAATACAAGAGTATCGGTGGAACTGATGAATACTCACCGAAAAAAAAACAAATTTATTGGAAACAAATTTTTATGAAAGGGCAATTATTCTGTAATTTAGGGGTTTCAGGCACTGAATTTGGTATACTGCACATCATCTTAGTATGACCATGAATGTATATACCAAGTTTCATTATCATAATTCTAATGCAAGCAAAATTATGTAACTGAGGGATTGCCTGAATTTCGTACGCTGCAAATTGCTTTTGATAAGACCAATGTATACTTCAAGTTTCATTATCATAAATGCAGGCCAAGTTATGTTTTGGATGCAAAATGTTAACAAAGGGCAATAAGTTTGTAATGCGTAAATTAGACAACACATGTTCATCAGACAACACATGTGTATAAATCAGACAACACATATGTATAAATCAGACAACACATGTGTATAAATCAGACACAAATCAGACAACACATATGTATAAATCAGACAACAGATGTGTATAAATCAGACACAAATCAGACAACACATATGTATAAATCAGACACGAATCAGACAACACATGTGTCTAAATCAGACAACACATGTGTATAAATCAGACAACATATGTGTATAAATCAGACACAAATCAGACAACACATATGCATAAATCAGACACAAATCAGACACACATATGTATAAATCAGACACAAATCAGACACACATATGTATAAATCAGACACAAATCAGACAACACATGTGTCTAAATCAGACAATACATATGTATAAATCAGACAACACATGTGTATAAATCAGACAACACATGTGTATAAATCAGACAACACATGTGTATAAATCAGACCACATATGTTTATAAATCAGAAAATATGTGTATATATCAGACAACACATGTGTATAAATCAGACAACACATGTGTCTAAATCAGACAACACATATGTATAAATCAGACAACACATGTGTATAAATCAGACAACACACATGTATAAATCAGACAACACATGTGTATAAATCAGACACAAATCAGACAACACATGTGTATAAATCAGACAACACATATGTATAAATCAGACAACACATGTATATAAATCAGATACAAATCAGACAACACATGTGTATAAATCAGACACAAATCAGACAACACATGTGTATAAATCAGACAACACATATGTATAAATCAGACAACACATGTGTATAAATCAGACACAAATCAGACAACACGTGTATAAATCAGACAACACATATGTATAAATCAGACAACACACGTATATAAATCAGATACAAATCAGACAACATATGTGTATAAATCAGACAACACATGTGTCTAAATCAGACATGTCTAAATCAGACAACACGTGTGTATAAATTAGACAACACGTGTATAAATCAGACAACACATGTGTATAAATCAGATACAAATCAGACAACACATATGTATAAATCAGACACAAATCAGACACACATATGTATATAAATCAGACAACACAAATGTAAAAATCAGACAACACATGTATATAAATCAGACAACACACATGTATAAATCAGACAACACATATGTAAAAATCAGACAACACATGTATATAAATCAGACAACACATGTGTATAAATCAGACAACACATATGTAAAAATCAGACACAAATCAGACACACATATGTATATAAATCAGACAACACATATGTAAAAATCAGACTACACATGTATATAAATCAGACAACACACATGTATAAATCAGACAACACATATGTAAAAATCAGACAACACATGTATATAAATCAGACAACACATGTGTATCAATCAGACAACACATATGTAAAAATCAGACACAAATCAGACAACACGTGTCTAAATTAGACAACACGTATATAAATCAGACAACACATGTGTATAAATCAGACACAAATCAGACAACACATGTGTCTAAATCAGACAACACATGTGTCTAAATCAGACAACACATGTGTATAAATGTATAAATACACTTTTTTTATGCATATAAATACAATAATATGCTTCATCTTTACAAGTACTCAACAACAGGACATGATACTTCTCATGTTTAATACACCTCATCCTTATACCGTGCTCAGGAAGTATCTATATATAATCATACATTCCTTATACAACATCAATAAAAAACACTCAAACTAACCCTTATACACAATCAAATAGTCACAATATATGTTCTGATTCACTCGTCATACACATAAATTCAACTCTGATGTTCTAATATATCTAAAAAAAACATAATGAATAATTAATTTAATGAATGTGCCAATAAAAAAACATGGTCATGAAATAAAATAAAGCTCAGTTTAAAATATAAGCTTTACTTGTAGTAAACATTTAATAATTTATTGCAAACATTTGAAGATTTTGCAGTCATTATAAAGGGCATGATCTTAAGTGACATTCGTTCAAGAATCAACAATTAAACTTTTCACTCAGCATTAAAATAACTTTAACAGCTACCTTGACTAGCAAAGACCGTACATTACAAATTTCAATTTATTTTGTTTTGATGAAATAGATATTAAAATAATTCCACACACGGCTGAACACATAAGCAACAATTTGTAAACTTTTTGGTATTTTTCTATCTAACAAGGAACTATCTTTTCCTGTAAATGTCTGGAAAATAAACATAAAAAGGAGCTTGTAACTATGAGATAATAAACACTGAGTTCATACAGTCAGTCTCTTTGTATCTTTTATATCTATTGAAGAAACTAATCTGTCTTATGTTTTTATAACATTTATGGTAACTAATACTACTCTATTTACTTCCAATCTTCGGTACAGAGAAATATTATTTTCTCATGAAATTGATAACGGAAAGTTGTAAAACATAGCCTTGGTATTTTTTTTTTTTTTTTTCATATTTACAGTATAACAGTATAATAGTTTGGTCTGTGTACATTTTTGTCATGTTTACAGTATTACAGTATAATAGTTTGGTCTGTGTAAATTTTTGTCATGTTTACAGTATTACAGTATAAAAGTTTGGTCTGTGTAAATTTTTGTCTTGTTTACAGTATAACAGTATAATAGTTTGGTCTGTGTAAATTTTTTGTCATGTTTACAGTATAACAGTATAATAGTTTGGTCTATGTAAATTTTTGTCATATTTACAGTATAACAGTATAATAGTTTGGTCTGTGTAAATTTTTGTCATGTTTACAGTATAACAGTATAATAGTTTGGTCTGTGTAAATTTTTTGTCATGTTTACAGGATTTAAGTAAAAAAAAAATTGTCTCTTTGACACATTTACGATATCACAGTCTCGGTAAATAATTTTGACACAATTACAGTATTATGGTACAACAGTTTGGTCTCTGTAAATTTTTTTGTCACATTTACGGTATTACAGTACAACAGTTTGTTCTTTGCGTAAATGTCACGTTTGTTTTTCCCATTGATCAATAATGAATGAGATGAGATCTACCAATGGATCTAACAGTGAGCTCTGGAGCCTCTTTCCTCCCCAAGCTTGCCTATCTCAAGATCTCATCTGTAGTTACTATACAAGGACAGACTTGTTACTGTAATTAATTGATACAAGCCCCAGCTAAGTGAATTACATGTATTTTCTTATATTCCTCAACCCAACCCAACCCCCCAACCCCCCCCAAAAAATGCTTTCTACCTTATTTTCTCTTTTTTTTCTCTTTTAAATGATTAATCACTATAATGCTACCATGTACGACGTTTTGCATATTTCTATCATGAAAGGCCAAAAAAATAGTCCATATTTTACCTAATCCTTTTGTGATACTATTTTTGTCAGTCTGTATAACTACAGGTAAGTGCATTCTCTGACTTCACCAGCATATAATTATGTTTTGTAAGTATGTTACAATAGATAGATTACCAGAAATAAATACATAAACACCCAAGGCTTTCAACAATTTTGAAATATATCAGAACTTTTTTTTTTAATCTGAAGAATTGGCTACATCTGATAATATTGGAAAAAAAAAAATAAAAAAATATGAAATTAATTTTACTCATTCTTTCAATATAAACCCCACGTGGTTTGGCAGGTGACCCTTACCTTTTCACGTCCGTTCTGGGAATCAAACCCCGGATGGCTAGGTGAAAAGTGAGTGCGCTACTACCGCCCAACCCAACCACCCATAGAGTAGTGTTCAAAGAATGAGGGGTGTTCATTATTAGCAGCATGAAATATATGGGAGAAGAAATTTAATTCCTTGCAAAAAGTTAAAAGAAGAAAATGCTTTACATCAATGGTGGATGAGAAATCTATGACCATTTCTAAATGTCAAGGTATCTAACAAAGTATCAAATTTACACTGCTACCCGAGACGAGTTGATAGTGCTACTGAACATCAATGACAATCAATATTTGTCTGACGACCCGATGACTCACAAAATAGTAAAACCATGTGAGTACCACGTCTACCCAGCAGTATAAAACACAGATTTCATTACTGGACACCGAGAAGATTTATATTTGTTACACAAAATCTAATTAACAGTAAGATCTCCACCACTCGCAACACATGGTGTCAGATTCCTGAAAGACACGAACCATCCCAAGTAGGGATGATTATACCAAATATCGTGGATCTTTACCTGGGGTGGCAAAATCTCAGTAGTCTGAGCTAGGAAATTTCTACCAAAATAAGCAATATTAAAAATGGAAATCTGATTGTGAACAAGTTACACAATTAAACAACCTTAAATTCTGCTGCTGTGTGAGTTGATTAAAACTTACAATTTTGTAGGACAGATCCATAGGGTGCACTGCCAGCAGCCAGAGCTATGTGGAAGGCTATATGAGCAAGTGTGCCTAACGCACTCACGACAATTATACACTTCAGGTAGACTCCTGTGTTACCTGCAATTAACAAAAAAATATCTCAAAGAAAATTGATGAAAAATTCAGAGATGATATAAAGAACAATTGGCCCTTGGGCATTTTATCTGACAAATAAAAGTCCAAAACCATTTACAACCTGGTTTATTTCTATCACCTGAGGTACAAACTGTTATTCCTAACTGACTTATGTATCTCTACCTTTAACAATTTAGTCAGGACATTTTAAAACTTTGTGAAGAATTTTTCAGGATGCAAAGGTCTACTCCTTAATGAAATAATTTCCGATCCCCTTATAATCATTCTGCAATTATTAACAAGTTTAATACTATAAAAAGTTTACAGGACAAAGGATTTATGTCACTCTGATCTTCCACTTAGATAACCTAAAATTCACAATTGTAGAAAACTGATCTCCTCGGACTTGCTTTAATTATGTAACAACGAAGGAAAACTTCAGGATGACTTATTCAAGAATGACTTGCTTGCTTGTTTGTTTTTTTGTTTGTTTATTTGTCTAATGTCTCCAGGAACAGGTCATTTTAAGGAGGTAATCTCCCTATAGCTAAAGGCTACTTCACTGAGCACCATGTGCGAGGCCTATCACTTACTATCTTGATAATCAAGGGGGTGTGGTCAAAGGACACAACTGCATAGGATCTTGTTCAAAATATCAGTTTCCTCATAAACAAAAAGAGCGAGTAGAAAAAAGTGATTGTAAACATCTACATCAACCTGATACTCTAGGCAATTAACTATGGTAAAGATGGACTCTTAAAGTTTGCTGTTTTAGGGCACTGTAACAGAGGAACATAATCTACTTCCTTGTTTTTTGATCATTTGATTACCATTTTTTTATTAAGAATTTTAACTTTTAAGACATTACCACTCTCATCCAACTGTCATCTTCCCAAATGACTGAGTCTGCCCTTTACAAATGTTGAGCTAATGATCCCTATATATGTGTCCAAGGACGGATGAAAGCAGCAATCTCACATCAGGTCATTATTTAATACTTGCCAGCTGCTGAACATTTGTAATTCACTTTTGTAGCTCTTTATAAAAAATGTTTTAATATCATTTATGCAGTGTCTTTGTACTATAAATTAATATTTCACTATGTTACAGGGCCAATAGATTTGATCAGATCTATTAATAAATTCTTTTTATAAATTTTAAATACCTTATCACAAAAACTTGTAATTACTATGTTCATTACAATTTTACGAAATAAAAATTTTGATAATCTATTATGTGTTTAAGGTTTATATCCATCCACTACCTGCACATCATAACCATTAAATGATTGGAGGTGAATTTACCCAAGACATATGAAATTTTTGATAGTTAACAGTCATTCTTAATTCAGTGGACACCTCTATATAACGGACAATTCACTTGGCCCGGTAACTGTCCACTATACACAGGTTTTATGTATAGATATTTTAAAAGCAAAAAGGAAAATCCTGAAACAGGCAAGAAATTACATATCAATTTTGTTATCATGGAACAACTTAATATGGATCATCCTGACCCAAAGGATCAGACAACCTAACAAGAGGCCCATGGGCCTTCACGGTCATCTGACGTAAAATACAAGATTTCAAATTTTGAACTTGAGAAGAAGTCGAAAATGTGTTTTCAAATGGCGGCCATGGTGTCCATGTTGTATTTCGGACCAACCCGAAATTAATCAACTTTGGTCAGGATCATGTCATGATCATTTCAGGTAAGTTTCAGCTCAATGAGACATGTAGAACTTGAGAAGAAGTTGAAAATGTTTACGCCGGACATAAGGCGATTGCAATAGGTCATCAGACCCTTCGGTCAGATGACCTAAAAATGCTAAAATCACATTCTGGTTGGTATCTACAAAGTTTCAAATTTTTTTTTTTCTTTTTTCAAATTTCAACACACAAGGTTGTGATAACTCTACAATATAATTGATGATCATGCCTTTTTACCTAATGACCCTTTAAAACACTGTTCCACATTGAATTTGAAGACCATGACCAAATATTGTTTGACAAGGTGTTGTTAACACTGTACAAGATGAAGAAATTTACTTTTAAAAAAATTGTTAAAACAATACATGAACACTCCATGACTGAAATATACCTATGTGACCAAATAACTGTCAAAAAATTTATCTTTCAGTGAGTCAGTTATTTTCGATGATTTCCTGGGTTGCAATCTTAATCCACGAATTTATACATCCACAAAATGCTGAACTGTTCAAGAGATTTCAGCACTGGCGAATTTTGTGAGTACTACTTAACCACAAAATTAAACGTCAACAAAAATTTATTTTTATGGAAAACTACTTTACCTGACTTCCATGAAATATATGATTTTATAGTATCCGTAATGTATAGTGTTTGAGTATGTATCATGTACATTATGTAACAAATGTAGTTCTAGGAATGTTCAGCATTTACTCTTACATTACTGACATAATAATCAAACTCGTCTAACTACACTAGTCACATAGACAATGGCTGTCTTGTCTACCTCAGCATCTTGTACTTGGCTCTGTTTTATTGTTTGTGTAGTTAGCTTGGCATGAGGTATATTACTGTAATGTTGTAATCATGTGTTAAGTTATCCTAGGCTAATACAAAAATGCCAAGTATCTTTCATATACACAGTGAAGGCTACCTAACACTGCAAGGTTCTGTCATAGCTCTATATTCACACAAAGTTTCTACCTAACACTGCAAGGTTCTGTCGTAGCTCTAAATTCACACAAAGCTTCTACACAATTTCTGTCAATTTACAATTAAACTTACTATACACTTAAAGAGAAACACTTTTGTTGTATATAATTTTACATTATACATCAGCCCTTGTATAGTCTGAATACAGTTATATCAAAATAGGTAGTTCCCTAATCTATTCTTTTTGGTCCAAAAATACTTATAATTTCAGATAGAGACCAACAAATGAAAAATCCTGAAAATTTGCGAAAGGCACAACACCAAACAAATCAAATTGTTATAGAAATCAATGACATCTTTCAAACAACATCAGATTATAACCTAATTTTCAACAGTTTAAGATGTTGTCATTTCATCCAGTTAGAAATAGATATATACTAAAAAGAAACGCAATTTCAACTTTCAAGGTTTATTAAAATGACAATTATGAGCATTTATGCCTAAATGTGAAATGTTATAGTTAACTTCAAATATTGGACCATCCTCCTTTTTTTTAAGAAATGAGGGCTTCATTACAGCTGTATGAATTAGGGTACCCTAATTTACACAAAGTTGAAATAATGGCAGTTGTCAGACTGATCCCTAATATGTGTGTCCTTCCCAAACAGCTATAGTGTTTCTAATTCTGTATGGCATGGAGTTCATAAGTACATTGACTGTCCATAGAGGAATGTTATCCCATTCCTCGGTAAGTGTGTTGGCCAAGCAGCTGAGGTTATTTGGGATGTTTGCTCAATTCTGAACTCTTCTGTCTTATTCATCCCTAAAGTGGCAAGGGACAATATTCATTCTGGGTTGCAACGTCTGGCCTAGCATTATCATGCTGAAAGGTTAAATGGTGTCCTATAATGAAAGGCACAACATGAGGCCTCAAGGTCTCATCTTGACAATGTAAAGCCCTTGACCTCCGGTTAATGATCACTATATTAAAGTGTCCCTAACCAATCAGAACTTCCTCACCAAACCACAACTGACCCAACCCCGAATCTGTGTTGTGCCCTAAAACACAAGCATCTGCAAGAAGCTCTCCTTGATGCCAGTACACACGCTGAGGGCCATCTGATCGCAAGAACATGAACTGAAATTCATCTATGAAGAGCATGGACCTCCAACGTCTCATAAGGAAAACGTCTGGCACAAGTGCCCTCAACCATCACATCTGACATGCTCGAAATTGAGTTGTCAGTGGCAAACCAACATACTAGCGATGTGGGCGGAAATTTGCCTCACTCAGACTATTGATCATTGTTTTTGGGTGGATTCAAAAGTTTCTAGTACCGAAGGTATGTCATGCCATTTCGGCTGCCATTAATCATCCGTCATGCAAGTGAATAAGCCTGATGTACCGATCTTGCCATCGCAAAGTTACATGTGGACTATCCAGATCTCGATTTGTCATCAACTTTCTTTGTGGTATTGAGACATAAAACTAATGAAGTTATAAGTGATTTGTGAAATCTGAAGTGAGTAGGGACCTACTGTTTAAGGATACCTTCAATGGTCATTGCAAGGGCCCATCTTCTATCACATTGTGGCATATTTGTAAAAACAATTACTGATTGTTAATGTATTGGCATTCACACATCTTGGTGATAGTCAGAAATCTTGTTAGAGATGACAGATTTTTGACATTTACTGGGGGGTGCCCTAATATTCCTCTATCTTTTTATAAGGCTATGTATAGTCATTACAAAATATTTTACAATTAAAGTAGATGCATTTCTGTATCGTTTCAGTATACTTCATAGGCTTATATGTCACACACTGAGAAACATATTTCAGTGTTGTGTATGTCACATACTGAGAAAAGATATTTCAGTGTTGTGTATGTCACACACTGAGAAACATATTTCAGTGTTGTGTATGTCACACACTGAGAAACATATTACAGTGTTGTTATGTCATACACTGAGAAACATATTTCAGTGTTGTGTATGTCACACACTGAGAAAAATATTTCAGTGTTGTGTATGTCACACACTAAGAAACATATTTCAGTGTTGTGTATGTCACATACTGAGAAAAGATATTTCAGTGTTGTGTATGTCACACAATGAGAAATGATATGTCAGTGTTGTGTATGTCACACACTGAGAAACATATTTCAGTGTTGTGTATGTCACACACTGAGAAACATATTTCAGTGTTGTTATGTAGCACACTGAGAAACATATTTCAGTGTTGTGTATGTCACACACTGAGAAACATATTTCAGTGTTGTGTATGTCACACACTGAGAAACATATTTCAGTGTTGTGTATGTCACACACTGAGAAACATATTTCAGTGTTGTGTATGTCACAT